TGTGTAGTGTTTTGTGTTTCCATGGTAACTGTTCCAGCAAACTTTTGTTTAATTATTAAGTTGTTAAATTCAATTTAAAACAATTACTTGCACTACAAGTATAATCTTTATTTTGTTCTACAATACAAGAAAACTCTGTATTTTTGTTTAAAATTAATATTTCGAGTTTGGCCAGTGAGTGACGTCATTGGTAACGGACTGGTCGCGCGCGGCGCGCCTGCTCTCTCAGAACAGCCTGTGACTAGAGAGAGCGAGGTACGTCTCTGCAGTGCTCCTTATTTAAGAGCGAAAATGTGCTGTATTAAGTGAAGTTTTACCTTGATATCTATTATAGAAGTGTCATAAAACGGGAACAAGTTTATATCAGGGTTTTTCTGTCCACGGTTTAATGTATTTTTGTAGTATTACAAACACACGTGTTTGTTTAATGTTTCCGCCTGCGCGCCATATTAGAGTGCAGGTTTTCCAGTGTTAATAATTTTCTTCACAATTAATTTCGGTGGATTGAGTTTGTAGATATGTTGTTTAGTATGTTAAATGTGTGTAGCTTTCTTCTGGATGTTAAAATTTATGTTTATAGCCTTATGTGTTACTAGGAAATGATATGGGGGTAATGATATGTATATTGTATTGTATATTTTGTTATTTTTTTGTACTGTGTTTTTGCAATAAAAAAAAAAAAGATCAATGGACAGCGTAGGCACAAGCTGGGTTTCGGCGCCCCCAAGTTCACCTTCAATGCAAGTGATTGTGCCAGCGCATATTATTCTGCTAGATATTTGCTTCTTATTTATTAAATACAGGCAATTGGTTGATAACACATTGATCAAAATTAAGATATTTATATTAAACGAAAATCTTTTAAAAATAATCTTTCTACAAAACAAAACACAATGAAGTGAGTGGTTAAAATCATGTCTCTCATGATGCATCTTTCTCATGCTGCATGCTCACTTTCATAATCAACATTGATTAAATAAAATAAAAACATTAGTCTATAATATTTAAACAAATATGATACTAAATATATTTACTTTTATTGGCTACAACACGTAAGAGAAATTACATGTTTTTTGTCATAATGACGTCATATTTTTCAATTTACCCCTTTATCTACATTTTTTCAAAAAAAGCAACTAGTGACAATTTTAGCGACTTTTTGGACAAACCTCAGTAAGCTCCAAATGTTGCTAGTACTGTCCTGCGAGCGTAACACGTAACACACTACAGACTTCTATAACTATAATTCAATTTAGGCTGCATAGTTTAGATCAGCCGGAACCGGGAACACGACCTGTAAATCCTGATGTACTCGTTACTAGGGATGGGGAAAATCGATTCTTAGATGCATCGCGATGCGGACGTGGACGATTCTGAATCGATTCACAAATGTCAAAAAATCAATTTTTCTCAAAATCTTTTGATATATATTTATAATAATGTATTATTGACAGAGAAAGACTGAACTTTGAAGCGCGGAAGTGCAGCGGCCGGACCGTCTGTGGCGTGCACATAGGTTATTTATCCACAAGTTTCCTACGCCCCATGAGGCCTTGCGTCAAAAGTGGGCGCGACTTCCGGTTGGAAGTAAACAAAGCGCGATTTGACATGCTGGACACTCGTTCATTCAACAGTTGACAGTCATTCAAGTTATAGCGATCCAAACTAGCTAACGATGTGGGAACACAACCTCAACGAAATTCAAAAGGGTGAAATAACAGTACCTTTACCCTCCGCAGTCGTTGATTAGGAGTATTATTAACATTATTAATAATCAATACTCATCAAGGCATGGTGACAGACAGTTGTGCGAGCTGACAAACAATTAAAATAAAAAATACACTTAGTCATTGTGCTTTGGAGTTAATTCAAAATTATAAATGAATGTGCTGCTGTAATACATTAACTGGCACATTTGGTATTCTGTGAACACAGGCTTTGATCCTGAGTTTAGGTGTAACATCAGTAGCGAACAGCCAATCACATGCTGATAGAGTTTATAGAATATTAAGAATTTAAACAAATGTACACAGGAAGATTCGTCGTCTTTTGGGAGGTGATGGAAACTACAGTCGTTGGCAGGATCACTCTGATTTCGTTTTCAGCTTATGTTCAAAACAATCCCGTTTAAGCCACTAAATTAGTTTAGTCCGGCTATACATACAACCGCGAACAGCACATGTTGTCCCTGAGCTCCGTAACGACATCTCTCATAAAGATTTGCGTCTTTAAATAGTAAAATAATTATCTGAAAAACAGCTAGCCTCTTCGCTAACTAACACACAAAACACCATTGGAATGCTACTCCCGCCGCCTCACCGGAAGTTTCACCCACTTTATTTTTTACACGAGCGCCCCTCGGAAACTTGTGGATAGGTTAAAACTAAAAACTGACGTGTGGAAATATTTTGGCTTCTAAAGTTGAAGGGGGAGAGGAGCTGGACAAGAGCCACTCCAGCTTTGTAAAATAAAACTAATAATGGAAACATGACAAATATGAGAAGCCATCACGTTTCTAGCCACACTCGGCTGTACCGGTCGTTATAATATTTATTTACTACAAGTATGCTCCTAGTTCAGGCACACATTTATTTTCTTGTTGGTTTTTTGCAATGTTAATAAAATATATGGTTTGTTAATTCTTTATGGGTCATTACTTTGTACTTTTAAAGCAAAGTATTTATAGTCACACACACAAAAGATTCAGATAATCGATTTGTAACTTTATAAATGTCTTCACTGTACCTTTTGATCATTTAAATTTATCCTTGATGAATAAAAGTATTGATTTCTTCTTTTTTTTGCCCAAAGAATTTAATAAAAATTCGTACGGACTCCAAACGTTTGAATGGTATTAAAAGCTTTCTATTTCAGATAAATGCCGTTCTTTTGAATTTCTGGGTGATTCTCTGAATCGGGTGCCCTTCAAGTCCCCCAAACGTGCTTCAAAGATTTTCAATTGAAGGAAATCACAAAATGCATTTTAATGCTGACAATTAATAGAACCAGGTGCATTTGCATTATAATGCAACAAAATTGCTTTAAAAAAATTAATTTAAAGATAATGGGTTGCCTAAGTAGTAGACAACAAGCATGTTTGCATGTCCTCACTAACCATCATTATATTTTCATTGATTATCAAACAAATAAAAAGTGCAATTAATACCAAAATGTTGCTGCTAACATAATCACATGTTGATCTAGTGTGGAAAATCAATAATCGTTAATAATCGAAAATCGACTGTAATCGAATTGGGAGTTCAATAATCGTAATCAAATCGAATCGGGAAATCAGACAGATTAACCACCCCTACTCATTACAAATCCTCTTAATGTTTCGATCCAATTTGTTTTGTAATCACTGTTCCTCCGTTGGCCAGAGGAGAACCGGCCCCGACTGAGTTTTTTTTCTCCATTCAATCACCTGATGGAGTTTTGGTTCCTTGCCACTGTTGCCTCGCTTTCGGCTTGCTTACTTGGGGATATTTAATATTCAAGAATTTTATTGATCTGTGTTGTACTATCTTCATGTTATCACTGTGAAGCTGCTTTGATACAATCTCTATTGTTAAAAGCGCTATATAAATAAAGGTGACTTGACTTGACTCCTACTCTCACAGCGTTTTCTGGTCTCGTCGCTCATACCTGCCTCATCTGCCTTCCTCTTCCTCGTTCTCTTCATCTGCCTTCCTCTTCCTTAAACCCAGAAGATCAGCAGTAAAAACAGGGTTAGCTTTTGAACTTTACCGATTGTATTTACTCCTCAAAACTCATAAAGGTTGTGTTCATTGTTCCATGATGAACAAAATGTGTAAGAGTCACATGCTTTTGTTAGTCACTGGCTTCTGGATTAAGGAAAAATCTTTTTGCTTTTCTGTTTTGTTTTGTGTCAAGGGAACCAGGGTGATGACTACACTGACCAACTGCATCATCACTGCAGCGTGTGGACCTGGAAACACTGACACTGGACACTCATGGGTAGGGTTGGGTATCGAGAATCGAGTATCGATTGGAACCGAGACTAACTTTTCGTTTTTCCCGGAATCGTTCAAAAGTGAAAATTTCGATTCCTAGTTTCGATATTCACAGTCCGCCGAGCGGAAGAAGAAACCGCTGAACAACACCAACGAAGAAGCGTCTACCGGAAGTGTTGGCATAACCGCGCGAGTCGAACATGAGTAGCTTACGTCGGCGATCCAAAGTGTGGCTTCACTTTTCAAAAAATAACGAAATCTCGGCAAAATGCAAACTTTGTGACAAAAGGAGTATTTTTACAGAAGGAGTATTTCCTTCAGAAAGGCCGTTGGTTAGCAAGGTTAGCTAAACTTTTTTGACCCTGCCTCTTAAAAGAATCGGAATCGAGAATCGTTAGGAACCGGAATCGAGACAAGGAATCGGAATCAGAATCGTTCAAATTCAAACGATACCCAACCCTACTCATGGGATTCAATAGAGTTCAGTTCTAACCCTAATCAAACAATCCCAAAGACCGCGGATGAATCCGAAATTGCCCCTAAACCCTCATGCACCATTCCCTATATTAGTCCACTAATACGGAACATTTAAAGGAGTGAATGTAAACTAGTGAGCAAATTCAGACAGTTGTTGCGCACACATCATTGGTTGTACAGTCTTGAATTATTATTGTGGTGCATTGTGGGATTGAATGACATTGACACTGGATAATGTTCACAACGGTTTCAGACACCACTACAAATGGCTGTTCCCTAAAAAGTGGCGATTTCAGATTAGGCAGATTGTTCTTTAACTCTTTGCCTGTTCTCATAGCCATTTCCCTGACTTTCTTTAAAAAGCTCCTACTTTTAGATACAACTTACATTTTTGTTTTCAAACATATAGATCAATTAGACCATAGATCTGAACATTGACTCCGCCGTCTACAGCGGATCTGAACGGCTGTGACACGATTGGTCCTGTGTAAAGATGACATCACTCTCGGTGAGAAGTGTGTGAATGAGAAAAACACAAACCACTCGGATCCAGTACAGCAGAAGACAGGAGTTTATTGGATTATTGAATAATCCCCAAAAACAGACGGGTTCCTGACATGATTTAATACTTACGTTAAGTTGACAGATATTGTCTGTATGTTAAACATTGGGATTTGATCATCAGTGGATTTGCTGAAGGCTCCTCTACTGAGGCACAGCATGTCACAATAGCCGAAAGCATTCAGTGTATTGACGGCAGGAGACGCGCCACGAACAACATTATTAATTGACCTAGAAGTGTTTCTCTCTGTACACGTGTCTGTACATCTCCGTGAATAAACATCATCAGAGTCCTCTTCAGAGCAGACCGGCACGCTGAGGGCTCTCGAGGTGCGAGCGGAACCTCTCCAGGAACCGCGAGGCCAGTTCGTCGTCCACCAGGCGCGCGTCGCTGGAAAGCGTGACGGTCATGAGCTGCTGTGTGTGTAGCGTTAGCCCGTCGCGCAGCTGGAGCGTAGCCCGCGAGCCGCCCACCGCCAGGATGCAGGCCTGAGGAGGATTGATGACCGCGCTGAACTCACTGATGCCGAACATGCCCAGGTTAGAGATGCTGCAACACAACACACACCTCAGATACTCACACAACACACACCTTAGAGACTCACACACTGGCAAAACTTCACATCATATTGAATCAAATTAATAAAAACAACTTTTTTTCTGGGTTTGTGTTACTCGAAGAGACGTTTTAAATGCAATATGGAGCATACATTTGTCAATGTTTGGACACCAGACAAAAACATGTTTTCCTTTTAACTTTAAGTGGACGTTGTGTTAGACAGCCACTGAATGCTGATATCAGGCTTATGTGTGCCGCTTCCATTTTCAATAAGATCGTTCTTCTTCTTCTACAGTGTTAACCCTTTGGTTTTTGGTTAAGAAGTTCTAAACCGGATCTAATGAAAGTTACTCGTGGTGTTCCACAAGGTTCGGTGTTAGGCCCCTAACTGTTTCTATTGTATATCGATGATATTTGTAGTGTCTAAAATATTAAATATATATAAATATACTGATCGGGAAAACATTTGGAACAGCTTCTGATTGTTCCAGGCCTGATTTTACGTTGTAATTTTGTGTGTTGTCTGTGAGGGGCTGCTGGCTTATTACTAGAATTATATTACATAAGTTGCGTTTTCGCTATACTATCTAGCTATTTATAACTTACAGAAATGGTGCAACGTTATATATTTACATTACATGTATGGCAAAATGTAAATGTATAACGTTGATGATTTGAGGACCAAGTTTGTAGTAAAATCAGGCCTGTTCCTCTCTCCGCTGTCATCGCTCCTCAATGAGAGATGCGCCACCGGTCTCGACTGAAGCTTGAGCCACTGGAGTCACATGGACTATTTTACCGATGTCTTTACTACCTTTCTGGGCCTTGAAGTGTCAGAAAGCTCTCGGATTTCATCAAAAATATCTTGACTCGTGTCCCAAAGATGAACGAAGGTCTTGCAGGGTGTAGCCAGAGTTCACATTTTTGGTTGAACTAACCCTTTAAATGCATGGAAAACATTGACCACTACAATTCTAGAAATGATGGGAGTTATACGGGTCCGAAACTATGATCAGTGATGAGATCCTCACCTGAACGATCCCCCCTGATACTCCTCCGGTAACAGCTTCCCGTCCCGTGCCTTCTGTGCCAGAGCCTGGGGACAGGAAACCAGTTCAACACGCCGTGGGTTCACAGAGCAATCCCATCTATAATCCAGTGATAACAACAATCTAATCTACAGAGGTTATGTGTGTGACGTCCCTGAAACACACAAAACACATCTAGAACGGGAAAGAGCTTTGAGACTGACTATATAAACAGATTTGACAAGAAATCTGAGCTATATTTTGGCAGACTGACGAAAGCTACAGCGAATGGATCTACAGAAACCACTGGATCCAGACATTTCTGAATTCAGGGTTAAAAACATCCTCTATAGTGTATTGACAACTCTTCAATTAAATATGTACCATCATATATACTGCATAATTAGATGATGATATGAAGATGTATATAACACTGATATAAGTGATCACGTGGATTTAGGCCTATACTGTATTTATATAAAGCGTTCTCAGGCAAATTTGCTTCATGTATTTCCCCGGCGTAGAAACGCGGCTCACATAAATGTGAGGAAACCATGATCACTGGGTCTGTGTATATCGAGTCCAAGCTTTAGTTTAAACTGATAATGGTTTGCTCTTCTGCCACAGGAGTGTGTTCCCGCGGGACAGTGAGGTCAACACATAACCTCTACACACGACAACATCTCAAGGCCCAGATATTCAAGCTAAACCCAACAATAATCTGGAGTGACGTCATGCGATCAGAATCAGGCTGAAGCGAAGCTGGTTTCAGGAGAGCGAAACGCATGATGTCACCGGTGGGTGTGGCTCCGAGGCTCCGCCCTCTGAGTTGTAAGTCTCTCTCGAGGTCAGACACGAGTGAACGATCTCAGAGCGGCGGGAAACACGTCCACATCACTGCGATCGGAAGATCTGAACCGCTGTTATTGAGAGGAATGTGCAGCACATATGTACACACATCACTAGCAGCACATCGCTTGAAACTTCTTTACCCCTAAACCAAGCCCTTCTCCGCCAGTATATCTGGGCCTTCAGATGCATGTCTGCTATGGTCACATGATCAGCTTCAGATCGTCTGCTGGAGCATTAGAGCGCGTGTTTGAACTCTATGATGACCTTAGCGGTGTTAGCGATCTCCGCCAGCCCTTTATCAGCAGCGTCTCTGATGATGGGGGTCATGAGGCCCCGCGCGGTTGCCACGGCGACGCAGATGTGGATGGAGCCGAGAGGCTGAGGGCCCTCAGAAGACCACACCACGTTCACCTCGGGCATCTCCTGCGGGACGACACACACCACAGCGTCACGGGCAGGATGATGACGGTCATTTTCATAATACGGGCACTGTAAGTTGTATGGCCAATGAAACGACTCACAAGTTTATTAAGCATAAAACAACATTCTGAATGAATGACTTGATGTGTACTATGATCCATATTTTCATAAACTGACTGAAGATGTGCTGACTTACTCTGAGTGAGACGGCCACGGCTTTGATGATGAAGTCATTGACCGACACCTTGATGTTCTCTAAACACACACACACACACACACACACGAGATGTGAAGATGACAAACACACACTGGGTCTCTTATACACATGCATGTGTGTGTAAAGAATGAGTGGATTCGCACAGAAATCATGTTTCTTTGGTAAGTTCCAAACTGTGGTTTGTTTAGTGTTGTTAATGGGGTGAACTGTGTGTGTGTGTGTGTGTGTGTGTGGTCACCTGTGGCCAGCTTTCTCCTGAGCTGGAGGACGGCAGCGAGGTCACAGTCCACTGAAGCGTAGGCGTGTGGGATACTGCTCTTGGACTGAGTTAGCCTCTGAGCGATGACTCTCCTCACGTTAGAGGCCGTCACGTCTGTGAACCTGCCCTGAAAACACAACACACTCGTCTCTGAGGGCTCTCCACACACACACACACACACACACACACACACAGGCAAGCTTCACGTGTTCAACATGAGCAGAGTTTGGGAGGTTCACGAGACTGGAGGATATATGCTGTGCATCTATCATCATAACAGATATCCATGAGCCTCCTGGGGTTAATACAGACCTTCTGTGTGTGTGTGTGTGTGTGTGGACCGAGAGGATCTGGGCTCACCGGCGCTGCAGGTCTGCCGGGCACAGAGACGGGTGTGTGTGTGGGGCGTCCCGTGGCCGGAGGAGGCACTGCGAGCGGGACGGGAGGAGGAACAGCTGCTGGATGCCCTTTCTGAGACTCGTTCAACAATTTCACTGCGTCTCTGAAAGAAGAACAGCACAGATCAGCACTGGAACAACTGACCGATATATACCGATACCAATCAGCTGATCAACATCACTGAGCAGATCCACCAATCAGCTGATCAATATAAACTGCAGACATGTAGAAAGCCATTATAATATCGTCTCGTGTTCTCATGATCTGAAGATGAAACCAGTGTCCGTCTCGACAGGACCGTTACCTGCACTAATAAAACTGCATGAATCTGCACATCTGTAAGATTAATACCACAGCACACACTCGACACAAAGATTCTTGTGTTCATATTTTTGACACAACGAACTTCGGCTGATGGACCAATCACATGGTCATGGAGAATATGATGATGTAACCATGTGTGTGTGTGATATCTAATACAGCTGAACTGTCATCTTCAGTGGATCTGAGGTATTAATAGGTGTCAGTTTCTATGGACACCCAGAGGAGGGAGAATGGGTTGCCATGGTAACGTGTGTTACTAATGAGCCCGTTCAGTGTGTGTGTGTGTGAGACTCACTCTTTAGTGATGAGGCCGCGTGGTCCTGTAGCTTTGGCCAGATGAGGGTCCAAACCGTGAGTGTCCAAAATGTGTCTCGCAGCAGGACTCAAGCGTAACCTGTTCACACACACACACAAAGCAAACGCATCACGTTACTGTCACATGACACTAGGATTACTCTTTTATTGGCTTCTGAACTCCCGCTGTTCTCACGTTCATCAATCATAGAATCATCATAGAATTTAATAAATAATAAAACATTCATCTCAGATCACAAGAACATTCTCAGTGTGGATCCAGGCCTAATTATTCAACATCTAGTGCTCCTCTGAAATGGACTAACGATGTATATTCAGCATTAGACAGTGGAGACCTCTTTATCCATCAAGAGTTGAGACCCCACATGACCACATACACTCCAATCAGATTAATGCATTGCAAGATTGGCTCTGTTCTAATAGTTATTAATTAATTAAGCGAAATCTCTTCCCATGGTTTTTGGTACAAAGCGTATGTCTAAATTACAGTCTAATAGTCTAACAATAATTTGTAATGATGGTAAATACCAGCACAGAGTAGACCAAATTAAATATTTAATTAATTTACTTATAATAACTTATAATAAACTGCACAGATTTGATATTGGATGCTCATACATTGACTTTGACTCCAATGGTCTCCACTTAATATAAGGCGGCATCTTCACTGGATGCAATTTATTTTCAAATGTGTACATTTTAATTATTAGAGACCGTATTTGATATCATATTCTTGATGATATCATTGAAGACATTCTTCACAATAATGCTCCAGCAGACTGGACTCATTTACCTTTAGATGGACGATCTTTGACTTCATTTTATAGGTTTAAATGGTTTGTTTCGTTGTTTTGAAACTCGCTGTAATCGCTTTAGATTGTATATCTATGATTATATGTATAAACGCCAGGCAAAAAAAAGTAATTTTTGTAGGGGAATAAATAAATCCATTATTCTTGTAGGGGTGTGTTTGTTTCTCTTTTATTCTTTTCTTTTGTTTTTCTTTTTATTTTATTTTCTATAAAGCTATTTTATAACAAAAGACCGTTTCAGTCACTCTGTATCTATTTTGAATCTAGTTAATATTGTGTAATATTTATTCGTTTGATTTTGTGCTTATCTGTTTGGATGTGAGTGCAGAGAGACTCTCGAAGCTTAATAAATATACATGTACAACACCAGGATGAATGTATGCTCTATAATTAACAGTATAGAGTAATATGAGTGTTTACACAGTGAGATGATAAATATTACAGTGTTTAGACCAGTGTTTACTACTGTATGAAATACTGTGTTCCTGGATACCTGCTCAAACGTAGACGTTTACAATGTGCTAAATAATACTGTTTCACAGTGAGTGTGTTTTCATGCATTATTAATAATGGCAATATTGTGAGTAAACTTTGAGCAGTGTAAGTGCAGTCCTTGAGGAGCGGCTCAGTACATGCTGTGCGTGTGAGTTTATTACACGGTGCATTTGAAAAGCAAAACGTTTTTACTAGGGATGTGCACGAATATTAAAATGATCTTACTAAATGGAATTACCTTTGATCAAATTAATGAATTAATCTGAGTTTTAATATCATCAACACAATGAGAAATCACATGAAATCCAAGAGAAAAGGCAGCCGTCCATCACTGGACCCTGCGTGATCCCAGAGGATAACTTATCTAAATGATTTCGAGACATATACTTCCTTTAAGCTTCTTTGTTTTTTAAGAACAGAAAACACAAGGTGCTGTTAGATATCTTTGTGTCTCTGAAAGATCTGTCAGCGCAGCTCCTTTCTCACTCGATCCTCAAATGAATTGTAATAGAGATTCAAACACATCTCCTGTTCAGAGGGTGTACAGAGAGCATGCAGTTACTGACTGTCTGAGCACTGAGGCGACCGGAGCCAGAGGAGGGGCGGAGCCAGCAGCAGTGGGCGGAGCTGCAGGTGTGGGCGGAGCTACAGCAGGTGTGACGGGCTCCGGCGCTGGAATCTCCACCTGTTTCCAGTCTTCACCTTCAGCGGCCATCAGAGCGATGAGAGTGCCCAGACGCACACCTCGACTGCCCTCCTGCACCTGAACCACACACACACACACACACACACACACGTAGAGTAAATCACTATAGGAGAACATTCATATGCAAAAGGTGTAATGTTAAACCAGGACATTTTTAGTTTTTAAAGTTTTTAACTGTTTAAAAACTAACCCCGAAGTTTTTAAACAGTTGGCGATTCAGTAGAGCACAGGCCAGAAGTCAGATTCCTGTTTTACTTCCACAGAGATTATAGAGTTCAGTCTCACTACTCACTATTCATTCTGAAGCTCCACTATAGATTACATAGCCCTCACACACACACACACACACACACACTATCACTCACGCACACACACACTCTCTCTCTCTCTCTCTCACACACACACACTCACCAGTATTTTAGCAAGGACCCCGTCCTCGCTGGACTCCATGACCACCACAGCTTTATCGGTCTCGATCTCACAGAGAGCGTCCCCAGCGGCCACATCATCGCCTGCTCAAACACAGAGAGCGCCGTTGTGTTACTCGGAGTGTGAGTATATCCATCAGCTTCACAAGACTCATTTCATGTGTGTGTGTATAGGTACGTGCTGGCCCTGAACATCACTGGTCACCTGTGATGGTCACCTGGTCACAACATCACATTGGTAATGCCCAATTCTGGATACCAAACTCATTTTCAACTTAGACTTTTAGTTTCAAATTTAGACTTTTAGTTTTCAATCTGACTCAATAATCCTTTCATACATGGCACACACACACACACACACACACACACACACACACACGGTCTTATTCACACAGGACAGCATGAGTGATGTCACATGTTCACACACACACACACACACACAGGTCAAGCACTCACCTTCCTTCTTCAGCCACTTGACAATATTTCCCTCCTCCATAGTGGGCGAGAGCGCTGGCATCTGCACCTTCAGAGGAGCGACCCCTGCTGGACACACACATCACAACACAACCAGAGGCTCACAGGTTATACATTCATCAAAGAGGATTCAATGTAAAGTCACAGAAATGGAGCGATCTGATCCTGGATGCTGACTGGTCAACCCCTGAAACACACACAACCCCACACCGTAATCCCCCCTCAACTCTCCTCTCGGCACAACGCAGTCAGGCAAGTAGGCAAGTCAGGCCACAGATGTTTTGCTCCCATTTTAAGGTTGATTTGGATCCATTTTATAGTGACAAGGGCATCAAAAACATTCAAAATGCCATTATAAATGTGACAGCCCAGAGAGAGCAATCACACACTTCAGCAACAGAGCAAATATTGATCAATGTCACAATCATCTGATTAATGTTAAACCTCACGACATGATCAGGTGATCAGAATGAGATGATATATTAATACATGCCATATTTCTGTGTGCTCATCTTTACAGGAGAGTGAAGGCATACTGCACAAATAAACACCATACATGTTTTTAAAAAAAAAATAAATTATCATACAATGATTTTATAAACTGAAATTATGAAATCTTGGAGCTTGAAATTGTGACATCAGTGATTTTGAATGACTGCCAGATTGTTTACAATCTCTGCATTTGGATTTGAATGACACAATATGCATAAACTTAAAGCCCATTTCTATTAGCCATAATAACAATAACTAGTGCATCAATTCATGACACTCATTAATGTGAGATCAAATCATTGATTTGTTTTGGCCACACATTTGACAGAAGATTAAAATCTTGTGTTTTCTTAGACGTGCTCAGTAAGTAATTGTTTATTATGAATATGTCAGTCATCCAGTGCGCAGTACTATCATCTGATCCGTCACTGTACTGAACGGAACTGTAGAGCAAAGACACACACATATTAATAAATAAACCCATTATAATGTCCTTCTGACACTCACCACATACTGAGGGCGACCGGGATAAGTGTCTGAAGGCGGCTCCGGTCCAGCCCGCGGTCCGCTGGGGTTTGCTCTGCGCTAGTACTCGACTCTGAGTGGATAACGGGTGCTGTGTTATTGCTCTGAGAGCCATGAAGACGCCCCTGCGCCCGAGTCTCATGGACGCCGCCATCTTCCCTGTGCCCTTCTTCCTCACGCTCACTGACAGTCTCTCTCGAGCTGCGCATGCGCGGAGATGAGCGCAACAGCGCATGCGCGGCCCCTGCTGGACTGGAGGATCATCATCAACAACAACAACAACAACAACACACTTTTCAGCACTACACCATAGAGAATTGATTTAAATTTATGTTAATCAAAATAATCTCCCTTCCTCCCATCTCTCCTCTATAATGACGTGTTTCCTGGATATATTCAGCATTTTAGCTCGATTTCAAAGGGTTTTGGATCTTTAATGAGTCTATGAGAAGCTGTGAACAGGGACATGAGTAAAGAATTCACTGCGATGTGGCAGTACTGGACAAGATTATGCTTGAACCGATTCCGATGTGGGAAATATGACTCAGTAACTCCAGAAGATGGCGGCAATGCGACATCCAGGCCGCCGATGAAACCCCAGAGGAAGAGGACGTGCATGACGTCACGGTGACGGTGCTCAGCTGAACCCGGAAGAGAGAGAGAGCTCGAGCGCAGACTCATAAACAAACTCATCGAGCGGAGAAACACCTTATAATCCACCAATCTTTATAAAAGCCCAGAGACAACATCAACATGGACGGTAGGAAGACTCTCGCTCGAAGGCTGTCACACTCTTCGTGTTACTGCCGAATCTTCTTTTACTCTTAAATGAATCATGATTCTGTTTTACTGTCAAATAAGTATGTGCGGATATGCGGTGTGACAGTGATTAATGTGTGATTTGATGTTGTGTGACTTGTTTATTACTGGTGTAAATCTACACGTATGTAAAGCTGTAGGGCGTTTCATGTTGTTCTGATGATGATGATGATGATTGTGTTTCTCCCACACAGACACACTCTTTCAGCTGAAGGTGAGTGTATATATATATATATATAATATGTTAGTGTTTCTCTGTCGGTGATGAAGGCTCATGTCTGATCTTCATCTTCATCAGTTCACCTCTAAACAGCTGGAGCGACTGGCGAAGAAGGCGGAGAAAGACTCGAAAACCGAGCAAGCCAAAGTCAAGAAGGTACGAGGCGTGACGTCATCATCACATGCTCATCACACTTATAAATGTGCTGTGATGTTGTTGTTATTGTGTGTGTGCTCTGTAAAGAACGTGGTGTGTGTGTGATCTCCAGGCTCTCCAGCAGAAGAACGTGGAGTGTGCGCGAGTGTACGCGGAGAACGCGATCCGCAAGAAGAACGAGGGCCTGAACTGGCTGAGGATGGCGTCTCGAGTCGATGCCGTGGCCTCCAAAGTTCAGACCGCCGTGACCATGAAGGGGGTGAGACACACACACACACACACACACACACACACACACACACTGCCACTTTGGAACCAATTTTCCGGGCCGAGAACCGTTTCTTTGGCTGTCGAAACACAAAAAACTGTTTCGAGAGTAGACATCGGCTCCGAACCGGCTCTCAAAATGCTGTGGTGGAAAAAGGGTTAACACACACACTCACTCTCTCTCTCTCACACACACTCTCTGTCTCTCCTCAGGTGGCGAAGAACATGTCTCAGGTCACTAAAGCGCTGGATAAGGCTCTGAACTCCATGGACCTGCAGAAGGTGTCGGCCGTCATGGACAAGTTCGAGACGCAGGTCCAGAATCTGGACGTACACACCTCGGTGAGTGTGTGTGTGTGTGTGTGTGTGTTTCTGCTGAGAAAACTAGAAACGCACACAGTAGCACTACACACTAATCTGTGCCGTAATTACACGGTGTTGATGTGCTCAGATCCACACGTCTCCCCAGTGCTCGATAGAGACTTGAGAAAGGTCCTATATTAGCGGGGCGATTACTCTTTAATTGTGTGTGTATGCGTTTTGCGTGACAGAAAAGGTGGTCAGAAATCTACAGTTCCCAGTCACAGACTGGCCTGACCTCAGTGCTCAGCACACGCAGCTCGCAGGAAATAACCATACAGAGATTAAAGTAAAGCTGTGGTAGAAATGACGTCCAAACGGCGTCTTTCTGGAGCCGGAGGAGGAGGAAGATGAAGAAGAGCAAGCTCACAGTTAATGTATTACTCAGTCAGGGCCAGTTCTCCTCTGGCCAACGAAAGAACAGTGATTACAAAACGGATCTAAACTATGCAGCCTAATTTTGAGTTAGGCATTACAATAATCTAGCCTTGATGTCATGAACGCATGAACTAATTGTTCTGCATTTGTCACTGAGAGCATATGTACGGAAGCCCTGAACCGCAACCTAAAAAAAAAAAAAAAAAATATGTAAAAAAAAAAAAAATCTGTAAAAAAAAAAAAAAAAAATATGTAAAAAAAAAAAAATCTGTAAAAAAAAAAAAAAAAATCTAGCATTTCGAAATTAAAGTCGAAATGTTTCGAAATTAAAGTCGAAATGTTTCGAGATTAAAGTCGAAATGTTTCGAGATTAAAGTCGAAATGTTTCGAGATTAAAGTCGAAATGTTTCGAGATTAAAGTCGAAACATTTTGCATTCATAACAGTGCGCGTCCACTGGCTCAGAGCGCGCGTGTGTGTGTGAAGTCGAACTGCCATGGATAAACCCAAAATAGTAGCTTTTTACTTTTATCTGGGCTTTCAACAAAATTCTACACACGTCACATGTGCTAGTGGCAGCTGTTTCTGAGGTGTTTTCGTGCTCGTCTAGTCAACACTATCTGGGTCGAGAACACAACAGTAACCGTTCGGTCTCCCTCTTCAACGTAAATACGGTCTGGATACATTTTAAGTGCATCATTCTGTATCCAATCATTTGGCCGGATCCTGTGATTTCCTAAGATTTAATAACCACTTATGGTTGAGGAGAGATTCTCTGATATGATTGTAAAGCACTTTGAGTGTAGGCATATATGAAAGCGCTATATAAATGCCCTATTCATTCATTCATTCATTCATAAAGCTGGATTTCTCCATCCAGTCTGAAAAGTGTTTTCCGTGTTGGTTTTCAGACTAAAGTCTATTCGGGCGCATTATATTTCTTAACGATAAAGTAAGATAAGTAATTCAGATAAAAGTAAAAAGCTACTATTTTGTGTTTATCCATGGCAGTTCGACTTCACGCGCGCGCTCTGAGCCAGTGGACGCGCACTGTTATGAATGCACAATGTTTCGACTTTAATCTCGAAACATTTCGACTTTAATCTCGAAATGCTAGATTTTTTTTTTTTTTTTTTTACAGGTTTTTTCTTTTTCTTTTACTGACTTTTTTTTTTTTTTTTTAGGTTGCGGTTCAGGGCTTCCGTACATATGACATAATTAAGAGATATTTTCAAGGTGGAAAAATGCGGTTCTACAAATACTAGACATGTGACTTTAAAATGAGAGATTAGTATCAAAGAGCACACACACACAGGTTCTTAAAACCAACGACGAAGACTCAACAGAGCAGCCATCGAGTGTTAGACAGTATTCTAGGCTGTTACGTGTGGACGTTTTTAGTCCAATAATTAGAATCTCTTTTTTTTTCAGAATTTAGTCGTAGGAAATTAATAGTCATCCAATGTTTTATATGTACGGAGGCGTATTGCATTCACTTGAAGAAAAAAAAATCTGCTCTGTTTTTCTGAATTAACGAGTTAATTTTTCATGAGAAAAAAAAATTGCTCTGTTTTTCTGAATTAATGAGTTAATTTTTCATGAGAAAAAAAATTTTTTTCTCTGTTTTTCTGAATTAATGAGTTAATTTTTCATGAGAAAATTTTTTTTGCTCTGTTTTTCTGAATTAACGAGTTAATTTTTCATGAGAATTTTTTTTGCTCTGTTTTTCTGAATGAATGAGTTAATTTTTCATGGAATTTTTTTTTGCTCTGTTTTTCTGAATTAACGAGTTAATTCAGAAAAAACAGAGCGAAAACTTTTTTCTCACAAAAAATTAACTCATTAATTCAGAAAAACAGAGAAAAAAAATATTTTCTCATGAAAAATTAACTCATTAATTCAGAAAAACAGAGAAAAACTTTTTTTCTCATGAAAAATTAACTCATTAATTCAGAAAAACAGCAAAAAAAAATTTCTCATGAAAAATTAACTCGTTAATTCAGAAAAACAGAGCAAAAAAATTTTTCTCATGAAAAATGAACTCGTTAATTCAGAAAAACAGAGCAATTTTTTTTCTCATGAAAAATTAACTCGTTAATTCAGAAATTCTTTTTCTGAATGCAATACGCCTCCGTATATATGAGCTGTGCATTCCGTTAATTTTGTGAATTGGTAAGTTTCGTTAGGTTTTGAAGAAATATAGAGCTGGGTATCATCAGCAAAACAGTGAAAGCTAATTCCATGTTTCCTAATGATATCTTCTAATGGCAGCATAGACAGAGTGTGTGTGTGTGTGTGTGTGTGTGTGTGTGTGTGTGTAGCATGTACAGAGTGAACAGCAGCGGTCCTAGTACTGAGCCTTGTGGTACGCCATACTGTAGTTTTGTAAGCAGTGTGTATGTATTTTTTATTTATTATTTTATTTATTTGTGTTTTTAATTTTAATATTATTACAGTATTGTACAGTATGTCGTATTATAATAATAAGTGAGTATTAACATTAAGAATACGAATATCAGGGGTTAAATGAACGACCCGATGTCCTGGGTAAAGTGAGCACCTGAGCTGTATTCACCCAGCACACATTGGGTTGTTCTTAAACAACTGTTTTAGAGTGTGTCAATTTCGCAGATGTGTGTTGGACGTTTTACACTTATACACATAACATCGAAATTGTCACTTTCTTGTCAGGTTGCTGTGATAGTTGAAGTCAGCTTTATGTATACAGCGCTTTATACAGTACAGCAGGGACACAGCTCTGCACGGATGTGTTGTGGACGTGTCCAGGCGCAGGTCCTCCTCTGATCCGGATACGGCCCGGGTCCGGCTGACTTCAGTAAACCTGCGGATAAACAGAGAGACTAACAATAGTAAACTGATTTGAATGTGTGTGTGTGCAGGTGATGGAGGACTCGATGAGCTCGGCCACCACCCTCACCACCCCCCAGCAGCAGGTGGACGACCTGATCCTGCAGGTGGCGGAGGAGAGCGGGCTGGAGGTGGAGGACCAGCTGAGTCAGCTTCCAGCCGGAGCCTCGGCGCTGGGGGAGACGTCTGTGCGCGCGCAGGAGCGGGAGGACCAGCTGTCCCGACGGTACACACACACACACACACACACACACACCGTCAGGACTCAACAGGAACTGAAGTGTGATCGATGCTGTTGTGTGTTGCAGGTTGGCGGCTCTACGCAACTGACGATCACAGATTTTGCTGGAGGACTTTATCAAAGGCTGATTTTTATAACACACACACACACACACACACTGAATGATGAACAGGAGCACTGTCTCTCCTCCGGCTCTTTCTTCTCCTGTCTCTCTGGCCGGTGACCCGGGCCGGTCCCCTCTCTCCTCTGGGTGACCCGGATCTGCCGTCTGCTGGCTTTCACTGAGTTAGACAGGCATATTTATTTATAGCCCATATGCTCATAGGATTATTGATCATAACTTTATTTTCTCATGCCTTACGTACAGTACGTGCTTCTCGCGTTCAGTGCCTCCGTCAGCTCATACACACACACACACTATCGTACTGGATCACCTGTCTGTAAGGCGCGGTGTGTTTCTTCTGAGTCATTTCTGTTTCTCATCATGTCGATAAAGGCGTTGTCCATCCGAGCACACACACACACACACACACACTGTTCCAGTGCCGTGGGTAACCAGCACCGGGCCAAACGAGCGGTTCCCTGCTGAGTCCGAGCACTGTCCCGAGGGATGAGCTGGGCCGTGTCAGAGGAACATATGACATAAAGTGGTCATTCACGCGGTCAATTTGTCAGAAGTGTGTTTTCCAGTACACACACATGCTTTATTACAGTTACTGTATGTTTCAGTGGATGCAAATGCATAATAAACTTTTCTGATCTTTCTTGTCTGAATGTTTGCGTGTGTTTGTCAGGATAATTTGATGAGCACAAAGTTTTAAAGAACTGTGTATTGATTTATTTGAGCCCAACTGCAGTGTATGCAATCTGATCTACACATAGATCACACTTATAATCACATAATGATTAATCAGGTATAATTATGCAGTGACGTGTTGATTACAGACAGGTGGCGTCATTTCCACCTCTTAGACAATTAGAAAGTGTGATCATCATGTCAACAATAATGATATGGTTACACAATAATATGGCGCATGAGTGTTAGAAGGGTTCAGTAACGTACAAAATAATAAAAATCAGTCCAAATAATCAAAGCACTTAGTATTTCTGTAGTATTCTGCCGTCCCTGCACTTTTACAACCCTAGGAGATTATATGCTGGCATTACGGCTTGTTTGAGGTTAGTCTACGGCCGGCTTCCGTAGGCTCACGAGCTGGGGAGTTTCCGTGTTTCCCGAGGAGTTTTACTGGGAGGAGAAGACATTCCCAGTTTCCCTGGTTTAACTCATTCCTGCAGGGGGCGCTACGCTGCTCAGAAAGTCCACTCCTCAACCCAGTCTCATTCACATGAGCTAGGACATTAATCCTTCAGTGGAGACATTTGTGTTTTGAAACTATAATTGCTTAAAAGTGTCCTTTTCAAGGATTGGTACCTTATACATAAATGTAAATCCGCTTTTGCAGTCTCTCTGAAATAATCAAACAAAACGCGTTGACATGTAATCACAAGCCACTGTGATTGGTCCTTCCTCGCAGCGCTGAATAATAAAACACGTGTCACGTGACTAATGCCACATCTGAGCCGTCTCATCTACGGTCTGGATAATATTTTATACTTGAATAGTGACGTTAACAAACTTTAATAGACGCTGGACTTGATATACGAGGTGAAGAGTAAAACATTAACATTATTGCGTAAACTCATCGTAAATGACCAGTCAGAGACGTTTCCGCGCCGCTAAGCCCCGCCCACTTTCGGCCGTTTGTCGCTCTTCCGCTAATCCCCTTTTTTCTCTGAAGGGAGTCGCCCGTAGTAACCGCTCGAGCTGATCAGACCGGATTCACCAGCAGAGATGACGAGATCAAAATAACGCGACAGAGAACAGTAAACATGACGAGTTCATCCTCAGGATTAAGGCATAATAATCCCCAAACGCGGAAATAACATCTGTGAGGCGCTCGTGCTGAAGTGAGTTCCGGTGTCGGCCGTCATGAGATGACTGTGAAGCGGATTTGTACGATCGTGACCAGATCTGTGAGGATTTAAAGATGTTGTCTGAGGAGAATTATTCACTGAGGATCATATGAGAGGCTTTCTGCGGTGTGTTTGGGTCTCGGTGATGGTGGAGACATGAAGACAGTGCTCGTGTTGAGCTGCCTGTTGTTAATTTCTCAAGCAGAAGATCCAGATCAGGAGCAGAAACCGCTTCAGTACCTTCACATCGGAGACGGCTCCTCGCAGGAGTTCGAGTTTCCACAGAACACGCGTGGCGTGATCGTGATCTCCAGCGGGTACCGCAGCTCTGGGGGCCGGAAGGGTCGAGAGAGCCTGAAGCAGACGGTTCGGGTGAGGTCTCTGGACCCGGACGTGATCTCCGTGCTCAACGTGACGGACGACGGGCGAGCGGGAGCCGCGAACAGCTACGTGATTAGCATCCGCTCCGGGGTTCCTGGAACGGCTCCGCTGCTCATCCAGCTGCTGGACCTGGACCGCGACTCGGAGCCGGTGCTCATCGAGGAGCGTAGCGATTACTCCATCAGGGTGGCGGCGGGCGAGGATGACCCGGCGGCCCGGCTCCTGGAGTCCGGCAGGCTGTCGCACTTCTCGGAGAACCCCATCTTGTTCGCGCTGCTGCCGCTCATCTTCGTCAACAAGTGTGCGTTCGGCTGCAAGGTGGAGGTGGAGGTTCTGCTAGCGCTGCTGAAGAGGCCGGTGCCGCTGCTGCTTGGCGTCGCGGGACAGTTCCTCATAATGCCGCTGTATGGGTACGCCCTGTCCCGGTTAGCCGCGCTCCCCAAGGCGCTGTCGCTAGGCCTGGTGATCACCTGCTCGGCACCGGGTGGAGGCGGCGGGTACCTGTACAGCCTGCTGCTAGGCGGAGACGTCACTTTAGCCATTAGCATGACACTCGTGTCCACCGTGGTCGCCACCGCTGCCATGCCGCTGTCCTCGGCGTTCTACGGCTGGCTGCTAGGCGTCCACGCCACGCTCCACGTGCCCTTCGTCAAGATCCTCGGCACACTGCTCTTCATCGCCATCCCCATCTCGCTGGGCATGCTAGTGAAGCTGCGCCTGCCCGCCGTCACCCGCGTGCTGCTCATGCTCATCCGTCCCTTCAGCTTCGTGCTAATCGTGGGCGGGATCTTCATGGCCTACCAGATGGGCTCTTCAATCTTGGCGAATGTGCGCGGGCCGGTCATAGCGGCAGGCGTGACGGTGCCGGTGTTCGGGCTGCTGCTGGGGCTGGTGATGGCGCGGCTGGCGGGGCTAGCGGCGCCGCAGCGCAGGACAGTTAGCATTGAGGTGGGCGTGCAGAACAGTCTCCTGGCGCTGGCCGTCATGCAGCTGTCGTTCCACCGGGCGGAGGCGGACTACGCCTCGCAGGCGCCGTTCCTCGTAGCGCTCAGCAGCACGACGGAGATGCTCCTGCTAGTGCTAGCTCACACCGCGCACCGACGCCTGTGCCTAACGCCTGCCTCGCGCACCCCCGCCTGACCGCCGGCTACGACTGCCACGCACCACTGCCAGACGCGCCGCTCAACCAAAGGCCTTCTCCTTACGTTCAGCCTTTTTTAATCAGATTTTAATCTCATGTGCATTACGATGACAGTGTTTATGGAAGATAAACCAGATATTTTTCTAAGTAATTCTGCTGTTTGTTATTTTGTAATTCAGATGGTTTGTTTGTACCCTGTTTACAGAAGATGTTGCTGTTGATTGTTCATGCGCAATGATGATTAAATGCATTTTGACGAGACGGACCCGGTGTCTTTGTGTACGAGCTTGAGTTATATTCGACTCTCAATCACAACTACAGAATATATTCAGTTACACTTTATATTGTAACAATGTATTTTATGGTGCCCTTGTTACATGTACTTACCATAGTAATAACAGTAAATTATGCATAATTACATGCAACTAACACTCAACCAAACCCTAAACCTACCCTAACTGTAAAGTACATCTTTTGCTTAATATTACAGAGTGCTTATATATATAAATACACTGTAACAATGTGTCCGTGTTACAGTGTAATTATGCATTTAAGTACTGAGTAATATTAATTAACTATTGTTATTATAATAATTAACTAAATGTAGTTTCTACAGGGATTAATTGGATGTAATTAGGCATAATGTATAGTTATTACTACATGTAACAAGGACTCTGTAAAATAAAGTGTTATCATTCAAATATTCCATATGTGAGTTGAAAACAGACTTTACCTTTCGGAAATGTATCGCTGCCTTTATGAAAGTATTTTTATTAACATTAGATCAGTGTGCCTGTTCCGCAGTGTGTAAACTATTGTTATTATAACAATTAACTGTTACACGGGTGTTACGAGCGGCTTTCAGATCCAGGCTCGTCTCAAATAAATCAAGACTAACCCGTCCTGTATAGGAATAGTTCACAGTTCATGTGCTGTGATTGGCTTTGGACCAGAACCATGTTCTTCATTCTTCTGTGCTCCACAGTTCTGGAGTCAGTGTGGATGAACTCTGACCTTTACTCCAGTGCTCTTTGCTCTTTAGAGATATCATGTTTTCTGTTGATCTAATTCCAGGATTTCACCATCCGTTGTTTGTTCCTAGTTTCGCACACATCTAGTCTCTTCTGAATGCTAATCTGACCACTAACAGGAAGAACTGCATTACATGCGTGTGAAACTTGAGCAAACAGCTTTGTTTAATTTGTATAATTTAAAATTCAGAATATTTTCTTACACAAACAAAGGTAGATCACAGTAACATCACGCAAGGGTAACACAAAAACCCATTATGAGATGAGGACAATAATGCACATAGTCCTCGACAGCTGAGAGACATGCCAGAGAAAATAAGAAAATTGATTTTTAATATGAGAAATCTAGTATATTTTCTAAAATCTAAATAAATCTGAACACTGAAATATTGCAATAAATAAAGGTCGACACAACAGCCTCTACAAACTCTCAAGTCTCAGTTCAGGTCAAGTGCACTAAAAGGCCATCAACCAAAATCCTTTAAAAAGGTCTCAACAATATAGCGGATAAATAAAATAATTAGTCAAATTAAATACTCAAGGTCTACTTGCACTGGATGTGCTGGTTTTGCCCTCATCATGAGCTCATCTCATTAATCAAACACCTGTGATACACAACTCCTGTTAACACACACACACTCGTAGAGCAGTTCGAGTGAGTAAAGGCCAAACACACAGATATAGTTCCTTCTTCTTTTTTACGGCTATTATCTAACTCCTTATTGCCTATTCATCATTTTAGAAAAAAAAACAAAACAAAATGATAAACATTAATAATGATAAAATAACGATTATTGTAAATAATATGAGGTAAAAACATGTTTGACTGCCGGAGAGAGCATAACTCATGTGGAGGGAACTGCGGGAATCAGCGAGATGCTTCTTTCTGTCATTGGTGTGACGCTCGCTCTACGGCATCTGTGATTGGCTGACGACAGAGGCGCCCATAACGATTGGCTGCTGCCGGTTGACTCGGAACCAATGAAAACTCTCTTCCGCTCTCTCGCAGCCAGTGAGCGCCGTGACGAGCGGCGCGCGGGATTGTTGTGCAAATTAGATCTTCTGAGGAACGTGTGCTGTGTAGTTTAATTCTGCGCAGGATCGATCAAATAGAGTGTGTCGATCGAGTGTGTTTGATCGAGTGTGTCGATCAAATAGATCTCAGATTGAGTGCGTTTATCGCAGCATGTTCGGCAGCGCGGATCACTCCACACACTCTTCCGGCATTACGGCTCTGCTCGGTGAGACACACACACCCCTTCCGGACACACAACAACATCATTCTCACAGTAATGACACACAATGTCCACATTATGACTTAGTAAGTCATATTTATGAGGTGAAAAGACGAAAATATGATATACTACGTCATAGCTTTTAAGTCATAATGACATAAAAGTGGAACCTATGACACTTTACTAGACAGAAACGTCAGAATTATGATATTATTGGATTAAAAAGTATGACAGGCGGCAGCCATTTTTGTTGATGAAAGTTGAATATGACATAATTAGATCGAAATTATGACGTACTAAGTAACATTTATGCGATGAAAAGATGAGCAACATTAAAGCCATCAGTGAGAGTCAGAATTTTGAAGATCTTCTAAGAGATTTAGTGAGTAAATATGAAGTGTTTGTGTAGTGGGCAGATCTCTGAGTAATATTAAGTGGTTGTGTGTTTGTGTAGCGCACAGATCTCTGAAGAGACGCAGAGATGATGAGGAGCAGCTCCAGGAATCCAGCGTGAATCTGCTGATGAGAAACCAGAACACAACACAACTGTTACTGGAGATCACAGTGAGTCCGAGTACACAACACAACACACAACCCGTCTCTAAACATGATTAGATTACAGAAATAAAGGGAAAAGCATTGTGTGATTTCATGGAGTGTATTGTGTGTTTGTCAGTCACATGGTCCGATCAGAGACCTGAGCTGTGACGGATATGAAGGTCTGCAGTCGTCAGTTCTGGGTGAGACTCGTCCTGATACACACACTACCACTAACGCCTCTGAGTAATCAGTGTGTGTGCTGATGTTGTGTTGTGTTGTCGTCCAGCGGATGAGCTGCGGAGCCGATCGGAGCAGATGCAGGTTCCAGTGGCGCTGCTGGCCGCCACAGTTCTGTCTGGGAACATCCGGGATCTGATCTCACACACCGATGATGACACACACCGTGTGCTACTGAACGATGAACAGAGAGTGTGTAGCAAGATGCTGACTGATACAAATGATTCAGATTCTGATGGATATATCCATACATGACGTGTGTGTGTGTGTGTGTTTTATCATTAGACTGATGTGTGTGCGTTAGTGAAGTCCGCTCGAGCGCTGATGTCTGCTGGGATATTCAGCCCGGAACTCTTCTGGCAGGAATACTGGAAGCTGCAGGTGAGTGTGTGTGTGTTTCTGTGGGAGTGTGTGTGATTCTGTCAGAGTGTGTGTGGTTATAATTGTGACTGCCAAAACTCTTCACTTATATATTGAAATATTATAGCAACCGACTCGTGAGTATTTTCTACTGGTCCTCACTAGTAATGAAGGCTGATAAATGGGCGAAACATTGTGAGGGTCAGGGGTCGGGCTTTAAGACCGTGGGCCTCCCTTAAAACACGGCATACACCATATACACCCTCCAGTTAAAGGCGGGATCAGTAGTGTTGGCCAATGTTAATATTGGAATTCAACCCAAACCAACACACTTCCTTGCTCCGCCTCCAAAACGCACTCTCCAATCCTAACAGCCGAGTCGGTCTCGAACCCGATCCCCTGGAAGCGAGTCGAGTGACGCTAAACTCCGCATTCACTAGCAGGCGTCAGTGCGACTCCATTAGCTGGCCTCCGTTACGCACGCAATCCAAGAGAGGATATCTGTTCATACAGAAGCGCAACGGGATAATGCTTCACGAAAAATAAAGTGCAGATGAAGAACCAATGACAAGGAAGCACAAAAAATTAAAATACAGTACACAATAGAAATTTCAAAAAGAGTTGGCTGTTAGTTGCCAACAGCACTCAAACCCTGTGTTCCCCCTTGTTCCCCATGACCCCTGTGTTCCCCCTGTGTTCCCCCTGTGTTCCCACTGTGTTCCCACTGTGTTCCCCCTGTGTTCCCACTGTGTTCCCACTTGTTCCCCCTGTGTTCCCCAGGTGTTCCCCATGGGTTTCCCCCGTGTGTTCCCTTGTGTTCCCCCTATGTTCCCCATGTCTTCCCCAGGTGTTCCCCCTGTGTTCTCCCTGTGTTCCCCCGTGTTTTCCCCTTGTGTTCCCCAGGTGTTCCCCTATGTTCCCCATGTCTTCCCCAGGTGTTCCCCTGTGTTCTCCCTGTGTTCCCCCTGTGTTCCCCAGGTGTTCCCCCTGTGTTCCCCATGTCTTCCCCAGGTGTTCCCCCTGTGTTCCCCCTGTGTTCCTCAGTGTTCCTCAGTGTTCCCCCTGTGTTCCCCAGGTGTTCCTCAGTGTTCCCCAGGTGTTCCTCAGTGTTCCCCCTGTGTTCCCCCTGTGTTCCCCCATGTGTTCCCCATGTGTTCTCCCTGTGTTCCCCCTGTGTTCCCCAGGTGTTCCCCCTGTGTTCCCCATGTCTTCCCCAGGTGTTCCCCCTGTGTTCCTCAGTGTTCCTCAGTGTTCCCCAGGTGTTTCCCCCTGTCTTCCCCTGTGTTCCCCCATGTGTTCCTCTGTGTTCCCCATGTGTTCCCCCTGTGTTATCCCTGTGTTATCCCTGTTTTCCTCTGTGTTCCCCATGTGTTCCCCCTGTGTTCCCCTGTGTTCCCCCTGTGTTCCCCAGGTGTTCTTCAGTGTTCCCCCCGTGTTTTCCCCTTGTGTTCCCCAGGTGTTTCTCAGTGTTCCCCCTGTGTTCCCACCCCGGTGTTCCCCGGTGTTCCCCAGGTATTTCTTAGTGTTCCCCCTGTGTTCCCACTGTGTTCCCCGGTGTTCCCCTGTGTTCCCCAGGTGTTCCTCATGTGTTCCCCATGTGTTCCCCCTGTGTTTCCCCTGTGTTCCCCATGGGTTTCCCCTGTGTTTTCCCCTGTGTTTTCCCCTTGTGTTCCCCAGGTGTTCCTCAGTGTTCCCCCTGTGTTCCCCCTGTGTTCCCCAGGTGTTCCTCCTGTGTTCCCCAGGTGTTCCCCCTGTGTTCCCCAGTGTTCCCAGTGTTCCCCAGTGTTCCCCCTGTGTTCCCCTGTGTTCCCCAGGTGTTCCTCCTGTGTTCCCCAGGTGTTCCCCCCAGGTGTTCCTCAGTGTTCCCCCCAGGTGTTCCCCAGGTGTTCCTCAGTGTCCCCATGTGTTCCCCATGTTTTCCCCCTGTGTTCCCCAGGTGTTCCTCAGTGTTCCCCATGTGTTCCCCCTGTGTTCCCCCTGTGTTCCCCAGGTGTTCCTCAGTGTTCCCCTGTGTTCCCCATTTGTTCCCCATGTGTTCCCCCTGTGTTCCAAGGGTTGTCCCTGTGTTCCCCAGGTGTTCCCCAGGTGTCCCCCCTGTGTTCCCAGGTGTTCCTCAGTGTTACCCTGTGTTCCCCCTGTCTTTCCCAGGTGTTCCCCTGTGTTCCCCAGGTGTTCCTTAGTGTCCCCCCCCATGTGTTCCCCAGGTGTTCCTCAGTGTTCCCCCTGTGTTCCCCAGGTGTTCCCCATGGGTTTCCCCCGTGTTTTCCCCTTGTGTTCCCCAGGTGTTCCCCCTATGTTCCCCATGTCTTCCCCAGGTGTTCCCCCTATGTTCCCCATGTCTTCCCCAGGTGTTCCCCCTGTGTTCTCCCTGTGTTCCCCCGTGTTTTCCCCTTGTGTTCCCCAGGTGTTCCCCCTATGTTCCCCATGTCTTCCCCAGGTGTTCCCCCTGTGTTCTCCCTGTGTTCCCCCGTGTTTTCCCCTTGTGTTCCCCAGGTGTTCCCCTGTGTTCCCCATGTCTTCCCCAGGTGTTCCCCCTGTGTTCCTCAGTGTTCCTCAGTGTTCCCCAGGTGTTCCTCAGTGTTCCCCCTGTGTTCCCCCTGTGTTCCCCAGGTGTTCCCCAGTGTTCCCCCTGTGTTCCCCCTGTGTTCCCCCTGTGTTCCCCCTGTGTTCTCCCTGTGTTCCCCCTGTGTTCCCCAGGTGTTCCCCCTGTGTTCCCCTGTGTTCCCCATGTCTTCCCCAGGTGTTCCCCTGTGTTCCCCCTGTGTTCCTCAGTGTTCCCCAGGTGTTCCTCAGTGTTCCCCCTGTGTTCCCCCTGTCTTCCCCTGTCTTCCCCCTGTCTTCCCCTGTGTTCCCCATGTGTTCCTCTGTGTTCCCCATGTGTTCCCCCCGTGTTATCCCTGTGTTATCCCTGTGTTATCCCTGTTTTCCTCTGTGTTCCCCATGTGTTCCCCTGTGTTCCCCTGTGTTCCCCCTGTGTTCCCCAGGTGTTCTTCAGTGTTCCCCCCGTGTTTTCCCCTTGTGTTCCCCAGGTGTTTCTCAGTGTTCCCCCTGTGTTCCCACTGTGTTCCCCCGGTGTTCCCCGGTGTTCCCCAGGTATTTCTTAGTGTTCCCCCTGTGTTCCCACTGTGTTCCCCCGGTGTTCCCCTGTGTTCCCCAGGTGTTCCTCAGTGTTCCCCATGTGTTCCCCCTGTGTTTCCCCTGTGTTCCCCATGGGTTTCCCCTGTGTTTTCCCCTGTGTTTTCCCCTTGTGTTCCCCAGGTGTTCCTCAGTGTTCCCCCTGTGTTCCCCCTGTGTTCCCCAGGTGTTCCTCCTGTGTTCCCCAGGTGTTCCCCCCTGTGTTCCCCCTGTGTTTCCCAGGTGTTCCCCCTGTGTTCCCCCTGTGTTCCCCAGGTGTTCCTCCTGTGTTCCCAGGTGTTCCCCCCCAGGTGTTCCTCAGTGTTCCCCCAGGTGTTCCCCAGGTGTTCCTCTGTGTCCCCCATGTGTTCCCATGTGTTCCCCATGTTGTTCCCCAGGTGTTCCCCATGTGTTCCTCAGGTGTTCCCCCTGTGTTCCCCAGGTGTTCCTCAGTGTCCCCCATGTGTTCCCCATGTTTTCCCCCTGTGTTCCCCAGGTGTTCCTCAGTGTTCCCCATGTGTTCCCCCTGTGTTCCCCAGGTGTTCCTCAGTGTTCCCCCTGTGTTCCCCATTTGTTCCCCATGTGTTCCCCATGTGTTCCCCCTGTGTTCCCAAGGGGTTGTCCCTGTGTTCCCCAGGTGTTCCCCAGGTGTCCCCCCTGTGTTCCCCAGGTGTTCCTCAGTGTTACCCCTGTGTTCCCCTGTCTTTCCCAGGTGTTCCCCCTGTGTTCCCCAGGTGTTCCTTAGTGTCCCCCCCCCATGTGTTCCCCAGGTGTTCCTCAGTGTTCCCCATGTGTTCCCCATGTGTTCCCCCAGGTGTTTCCCCAGGTGTTCCCCATGTGTTCCCCCCGTGTTTTCCCCTGGTGTTCCCCCTGTGTTCCCCAGGTGTTCCCCAGGTGTTGCCCATGTGTTCCCCATGTGTTCCCCATGTGTTCCCCAGGTGTTGCCCATGTGTTCCCCAGGTGTTCCCCAGGTGTTCCCCAGGCGTTCCTCAGTGTTCCCTACTTGTTTGTTTATCAGGTTAAATATAGATGATCTATCTAAAGCTGTGTTTCTTTGCTCACACAGCCTGTGCTGGAGCTGACGTATCATCTACACACACACAACATCCTCACGCTGGACTTCCTGCTGCACAGGTATCACACATACACTCACTCACACACACACTCACACACACACACACAGGCTGATCTGTGATGTGTCTGATCAGAGACGCCGCATCGATGAGCTCGTGGATCACGGAGCAGCTCAGAGATCTGTGTGTTTCCATGGCAACCGCCGCGGATCAACAGCAGATGCAGCATCAGATTCTCTCCAGTAAGAAGTTCCTCCTCTCACTGCCTATGTGCATAGTGTGCTTATATTTCATATTTTACATCAGAACTGCCGAAGCATTGTGTGTAATTATACTAATAAACTGTACCAAATGAGAAGTGCAAAAATATAGAGAAATTAATAAAAGGAAAACAAAATAAGATAAAAAGGGTGAAGATGTTAAAGGGGTTGTGACTTGAGGAATCAAATTTGCCTTGATCTTTGACATATAAGAAGTCTGTAAGCTATTAAAACATCCTGCAAGATAACTAGTTTAAGACATCCTCATTACAAACAGTGTTTGTTAAATCAATCTCAGTAACAGCTCGTTCTGATGTTCTGGGATCTGTGACACTCTGGCAAATACATTTGCATAAGCCCTTCTCCAGAGCAAGACATCGACCAATAGTTACCCATCATTCCACCATAGCCCGCCCACTGGAACTACAGGCCCCGCCCACTGGTACTTAAGGTCCAGCCCACTGGTACTAGAGGCCGGCCCACTGGTATGACAGGCCCCGGCCACTGCTACTACAGGCCCCGGCCACTGCTACTACAGGCCCCGCCCACTGGTACTACAGGCCCCGCCCACTGGTACTACAGGCCCGCCCGCTTGTACTACAGACCACGCCCACTGGTCCGACAGGCCCCGCCTACTGATACTAGAGGCCTGATCTATAGACCGCCCACTGGTACTACAGGCCCCTCCCAGTGGTACTACAGACCACGCCCACTGGTACTACAGACCACGCCCACTGGTACTACAGGCCCCGCCCACTGGTACTACAGGGCCGCCCACTTGTACTACAGACCACGCCCACTGGTCCGACAGGCCCCGCCTACTGATACTAGAGGCCTGATCTATAGACCGCCCACTGGTACTATACACTTTACACTGGCTACCTGTCCGGCAGAGAATTGATTTTAAAGTCCTACTATTTGTCTTCAAATCGCTACATAGCCTAGCCCCAGCCTATCTCTCCGAACTTATTCATCCCTATACTCCATCCAGAAGCCTAAGATCCCACGACCAGGCTCTGCTGGTAGTCCCTCGTGTCAGACTTAAGCGCAGAGGGGAGCGTGCTTTTGCTGTGGCAGGGCCCCGTCTGTGGAGCACCCTGCCCCTAGAGATTCGAGCGGCCCCAAACCTGTCTATTTTTAAATCTTTGGTGAAAACCTACCCTTTCTCTTTAGCATACTGATCTCCTTTTAAGTATTTTATTAGGTTATAACTGGGTCTCTGACAAGGCTATTTGTAGCTTTTCTGCCTTCTATGTTTTTTTGTTTTTTTTGTTGTTTGTTTTTAATTCTGTGTTCTGTAAAGCACTTTGGTCTGTCTGAGCGGCTGTTTAAATGTGCTATATAAATAAATCAACTTGAACTTGAACTATAGGCCCCTCCCACTGGTACTACAGGCCCCACCCGCTGGTACTACAGCCCCCGCCCACTGATACTAGAGGCCCGCGTTCTAGACCGCCCACTGGTACTATAGGCCCCTCCCAGTGGTACTACAGACCACGCCCACTGGTACTACAGACCACGCCCACTGGCCTGATCTATAGACCGCCCACTGGTACTACAGGCCCCTCCCAGTGGTACTACAGACCACGCCCACTGACATCTGCAGAGAACAGGATAGATTTCCTCTTGTTGAAAGCAGTGACTGTATTAGATCTGCCAGCAGCTGCATCACAAACCACAAGTAAATGATTCATATATAGATAATGTTTCAATAGTGTAGCCAATCAAAACAGTGATCGTTTACTGACACGCCTTAAAGGAGTCGCGCCCTAACTGATCAGTTCAGACTGAGGCAATAGGCTTGTTGGACTTCATGCATCTCTGTGCAGACCAATCAGTGGCTGACTTGAAGCAGTGCATGCTGGTTAGAAATTTTGTCCGACAAGCCTAAAATAATCATTTTTCCACATAGATATGTTTTCTGTGCAAAAAAACGAACCTCAAGGAACATTAAAATAATATTCCTTGTCATGACCCCTTTAAATGATTAAAATAATAAAGCATATAAGAATAATAAAGTTAGATACAAAGTTAAATAATAGAACAGAAGGTCACACTAAAGATATATGTATTCAGTCCTTGTAAATCACACACTTTGAAGCAGAACGTTATATAATTTAATATTAATATATTGTTCATGTGACGGCAGAAACGAGCTTCCGTAGTTTCAGTTTATGATAAACGTTTCCCTGTATCGTTCATTTGGGCACAATGGGCCCGTTTCCCATCATGCCGAGCTGCAGTGATGTGTGTGTGTGTGTGTGTGTGTGTGTTGTAGCTGTGGTGTGTGTTCTGGTGCGGAGGGCCTTTGAAGACTCCAGTCACACACTCTCTGAGACCTGCGGCTCAATCCTGGACACCATGATGACCTGTGAGTGTGTGTTTCTGTCGTTCACTCCCCCCACGCACACACAGTCATAAAGAAATGAAGGTTTTGTTTGTCCAACGGGTCAAAGGTCAGATGTGAGTCTCGATCCAGCCGAGGAATAAGAGTCTGATCTAGACAAACCTGCGACACAGAACACACACTTATATACTTTAACCACTAATGCTGGTCTTGATCCAGCTGTGATGCGACACACAGTACGCAATCAGGGTGAAAGGTCAAGCGTGACGCTGGATCTAGTGTTTACAAAGACTAAATCAAATGCCATTTACAAAAAAAACTATAACATAAAAAGTGAAACTTTAAAGTTGTACATATTTCCTACATTTCTGAACCGTATCACACGTGACCTTTCAACTCGATTACGTAATGTGTGGCGCATCACAGCTCGTGCAAGACCTAGAGTAGTAAGTAAGGAGAGTAAATGATCTAATCCTGTAAACAGCACGTGTGTCACATGTTCATGATAATCTAATGATACGAGTGTGTTTCTGCCCAGGGCTGCTGGACACACTGAGTGATGAAGACTCGCACACCTCACCCGCCGCACTCTGGTAAATGCCTGATCAATAACGGTTCAGGAGGGGTCAGAGGTCACGGCTCATGCCAAATCAAACGGGTTTCTTCTCTGCAGCCCAGTGTTTATTTCTGCAACTGGGGACGTTTCAAACCCCGAACTCTAGTTTCCAGGATTGCAGATTTCTGTAACGGATAAGATTAATACTTCACCCCTGAAGATCAGTAATGCATTGTGGGAATGTGTGTGTCCTCTCGAGTGTGTGATGATGGATCCTCATGTCTGTTGTGTTCAGGGTTCAGGTGTTCGATGCCTCAGTGTTCGGGGTGTGTGTTTCTGAAGACACACTGCAGCGGTTCTTCACACACTCGCTCATGCGCGTTCTCACACACCAACCCGTGTTTAAAGGTGAGACTGCTTCAGTGTTCGGCAGATCATTGACTAATAGACGAGTGTATGAGTTATAGTTATAGTGTGTGTGTGTGTGTGTGTGTGTAGTGTCGGATGCCATCGCCACACAGAGTGAGTGGAGCTTCGCTAAAACCCCTCCGCTACTGACGGCTCTGTTCTGCAAGGTAAGACACTTCACGTGAACTTTGAACTCGCAGATAAACCTGAGCTTATTCATTACATGTCATGTGCCTTCACAAGCTCACTGAGATCTGACTCTTTACACACACACACACACACACACACACCTGTATGTGTAGATCTCTACAGGAAGTGCTCTGCTCGTCTCAGAGGTCCAGGATGGCGGCCTCACTTGGTTTTGCTTTTCCAGTAGAGCTGCTACGCTCTCAGGGATCAGCCATGATGATGACGATAAAAACCTTGACATCTGATCAGATTCATCCTGTGTGTGTGTGTGTGTGTGTCAGATCTGCGTTGTCTTCAGCGTGGAGTGTGTGTTGGATCAGCTGCTGCGGGTGTTGGAGACACACGAGGTGAACTGGCGTCACGTGCTGTCGTGTGTGTCTCACCTGCTGGTTCATGATGCGCAGACACAGAGCCACCTCACAGGTACACACACACACACACACACACACTACAGCTCTTCAGCTTCTGCTAATGGTGCGTTCACACTGGATGCGAATGGCGCGTCAGGCGCAAATGATTTCAATGTTAAGGCAATGCAAAGACGCGTTACGCACGTAAAAAATTCCTGCGGCGCGGAAGATCTGAATGCCACGAATTGAGCGTCTGGCGCGTTAAGCGCGAATTATTTAGTTAGTGCTATTTGTGCATTCGCGTCTGCCGCCCGAGTTGAAAAATCTGAACTTTGGCGTCAATTCTAACCAATCAGGAGCCTAGCTGCTTGCTCACGTGGTGAAGTGTCTGGATGCTTCAATAAATTATTTTGTTAATATGACTAAATGCATGGTGGGATTATGCACAACAAAGCAAATATTTTATCACTTCAAACATTATTTCTATATACGAGACATGTTCATTTTCTATTGAATGTTATTTATTCCATACCTAGATTATATGAAACAGTATCATGATGTAAAGACAATCAACATATGTGCATAAGTTCGTGTCTGGACGTGAGAGAGAAATTAATCACAGGACAGGTTAATAACTTTTGAAGGCCGGCTCTATTTATCATCAAAACAAAAATAAATGACAGCTAGATTAGGTGGATGAGGGCGAGGGTGATCCTCACTCCGATGCGGGACAACAGGTCATCAAACTGGGCGCGTGACAGGCGGAAGTACCGCTGACAGCGGCCGTCATCCAGCGCAGCTCCTGGAGCGAGCAAACAGTGAAACTCGCCAAACGGTTCGGCTCTGAAGGGTCTGGTGGACACAAATATACGGCGACGATGATCCCCACGCCGCTGTTCTGCTCTCCAGAGTAAATACAGAGCGGTGACTCTCTTGATGAATGCTCGGTCCACATAAAAACAATGGCCGCCAATGGATTTCGATTCTGACGCGTTTTGCTTCAAACTTCTGTTTTTATGCACGCCAGTTTCACTCTTGACACGCGAATTAACACAAAGTGGTCAAGCGTCAAACTTGTCGCGTCAGGCGCGAATTTGAAACGCTATTCGCATCTGTTGTGAACACAACATAAGGGTCTCTCTCACACACACACACGCACACACACACTACAGCTCTTCAGCTTCTGCTAAGGGTGTCTGTCACTACTCTCACACACACACACACACACACACACACTACAGCTCTTCATCTTCCTGACCCCTGTGTTCAGATCTTCTGTCCCGGATGCTGAGGTCGTCGTGTCACGGCTGTGATGTGGAGAAGATGGTGTCGCTGTTCCTGCTGTCCCGTCAGGCGTCTCTCGAGGGACCCGCCGTCTTCCCCTCGTACAGCGACTGGTTTAAAGTCAGTCCCGCGCTGAACCCTCGGGGTGTGGTGTTGTGTTCCCGCCAGTTTGAGAGGATTATCGTGTTAGGGTTAGTTAGGGTTAGTTAGAGTTATTTAGAGTTAGTTATGGTTAGTTAGAGTTAGTTAGGGTTAGTTAGGGTTAGTTAGAGTTAGTTAGGGTTAGTTAGAGTTAGTTTGGGTACAACTGCAAGTTTACATCTCGAAATTTTGACTCTCCGATTTGCGTGATATTAAGTCACAAACACAAATTATTATAAAAAATGTTATAATTGTTATAAAGTTGCAATTTTGTTTTCTGCAAGATAAAAACTTTTCCTCTCACAATTCTGACTATATCACACGATTTCGACTTTATTTCACGCAAATCTGAGAAATAAAGTCGGAACTGTGAGATGTAAACTTGCAATTGTGAGTGAAAGAAAGTAGCAATTACCTTTTTTTCTTTTGTATTCTGTGGCGTAAACCATCTTCCACACACACCTTCCCAACGTTTCTTCACAATTCTTGTACTTTTAGTTTTTTCCCTCCTTGTTATACTTGTGGTGTTCCCCGGCTTATCAATCTCTCGCTCTGCTGTTATCGGCCTGGATTAAGTGGAGTTTTTCACACAGCACATGTTCAGTATGTGGTTCTGATTGATCTCAGTAGCTTTAGGTGAAAAGGTTAACCTTAGTTCACGCATAAACTGAGTCAGAGCCACAGAAATACAGAACCTGTGCTAATGAACGGAAGCTGATGAGATTGATATTCAACAGTTCAGGGTTCGCTGAGTCCTGATGTCCTCGTGTGTGATGTGTGTGGTTGACCTGAGGGTGCTCTTCTTCTTCTTGGTCAGTTGTCGTTCGGTGGATCCAGCAGTTTCCACGCTAAGAGCAAGAAGTCCACAGTGTTCCTGCTGAAGTTCCTGTCCGACCTGGTTCCCTTTGAACGCCCCCAGTATCTGAAGGTGAGTGTGTGTGTGTGTGTGTGTGTGCGGTCCGAGAGCCGCCGGTGCCGATGGCCTGAGTGTGACCGCTGTGTGCTGTTCTCCAGGTCCACGTCATGCACCCGCCGTTCGTCGGGGGGAAGTACCGCTGTCTGCTGCAGGAGTACGTGACGCTCGCCAGGACACGGCTGACAGATCTGAAGGTCAGAGGGCGCCGGTCCAGTGGAGGTCAAGGTGTGCTACTGCGGGACTGACGGGGTGTGTGTGCGTGTGTGTGTGTGTGCAGGTGTCGCTGGAGGAGACGGGCATCTTCGAGGTGGTGAACGGCTCCGCCGGTGCGGTTGAAGTAAGTCATGTGACCTGTGTGAACGCTGCTCTCAGTCTCTTCTGTGTTACGGACACATTTCTGATGTTCCTGATCTGCTGTGTGTGTGTGTGTGTGTGTGTGTGTGTGTGTGCCAGTGTCCAGCACAGCAGGATGTGGAGAAGGCCGTAACTCTCTTCATGAGCACCAATAAGATCCCAGCGACAGTGATAGAGGCCAGGTACACACACACACACACATACACACACACACACACACACACACACACACACACACACACTGTTTTCTGAGGGGTGTTTCCTGTGTGTATTAGTATCTTCAGGAGGCCGTATTTCCTGACTCGATTCCTGCCTGCTCTTCTCTCTCCGCGTGCGGTCAGTATCACCCTCTCTCTGACACACACACACACACACACACACACACACACACACACACACACACCTGCCCCTTCACGGCTCTCTAATGCTCTTCTCTCTTCATTACAGCTTCCTGTAACGCCTGATGCCAGAATGACCTTCATTGAGGCCTTGAGGAAGTAGGTGTCACTGTACAGTGTGACGCTCTCTGGAGTGTGTGTGTGTGTTGATCTTCTCTAGAGTGTGTGTGTGTGTGTTGATCTTCTCTAGAGTGTGTGTGTGTGTGTGTGTGTGTGTGTGTGTGTTGATCTTCTCTGTAGTGTGTGTGTGTGTGTGTGTGTATTGATGATCTCTACAGTGTGTGTTGATCTTCTGTGAGTGTGTGTGTGTGTGTTGATCTTCTCTGTAGTGTGTGTGTGTGTGTTGATCTTCTCTAGAGTGTGTGTGTGTGTGTGTGTGTGTGTGTGTGTTGATCTTCTCTGTAGTGTGTGTGTGTGTGTGTGTGTGTATTGATGATCTCTACAGTGTGTGTTGATCTTCTGTGAGTGTGTGTGTGTGTGTTGATCTTCTCTGTAGTGTGTGTTGATCTTCTGTGTGTGTGAGTGTGTGTGTGTGTGTATCGATGATCTCTGTAGTGTGTGTTGATCTTCTGTGTGTGTAGGGTGGATAAGATCCCGGCCGCGCTCTACACGTCATACACACACTCGTGTCAGAGGGAGACGCACCGCCAGAAACGAGGTGCTCATAATCACATGATTAACCCTCTCATTAAACATCACACAGTCATGAACAAGAGTGTTTATGTTTTACACCAGGGTCCGTCAGTAGCGTTGTTACGTGAGGTGATAGTGTGTGTGTGTGTGTGTGTGTGTGTGTGCTCAGGAGGAAAACGATGAATTTAATGGCAGATCAAGTCAGCTTTATTTATATCACGCTTTATTCAGGATAGATCTTTCCAAAGCAGCTTAGAGAGTGTGTGTGATGATGATGATGATGATGTTCACATAACTTGCTCTGATGTTTGAGAAGTGTCCACTGCGGTGTGTTGTGTGTCGGTTTAGTTGAGCAAGCAGTTGATAAGAGGTGTGTGTGTGTTTAGGTGTGTGTGAGTCCAGTGTGGACGATCATCAGGTGATTCTACGAGAGCAGTTCCTTCAGCTGAGGACGTTGATGACTGACGGGGGTACACACACACACACACACACACACACACACACACACTCACTCTCTCTCAAATACACACACACACTCTAAATCCTGCTGTGTTGTGTCAGATGTTTGTGCTCAGCTGTCCAGGATCTCTCAGACGTTGAGGAACATATGTCCCGATGAAGAGACAGGAAGTGATGTCATCACGCTGGACCTGGATTCGCCTGATTCGACACACGCTGATGTATGAACACACACAGATTCGTGATGTTTCTCACACACACACGCTCACACTCACTCACTGCATGAACACAGATGCATGCTCTTACACACACACACTCACAGCCGTATGAAGACAGATTCATGATGTTATACACCCACACACACACACACACTCACAAACTGCTTTATGAACATACACACTTACTGCCGTATTAACACACACACACATTGAACATGATGTCATGATAGGCATCCACACGACACACACACGTCCTGTCCGACGTCTCCACAACCGAGCGCAGCGCTACCTTAAGCTACAGTGTGTATCATCCGGCCGATTGAGTGTGTGTTAAAGCCAGACCGGAGTGTGTGTTAAAGCCAGACCGGAGTGTGTGTTAAAGCCAGACCGGAGTGTGTGTTAAAGCCAGACCGGAGTGTGTGTTCCGTCTGTTTGACTGGACAATCAGATCATGTATAAGCTAACACGAGCAGCTCATCCGTTACAGTGTTTTTAAAGCTGTTGGAGTATTGTTCTCAGTGCATGGTGACGAACGTTAACGAATGAAACCTTACCGTAAAGTGTGACCGCTTATCGTCACGGTAACGATGATGGATGTGCTGTTAAAGCCTCTCTCGTCTCTCAGGTGGCCAATCTGACCTTGCAGAGCTTCTGTGTGTGTGTGCTGGACGCTTCCCGAATCAGCCCTCCGAACAGGTACGACACACACACCATCATCATCATCACCACTAAACGAGCAAGAATAAGCCCCGCCCCTGTTTCTCATGCTTGAATGCCATTGGCCGCTGTAGAACAACAGCGTTATTCGAGTCGAGTGAACCGAAATCTGCCGTTCTGTGTGAACTAAGCCTTTTTCAACAAGCGTGACTATTAAAGGATACTTCAGGATTTAGCATTAAGCTTTGTATTAGTAAAACACCTGTAGTGTGTTCGAATCACCCCGTCATATCCCCCCGAGACGAGAGATTTATGGATTTTTTTTGTCTGGAAAATCGCCATTTTGCGTCAGCAGAGGATGTTTTGTCCAGACGCTAAAGACTCCAGTCAGTAGTCGGGTCTGTCTCGCGTGTCCTCACCCCGCCCACAGAGGGGGATCTCACTCACAGAATGAACACATCCCAGATAGCAAACTGACATTGAATCAACGTTGATCTGACATTGTTTTGCTCATCGAATTAACGTTGAACCAACGTCAGACGCGTCATTCTTTCAAAACTAACGGAAAATCAACTTGAAATCAACGCGTTGTTTCAACGTTATGAAAGCAAACCAATTTTCGATTTTCATTTAGCTTTGAAGAATGCCGCGTCTGACGTTGGTTCAACGTTAATTCGATGCGTAAAATCAACGTTGTTTCAATGTCATGAGAGACGTCGTTTCCACGTTGATTCAATGTCAGTTTGCTGTCTGGGCATAGTGTCGGCCATCTTGTTTTTGGAAGCTAAGCTAACAGGCTATTGTTGTAGTGAGTCCCTACAATGGGGTGATGTAGGTTTTTAGGTTTTTTTGGGTTTTTTTTGGTTTTCTGACCCCCAAGACTCAACTAATCTCTGCAATTCTCCATCTGTGATCCTTGAAGAGTCTTTGACCACTCAAACTTTCACGCTCACCGTCCATTAAGACAATAGGCAGAATCGTAACATCTTTAGTTGATTATAACTTCTTAATTATTGTCCTGATGGTCAAAATGGGGATTTTCAATTATTTGGCTATTTTCTTACAGCCACTTTCTATTTTGTGAAGCTCAACGATCTTTTGATGCACATCAGAACTATATTCTCTGGTTTTGCTCATTGTGATGGATGATTCAGGGGATTTGGTCTTTGTGTTTCCTCATATTTAAACTCCTGTGAAACAAGAAGTCATGGCTGGACAATTTCATGTTCCCAGTCACCCTAGTGTGCTAAAAAAGGTGAATATTAATGGGAATATATATGGGAATACTCATACAATATTCTAGGGGTGCAAATAATTGTGGCCTACGTGTTTTGGAGAAAAACATTTATTTCATAATGTGATTCCGCCCCCACTTTCAATTCATTTACTTCAAAGGTTAGAATTTTGCTAATTTTTTGAATGAAAGATCAAAAAGATAAACAATGCAGATTTATTTTTTACAGCCAGTTTTGTTCATGTTTACCAGGGGTGTCATTAATTCTGCCCATGACTGTACATCAGTGTGTGTTTAATGAGCGTGGTGTTGTCCTCAGGCAGGGCTCATGGCCGGGTGTGTTTGTGAAGGTGCTGTTGGGCCACCGATGGCTCGTCTCTGCCCTGATACACAGACTGTGGGATCTGCTCCAGCACCAGGTGATGACTGTCCCTCTCATGTGTTTTATCACTCTCTCAGTGCATGCGTGTGTTTCAGGCCGAGGCTCTGAGTGCGGCTCATGTTCTGTGTGTGTGTGTTTGTGTTTCAGGCTGAGGTTCTGAGCGCGGCTCATGTTCTGGGTGTGGCGGCGCTGACGGTGGAGCTTCATCACTGCACACAGGTGTGTGTTCGGGTGCAGCTGACGGGCTCGTCTGCGGTCGCTCTCTCCGTGTCCCAGTGTCTCTGTGAGGCTCTGATCTGCTCCACACGTGCACACATGGCCCTCTGCCTCAGGTCTGACCCCCATATCATATCATCCTCATATCACACACCTTTATCGCTGCCAAAAATGAATAGGTCCACACAAGATAAATTTAACATATTAAAGGGTTAGTTCACCCAAAAATGAAAATTAAGTCATTAATTACTCACCCCCATGCTGTACCAACCCCGTAAGACCTTCGTTCGTCTTCGGAACACAAATGAAGATATTTTTGATTAAATTTGAGAGCTGTATAACTACCACATTGGCTCCTAAAGGGACTGCCTCTTGACGGCCCAGAAAGTCAATGAAGAAAATGTTTAAATATCCCAAGTGACTACCGTGGCTCAACTATATGTTTATCAAGCGACGCGAATACTTTTTGTGCGAAAAAACAAACAAAAATAACGAGTTTATTCGACTATTTCTTTTCTTCCTTGTAGGCCAGAAACGAGACTTCCTTAGATTTCCACGACGCATGCGCGAGAATTGCGATCTCCTTACACTACTTCAGTTCAATTCTCGCGCATGCGTCGTGGAAATCTAAGGAAGTCTCGTTTCTGGCCTACAAGGAAGAAAAGAAATAGTCGAATAAACTCGTTATTTTTGTTTGTTTTTTTGCACAAAAAGTATTCGCGTCGCTTGATAAACATATAGTTGAGCCACGGTAGTCACTTGGGATATTTAAACATTTTCTTCATTGACTTTCTGGGCCGTCAAGAGGCAGTCCCTTAGGAGCCAATGTGGTAGTTATACAGCTCTCAAATTTAATCAAAAATATCTTCATTTGTGTTCCGAAGACGAACGAAGGTCTTACGGGGTTGGTACAGCATGGGGGTGAGTAATTAATGACTTAATTTTCATTTTTGGGTGAACTAACCCTTTAACAAAACAAAAACACATTCTGAATCCTCCGGCACTGTGTACATCTGGAATAACAGCCAGGGGAGGGAATCGGCTAAATTATCATAACATATAAGGTATCATCCAAAATATCAGTTATCGGCTTCCAAATATACAGAATTATCGGTATCTGCTGATATATAGGTTATCAGCTTCCAAATATACAGAATTATTGGTATCGGCCAATATATCGGTTATCGGCTTCCAAATATACAGAATTATTGGTATCTGCTGATATATCGGTTATCAGCTTCCAAATATACAGAATTATTGGTATCGGCTGATATATCAGTTATCGGCTTCCAAATATACAGAATTATTGGTATCTGCTGATATATCGGTTATCAGCTTCCAAATATACAGAATTATTGGTATCGGCCGATATATCGGTTATCGGCTTCCAAATATACAGAATTATTGGTATCTGCTGATATATCGGTTATCAGCTTCCAAATATACAGAATTATTGGTATCTGCTGATATATCGGTTATCAGCTTCCAAATATACAGAATTATTGGTATCTGCTGATATATCGGTTATCAGCTTCCAAATATACAGAATTATTGGTATCTGCTGATATATCGGTTATCAGCTTCCAAATATACAGAATTATTGGTATTGGCCGATATATCGGTTATCAGCTTCCAAATATACAGAATTATCGGTATCGGCTGATATATCGGTTATCGGCTTCCAAATATACAGAATTATTGGTATTGGCCGATATATCGGTTATCAGCTTCCAAATATACAGATTTATTGGTATCGGCCGATATATCGGTTATCAGCTTCCAAATATACAGAATTATTGGTATTGGCCGATATATCGGTTATCAGCTTCCAAATATACAGAATTATCGGTATCGGCCGATATATCGGTTATCGGCCTCCAAATATACAGAATTATTGGTATTGGCCGATATATCGGTTATCAGCTTCCAAATATACAGATTTATTGGTATCGGCCGATATATCGGTTATCGGCCTCCAAATATACAGAATTATTGGTATCGGCCGATATATCGGTTATCGGCCTCCAAATATACAGAATTATTGGTATCGACCGATATATCGGTTATCGGCTTCCAAATATACAGAATTATTGGTATCGACCGATATATCGGTTATCGGCCTCCAAATATACAGAATTATTGGTATCGGCCGATATATCGGTTATCAGCTTCCAAATATACAGAATTATTGGTATCGGCCGATATATCGGTTATCGGCCTCCAAATATACAGAATTATTGGTATTGGCCGATATATCGGTTATCAGCTTCCAAATATACAGATTTATTGGTATCGGCCGATATATCGGTTATCGGCCTCCAAATATACAGAATTATTGGTATCGGCCGATATATCGGTTATCGGCCTCCAAATATACAGAATTATTGGTATCGACCGATATATCGGTTATCGGCTTCCAAATATACAGAATTATTGGTATCGACCGATATATCGGTTATCGGCCTCCAAATATACAGAATTATTGGTATTGGCCGATATATCGGTTATCAGCTTCCAAATATACAGAATTATTGGTATCGGCCGATATATCGGTTATCGGCCTCCAAATATACAGAATTATTGGTATCGACCGATATATCGGTTATCGGCTTCCAAATATACAGAATTATTGCAGAGATTATTTTTAGAGAGATACACTGATGAGAGCTACATACATCTAATACGACAAGTTCATTTCTGCAACTTGGTCATTGCGGTTTAAATGACTGATAGTACAATTTATCAGGAACGTTTTGCATTCATATCGTAGTGCTCGTGTGTGTGAGGTGGCCGTGTGTGTGTGTGTATCTTCAGGTTGTGTGTGGCTGTTCTGTCGTACGGCCTGTGCAGAGCCAACGCTCAGTCAGAGGAACTCCAGAACTTCATCCCAAAAACACTTTATAAAAAGGTACAGAAGCAGTCGGGTGTTGATGCTCAGAGTGGAGCTCTCTCACTGCACGTGTGTGTGTGTGTGTGTGTGTGTGTGTTCAGGCTCAGTATGTGATGGCCAGGCTGGTCCCCGGGACGCGAGCGCTCCTGAGCGAGGAGGACGAGCCGGATGCGTGCGCAGGTGTGTGTGATCTGACGGGGCGAGTGCAGGACTCCGCTGTGGCGCTGTGGAGGAACACACAGATCCGATCCCTGAGGAAACGGCCTCAGTATCAGGTACTCTCACAGCCTCACTCTCCCAGGAGACGGCGGCGTGGCGGACGGCTAACTCTCTCGTCTCTTCAGCTCTCGTTCTCGGAGTGGCTCTCAGCTGAGCTTCAGGTTCACCGGAGCCGAGACGCCCTGACGGATGCAGAGAGGTACAGCAGCGCACACACACACACACACACACACACACACTAACACAAACAGTGTGTGTGTGTGTGTCAGGCAGGAGTATGAGCAGTGGGCGTGTCTTCAGTATCTGCACATGTCGGAGTGTGACGGAGGCTGTGATGGAGACGTGACTCAGATCTGCGCTCGCATCATCTCTGCTGTTCTAGACCATCACATGACGTGAGTGACTCGCATAGAGATCAGAGCGATCTCAGTCATACCTCACCTAATGTGTGTGTGTGTGTGTGTAGGTCACGGACAGGAGCGCGCTCTACTCCACACACTGACCGCTGTCTGCCGGACCTGCTGTCGCTCCTACAGGTGCGGGTCTCCTTCATCCTCATCTTCCTCTCGCGGACACATCCAGCGTTCACAGCAGCAGTCCTTCGGTGTCTCTCTCTCTCTCTCTCTCTCTCTCTCAGGCGTTCCTGTATGAAGAGCTGCTCACTCACAGCGCATCTGAGGACACGGGTCACTTCCTCTGGGACCTGATTGACAGCAGGTGCTCCGTGACCCCTGACCCCGACAGCATCGCACAGGAGCTGAAATATCAGCAGACGCTTCACGACCTGAGCCGGTACTCACTCACACACACACACACACACACTCACTCACACTCACACACACACACACACACTCACGCACGCGCTGTGATGGTGTTGGTGTCTCTCAGGGTTCTGGCTCTACTTCCTGCTGCCCTGCTGGTGTCCGCCAGAGCCGACCGGAGAACCCTGGACTGCCGTCGGATGATGGACCACATCACGCATGTTCAGGTCTCAGCACGACATGCATGATCTGTGATGTGATGATGAGGTGTGTGTGTGACGTGTGTGTGTCTCTCAGAGGAGGGCGAGTGGATCTGCTGGCCTGCTGTCCTTCAGTCTCACGGCTCACTTCCTCAAAGTAGGTGACTTCATCCCTCACAGACGTCTGCTGCACCGTGTAGGTAACAATGCTAGTGTTAGAGGAAGTGCTGTGTCGTCTCCGGTGTCCACAAGAGGGCGCCAGCGAGCAAACATGAACCAAATCAAGCATCGCTTCTGCTAAACTGCAGTAACTTTTCAAACATTAAATAAAATATAATTTCCTTAATGTGCATGCAAGGGAAATTAGGTTACAGTAGTGCATAAAACTGTGTGTGTGCATCAGTGACCTGAGAAAACACACTTCAACACACACAGCGTAATGAACTACATGAACACACACCAGCAAACTGGCCTACAGAAACACTTCTACTCTCAACATCTACATATGGAGCATCACACACACACACACACACACACCAGACGCTCTTCATCTGAGCGAGTGCAGAGCACTTTCTCACACACACTCACACACACACACACACGCTGAGCGCTTTCTGTTGACAGTGTTTCAGCTGATTTAGTGTTTAGCAGAAACACACCGCATCACTGACGACATCATCATGTTTTACGCGCCTCGACACACACACATTCAAATGTACGGTTTTTGCTGTCGAATTAGCAGTTTATTTATTGAAGGAGTATTGTGAATGTGACAGGAAACGCTTCAGTATTAGCAGTGTGTGTGTACGTCTGATGTGTTTCAGGCGGTGGTGTGTGTCGGCGCGAGCTGTGCCGGTCCTGCTGACGCCGTGAACGCGTGTGTGTCGGAGTTCAGCGCTCAGTGTCCACTGCTGCTGCTGTCTGCTGCGGTAATCACGTGTGTGTGTGTGTGTGTGTGTGTTAGGAGGTTGGGTCACACCATCACTATATTGGCGGCAGCTGAATGTACGTTTGTGACACCTACAGGTTGTACGATGAACCAACGTTAAATAGAAATCGCTATATTGCCTAGAGAGATTTAGAGTTAGATGAATATGTCAGTATTGTGTTTCACGAAGTTGTGATTACAATTTTCACCGTCTCAGAACGGCTTCGGTTAATTAAAGGGTTAGTTCACCCAAAAATGAAAGTTATGTCCAAGCTAGGGGTTGAACGACTTCAGATTTTTTGAAGTCGACTGTTGTGACGTCGACTAGTCGCTGACGTCATTCATAAAAACACAAGAGATGTGACAGATTTGCAACACGCCACAATTTGCAATTAATTAACAGAAAATTACACAGACGCTGACAGATCATAATGGGGCCGTTTACACCTGGACACTTCATGCGGTTTTACGGACCTGATTTATCAAACGATGCCATTACACCTGGTCACATAAATATGTTTTCGCATCCGATCGTCAAACAACGCGCTACATGCAGATTTAACGGAGTTCACGTCACCGAACGCAACAGTAATGAGCTGCATTTTATTGATCATCAGCTAATTTCACAATCAAAGACCGCAATAAGAGAGAGAGCACTGCTAGATCATTTTGTTTCTTTACTTTTAACGAAGATGATTGTGTGTTAAGCGTCTGTGACTTCCTTTCACTTTGATTTATGATAGTTTGCACGTTGGCTTTATGAATAGATGCTCATCTGCGGTGCGTGTCATAGCTTCGTCATATAATGAATATAGTAGCATAGGCTGCTCTTACACGTTTTATTTCAGCATTTTTGGGAGAAGTCCAATTTACGTTTCCAATTTACTGGTGTTTTCACGATCGGATAGCAATCAGATCACAGAAACACGTGAAGTGGCCAGACGTAACGTTAGCTAAACAGCCCGCTGTTTACATCATCAGGATGAAAAGAAAAAAAAAAGCTATAAATTCACATCTGCACGTTAGTGATGGATCTAAGTAATACAAAATAATATCCCTGTTGATTGCGGGTGAATTAGATGCATTAATATGTTTAAATAAATATATGAAAAAAATAGGCTAATGTTTGAATGATTTTAAAAGAGAAACTCTCATTTCCCGGTAAAACAGAGAGCGCGCGTCATGCTTTTACTTTCGTTTTCAACAATATAGTGCTACGTTAGTGAAGTATTTCCATACGCTTTATGTGCCAATGCTGCTTTCTTGCTGCAATGACCCTCTGGGCTCTTCATCTGTTGTCGTCTTTAACGCGGCCATATACTATTAAAATTAGCGCAATCATACATTGTCACATGATCAACGCGACTAGTCGACGTCAAGCTTAAAGCGTCACGGCATTGCATTAAGGTCGACTAGTCGGTTCAACCCCTAGTTCAACCCCGTCAGACCTCCGTTCATCTCCAGAACACAGTTTAAGATATATTAGATTTAGTTCGAGAGCTTTCTGTCCCTCTGTTGAACATGTGTGTACGGTATACTGTCCTTGTCCAGAGAGGAAATAAAGACGTCATTAAAGTAGTCCATGTGACATCAGTGGGTTAGTTACATTGTTTTGAAGCATCGAAAATACATTTCGGTCCGAAAATAACAAAAAACTACGACTTTATTCAGCATTGTGTTGTCTTCCGGTTCTGCGTTCATGAGTCCGCAGTGATGCTGCTGACGTGTGTCTGGTAACCAGTAACCAGTTGCGGACTCATGAAAGCAGAGACAGGAAGAGAATACAAAGCTGAATAAAGTCGTAGTTTTTGTTATTTTTGGACCGAAATGTATTTTCGATGCTGTATATGTACCATCGATCTCAGATGTGTGTAATAACAACCAATAACACACAGACATTTATAATAAAAATGCGAATCGCAAGTTCCCTTTCGACCGGTCAGTCGTGTTGCGTTGCTAGAGGAGCAGTTTGAGCTGGTGTCCGTGTGAGTCGAGCCCATCATTATTCCTACGGTCCTCATCTGAACTCATTAGCCCTCGAGCTCGGTCCTAGAACGTGGCGTTCTGATTGGATATATTAGCACGGCAGGATTGGATTGGTTCCCCATCGGTTCTAGCAGACACAATACGACTGACCGTTCGAAAGGGAGTGATTTGGTTACTAGCATGATCTGGGTTCTCTGAGATGTGTGTGTATTATATCCTCATGGCAGTCGGCGGTTCTTCCTGTGGGATTGACAATCCAGACATCTCAGGGTATCATATCAGAGTGACACACATTTTTCAAAAGGTTGGGAAAAACGGTTCTAAAGCAGTGTGTGTGTGTGTGTGTGTGTGTGTGTGTGTGCAGCGCTGGTGGAGGCGTCTCTCGGTGGCGCTCAGCTCGCAGTGGAAGCGTCTGACTGGACGAGATGCTCTTCCTCAACAGCTGCAGATGCTGGACCACACTCACAGCTGGAGCTCACGGTACACACACACACACACACACTCACACACTCAGTCTGAAATATCTTACATCATACGAGGAAAAGTCCCCCTGTAGTTGATAATTGTTTCCCTTAAAGGAGACATGTCATGAAAATCTGACTTTCTCCATGTAAGTGCTGTAGACTGTTTTGTCCAGACACTGGTCCAGAAGCACTTCCTGTTTCAGTTTTTTAACACTACACAAAAGCTGGGATAAAATACAACCAACAGAACATTTAAAACTGAATCAAAAAGTTAAACAACATCTTTAAGATGTTTTCTTTACGTGTGAAATAAAGAAAACAGTCACAAACTGAAACAGGAAGTGCTTCTGGACCAGTGTTGTTTGGTCTATAAACCATATAACTATCTACAACTCTATCCAAACCCGGTGTCGAGAGAGTGTGTATCATGTGTGACGTGTCGGCCCAGGAGTGAGAGTGGGCCAGTAATGCTCCTAAATCTGGCCGAGGGCCCTATGATTTATTATATATATATATACACGATTTTTAATGTTTTTAATGAAGTCTCTTCTGCTCACCAAGGCTGCTTTATTTGATGGGAAAAAAATGACAAACAGTAATATTGTGAAATATTGTGACAATTTAAAATGACTGTTTTCTATTTTAAAATGTAATTTGAAAGCTGAATTTTCCACATCATTACTGTTGCTGATTACACATCAGTTTTCAGTGTCACATGATCCTTCAGAAATCATTCTAATATGCTGATTTTATGCTCAAAAAACATCAATTATTATTTTCAATGTTGAAAACAGTCGTGAACCATTTCCCCCCCCAAAATTCTATGATGAATAGAAAGTTGAAAAGAACAGCATTTATTTAAAATATAATCTTTTCTAACATTATAAATGTCTTTACTGTAACTTTTGATCAATTTAACTCATCCTTGATGAATAAAAGTATTTTCTTATTTCTTTCCCCCAAAAATAAAAAAAATAATTCTTTTGAGTGGTAGTGATTAATGTTACAAAAGCTTTCCATTTCAGATCAATTCTGTTCTTTTGAACTTTCTATTCATCAAAGAATCCTGCAATAAAAATGTAAAAAACTGTTTTCAACATGGATAATAATCATAAGTGTTTCTTGAGCATCATATAATAATTTCTGTAGGATCATGTGACACTGAAGACTGGAGTGATGATGCTGTAAATTCAGCTTTGATCACAGGAATAAATTACACTTCACTATATATTCACATAGTTTTAAATTGTAATAATATTTCACAATATTAATGTTTTTTTTTTGTTTGTTTTTTTTTTAATCAAAGTTTCATCACCTTGGTGAGCAGAAGAGACTTCATTTAAAAACATAAACAATCTTACTGATCTAAAACTTTTGACCGGTAGTGTATATATATATTTTTTTGACGCCCATTTTAATAAATTATTTTTTTGAAGCAACTAATAAAACAGTCCCTGAAGATGATAAAATAGCTGACATGTTCTCTAGGCGGCCCTTATACTTCCGGGTCGAGCTAGGAGTGACGCCATAGGCTGCCCCTGGTCAGTATCGATGGCTGTGATTGGATCAGCTTTCAGACAGCGGTTCACATGGCGTCATCAACGCAGTGTTGTCCCCTTCCTGTGTGTGTGTGTGTGTGTGTGCTGTAGGCTGATGAAGGGACTAGCGTCTGCGGCTCCGGCGGCTCCGTCATGGCTGCTCTCCGCGGCTCTGCACAGCGTCCTCAGGAGATCCGACAGCGAGAGCAGGACACGGGTCCTCACACAGCTGGACCACACGGATCAGGTCAGTCACGTGATCTCACAGGCCTACGGCGAGAGCACTTCCTGTTCTGATGCTCTTCCTGTCTGGTGTAGGTGTGGCTCTTCCTGTTTCTCTACAGTGCGATGGAGCTCGTGTCTGCTCAGCTGAACGATGACGTGTGTGTGAAGCGTGTCCGAGACGCCAGCGCGGGTCTGCTCGCTCACCTCCTCCTGCACGATGCTGATTGGCTGCTGCTGTTCGACCAGTCCGGGTCAGGTGTGAACGAGTCACGTCAGCTTTATTCTGGACCAATCGTGTCACACGAGAGCATTGAGCTGATGACATGTCATGATCATGTGACGCTTCTTCTGTGGTAGATCACAGACTGTCTGGTTTCCTGTCGCGTGTGGCGTCTCCGCAGATCCTCCGACTGATGCCGTTTGCCTTCTACAGGTGAGAGGCGCGCTCGTGTGTGTGTGTGTGTGTGTGTGTGTGTGTGCTGACGGTGTCTCATCTCCCAGCATCCTCTCTGCACTGGACTCGGAGGCCCTGACGCGAGCGGTCCGATCTCCTGGCTTCCTCTACAGAGCGGCCGTCTGCTACAGGGATCTCAGTCAGCTGATCATGAGCGGCTCACACACACAGCAGCAGGTCAGAGCAGCGGCTCACACACACACACACTCACACACACACACACACTCAGCTTCAGTCTGTCCCCTGTGTGTCTCTCTCAGGTCCTGCTGGAGGCCCGTAAACTGCTGATGAGCAGCATCTCTCTGAGCTCACACACCTGTCTGACACTCAGCCAGAGAAAACAGGTACACACACACACACACACACTGAGGTAAAGAGATGAGTGTGTGCTCTTTAAAGGACAGTTCACCTAAAAAATGAAAGCTAGCCCATGATTGGCTGTCCCTCGAGCGGTCCCAGATGTGTTCGAGATCCTTCTCTCTTATAGTCTATCCTATAATAATTAACTGATTTAAATATGTGTGTGTTATGTGTATGCTAGGTCAAAGAGATGTGTCGCCGGCGCCGATAAAGTCATCCAGACAGCAGATTTGAACAAAACTAAATAATCAAGTGCCAAAACAAAAACGAGTATAGAAAACAAGCTTGTTAATAATCACCCTTTATTAAATGTATGAACACAGAAATCTTGTCCGTCAGCCTGGCGTCTCCGTCACCGCTCAGAGAAGGCTACGCTACACATGATCACATGACTCACCGTGTTTGAGGACTGATCTACTCGCCACAGCTGTTTGATAACTCGTAAAAGGCACCAGATATTACCTGACCAGGCTAGCGACATGCTATCCATACCGATTTAGATGGAAGCTAGCGCTGTCAGATTAATGTGATATATTAGACGATATCTAATGTATGTTGATGAGTAAGTCATATTTAGCGATATGAACAAGGATTGATAGTAAAGAGATTCGAAACAGGAAGCAGAGCTCACAGACGCAGACAGCAGCCCTATGACAAGCTAATTAATGAACGTTAAACGGTGAATCCATGCAGTTCTGAGTGTGTGTGTGTGTGTGTGTGTTTTCTCCCGCAGCTGTGCTCGGAGTACGAGGAGCTGGACGCAGAGATCTCGGCGGCGCTCGCACACGTCACATGACCAACAGCAGATCAAACCCTGATGAACTCTGACCGGACTCATGGAAACCGGAACCCACCAATCAGCTGCCAGAACAGTGAAGCCACGCCCACTACAGCAGCGGCTGACGGACATCTATGTGCCTGTCAGATGACGTCTATATCCTCATGCAGTACATATACACAGCTATATATTCAGCTGTTAAAATGGCAAAGCTTGTGTTTTAAAGCTCTTTGAACTTATAAATGATTCAATTCGTCATATTTCTGTTGCGATCTCATCAGAGAAGTGAATCACACACACACACTCCGTATGATTGGCTGTTCACACACACCCTGAGATCACAGGACGTTACAGCGAGCGCTGTGTTTGCTCAACCGACTCAGAACTCAGTTCAGCCAGCCTGGGGTTGTGCTGCACGTGTGTGTGTGTGTGTGTGTGTGTGCGGCCTGTGAGTGTGTAAAACTCGAGCGATCACTTGCCCAGCGTTTGACTGACAGGATAAACGTAACAATAGTTCGGCTGATATTTTCTCTGATTCAGGCTTCTGGTGTGTGTACGCTTGTGCATTTGTACGCTTGTGTGTGTGTGTGTGTGTGTGTGTGTGTGCGTGCAGCGTCTCAGAGCAAAACTGTACGTTGAATTACTTCAATAAAGCCACGTCATCACCTATTCGCTGAAGCATGATGTAGTTCAGTAGCAAAGGGTTTTTATTTATAAAATTCACAAGACAACAGTTTCTGTGCACACAGTCCTTACACACGGAGTGTGTGTGTCTCCATAGGAGCAGCTGAGGGTGTATTCATGACCTGGGTGAACGAGTTCCTGTGTGTGTGTGTGTGTTTTCAGGAGGTCAGATATGGAATCTAATTCTAAACCACATTTGAAAGTGGATCAGAATAAACAAATCTCGTCCGGAACTATTTTTAACGTCAGAAGATCCCGTTCTACAGCAGTGCCGTGTGGACGGGCCCCGAGCAGGGGCTGATGGGACATTTACACACACCTGTAACAGTGTTTCTGGTGCCTGATGGTGTGTGTGTGTGTGTGTCTACACACTGCTGTGGGACGGGTGTGTGTAGAGATGAATCCTGAGGAGCGGGAACAGGAGGAGAGGGTGTGTGTGTGTGTGTGTGTCTACCCGCTGCTGTGGGACGGGTGTGAGTCGGTGTGTGTGTGTGTAGTCTTCGGAGGAACGCTGCCGCCCTGCAGGAGAGGATGAACCATAGACATGTGCACGTTCAGATTGTGCGCCTTCTCGAAGCGTTTCCCGCAGATCACACACGCGAACTCCAGCTCCGCCTCCGCCTTGTGCTTCGTCATGTGATACTTCAGAGACGCCCGCTGCCGACACTGGAAGCCACACACCTCACACCTGAAACACACACACACACAGGCGGAGGCGGTGAATGAGACGCAGAGCACCTGAAACACACACGCCTCACACACTCACTGTAGTGGTTTGGCCCCCGAGTGCCTCATCTGATGGACAGACACACACACACACACACACACACACACTCACTGTAGTGGTTTGGCCCCCGAGTGCCTCATCTGATGGACAGACAGGTGTTTCCTCTGCTTGAAGGTCTGGCCGCACTGGTCACAGATGTAGTTCCTCACCTCTAGAGACAGGAACATAATCATAAACAACTCCACATATGAAAGATGTGAATCAGATTTCTGACATCTCATGGTGAAACTTAAACCCTCCTGTTGTGTTCGGCTCAGTTTGACCTGCACTGGATTTTCAAACTGCTTGAAACGCTGAACTCCTGAAATGTACTCTTGAAATACACTAGTGAATACTTTTCATCTAAGGATATGACTAGACTGTGCATGCAATATTTTGACACATACAGTAAACAAAGCCAAAAGTGTCGTCTGGTGGGGATATTTGTTGCCCTTCAGTCGGTCACTCTCGGCGTACGCCAGAACGGGGATCTTGAGATCAATCCGCTACGAGTGTAACTAAACGAGCCAGCGCTAGTGGCGTTCATGGATGACTCATGTTCTCACTGTGGTAACATGACCATCGTGTGTTATGGTCAAGACTTCAATACCTCTGGAAGGGTGGAGCCTCCAAGAGAGCGTGCCGGCCCTCCCCCGGGGGTGTCAGTCGTTTCTTTTTGGGCTCTACTGGATGATCAGACGTCGGTCACTGTATCGGAGGGTGAGCTAACGTCCTCTGGGGATGAAGACTCGGCTGCGCTGCCCCGTCAGGTGTGGCCCGAGTCAGACCCTGAGCTCATGGCTTAGCTTTCCCGGGAAGCTCCAGTGGAACTCTCCACCGTGTCCTGAACACTCGCGGCTGGACGATTGGTATCCCGGGGCTATGGACTATGCTGGTCAGTGCGCCGCCCCAGTGCCTTTCTTTCCGGATCTGCTATTGTGGATAAGGCTTACTCAGCCTGTGGGGAAGCTGTCTCCCAGAGGTTATGCAGGAACTGCGTATAGTGACGGACCTGGCCCTACGGGCAACGAAAGTCACTACACGCTCCCTGGGTAGGGTGATGTCCACGTTGATGGTCCAGGAGCGACACCTGTGGCTAAATATGTGTGAGCCCGACAAGGTACGGTTCCTGGCAAGACCGTTTCTGCTCTTTGCGTTCAAGGGCCGGATGTACGTTTGGGAAAAAAAATAGATGGGAATGATGGGAATTTGCACAGTTAAGTCTGTCAAGCTACAGTAGAGGTTCATGTTTTTCATGAATGTCTACTTTAGTCGATTGCATGGAAAAGAAGAGTTTGAACACAACAGGAGGGTTACTGAGCAACGGCTCACTTCAGCTCTTCACACACACTGTCAGCGGCGTCACCTGTGTGTGTGAGCTGGACAGCGGCGTCACCTGTGTGTATGAGCTTGACGTGTCTCTGCAGGTATCTGTCGATCATGAAGACCTTGTTGCAGCCGGGATGTGGACAGGGTCTCTCCCGCACCTCCTCGTGATGCTCCTTGATGTGTTTCTGCAGTGACACACACACACACACACGCAGTGAGAGGAGCTCGTGACAGCAGTGGGCATGTGCTTCAGGGGAGCGCACCTTCATGCCGTCGGCTCCTCGGTACACCGCTGTGCAGCCCTGGTGAGGACACTTGTAGATGGTGGGCAGCTCCTCTCTGCAGGGAAACACAGAGTCTACAGAAGCTCTTCACACACTACAGCCGAGGCCCTGACCGTACTCAACAGACTCAGACCTCGAGTCTCGCACCAGCATCTGACTGCTCAGAAACAGCCCCTCTCTCGTTTCGCTCATCCCTCCTGCTACTCTTGAGGTCTGACGCTGTATTGCTAGCACTTCTGCTGTTTATTGACCCCCTCGCATTTGCAAGTCGCTTGTAAAATTGCTAAAGAAATTACTTGTTTGGTTCATGTCCATCGTTTGACTTCTGACTCTTTTGCCTTCAGAACTGCTTCAGGAACTGTTGGTGAACAAAATTATAAACGCAGCACTTTTCTTTTTGCCCTCAGCAGAACTTAAAGATCGAGATGCTGATGAGACAGCAGGATTCCTGCACAGGTGTGCCTTCTCCGTAGGGTGCGCGCAGTAGGTACGGTGTAGCATACGCACAGACGCGTCCCATACCGCGTACCCTTCGCCTGACGTGCACCTCTTCAAAAATGTAACTACACATCGCGACGACTCGGACCGCAAGTTCGGTGATTGGTCGGCTTGGTAGCATCGCATCTCCTCCGACGTCTTCTCTCATTTCTGCCTTTCAGTTTTAGTAATTTCACTAAAATTAACTTTTTCCACCTCAATAAGCTCCAACTCCAACATGATCCACTCTCTTTCAGTCGCTATTGCTTGTAGTAACCTAGCCGCAAGGAATCTAAACACAGTGGAACATTAAAACCCTCCGCCGCCTCCTAGCGTTTCGGAGCAGTACTGCAGAGCCACTAAGACCTGAACGCAGAAGTATAAATGCTCACAACGGCGTCGCCTACGTGCGTAGCCAACGCCGTACACTACGGCATACCCTTGACGCAGAAGTATAAATTGGCCTTTAGGCTGCCCACAGTTACAGGCCACTCTGAAATGTGATCTGAGTTCTGCTCATGAAAAATGGGGGCAAAAAGAGAAGTGTTCCTGAAGCAGTTCTGAGGGCGAAAGAGTCAGAAGTAAAGCGATTGACGTGAACCAAACAAGTCAGATTTACGCGTTATAACAAGTCTCCCGATTCCTGACCTTTTATTAATTAATATGGAGTTAATCCAGAAGAATCGCATCCCTGTTTATTCTGCGGTGCATTAATGTCAAAAGCGTTAAGAAGAATCTGTCTACAGAATTCATGGATGGCCCAATCAGAAGCAAGGAGTGTGTGTGATGTCACAGTACCGCTCTGACTTGATGCTGTTCTTCCAGCCGGGCTTCGGCCCAGGTTTCCTCCGGGCTTTGGGCTCCAGTGTCTTGGTCTCTTTCCTCTTTGAAGAACTGATACAGTGGACAGAAGGAGAGACGGTTCACTTCACCGTGAGTAATCTGCTGAGACCAGTTTCAGATTGTGAGATCTCTCGGCTCGATATGAGTAACTTCTCTTCTAAAACAGCAGATGGCGCTAAAGTGGCGGATTGATTTAGCGCTAGTTAGGGTTGGGCATCGTTTTGATTTGAACGATTCTGATTCCGATTCTTCCTTTTGATTTTGGTTCTTTTCGATTCTCGATTCCGATTCTTTGGACCAAATATGGACCAAAACTTGCGTGTTTGGAACCGATGATCGGAATCGAAAACAAATTTTCTAAACGGTTCCAATCGTTTTCCAAACGATTCTACTCTAGCGCCATCTGCTGTTTTAGAAGAGAAGTTACTCATCTGCATCTGAGGACATCGAGCCGAGAGATCTCACAATCGTAACACACAGATCTGTCTTTATATGCGCTAGATTTGGTATTTGTTCAATGGTCACATGCGATTTGTAGGATGGTTTGTATTTATTTGCGAAATATTATCTAGGCTCATTTATTTATATTTGTGAAACTCAATATTGGTTACTCCGCTGCATTTTCACTCAAATTGACCTTAGTTTCTGCAAACTGCCTTCTGTGTGTGTGTGAGTCGAGGTTTCCTGTGCAGAGTTTCACCAATGCTGGATTTGTTTAATTTTGGCACAATATTCGCTCCATACATGCTCTGCTGTCGAACACTTCTCCTAAGGCTGGTGTGTGTGTGTGTGTGTTTGCTGAGCGCAGGATAACAGCAGAACTCGATCTGAGGAAATATTTACACACTAATAATGATCAATAAGGCCGATCAGTTTCCATTATAAATAGTATTTGGCCGGAGGAAAAGATGGAGAAATCTGTCTCTGAAATGTATTTGACACTATTTGATTTATTCATTGATAAACAGGGCAACAGGGTCGGGTCATGTGACGCACATCCGCATCTCGTGCCGTTACACATGGATCACGTGGGTGAATATGCTAATGATATGCAGATGAGGATCCGGTAAACGAGGCGTTTCGGGGAGGAGACGTGTGAACACACACTCTTCCTCTGTCGGGTCTGGCGTACGCCATGTTTGGCTTTCGGCGCGGATCCCACACACAGGTTTATACATGAGAGCCCAGATAACTCTAGATGACCTGGTGTGTGTGTGTGTGTGTGTGTTACCGTTTGTCAGGGTTCAGATCCGAGCTGTCTTCAGACGAGCCGCTCTTCCTCCTGTCGTCACACTCCTCATCACTCAACATGTTCCTGAACACACACACCCAAACTTCACTAACACATCTGGGCTGTTGAGGTGCATGTGTGTGTGTGAGTGTGTGTGTGTTTACCTGTCTGAGAGCTCACTGTCTGCATCGCCTCTGTCCTCGATCAGCGGAGCCACAGAAGGGGTCGTCTCCTCACCGCCGTCTGCAAAGGCCAACACACACACACCTTACACACACAGTGCATTTTGTTTTACAACATATGGCTATTACCGGCATGGGATTAATATCATAACTCTACAGTAGGCCTATATCATAACTGACAGAGTTGAGTTTTTCTTTGTTCAGTTAGCACACTGAGCTCTTTATTCTGAACTCTCAAAGTGCAGCAGAGTGAGGACTTAAACATTAAAAGCATTTTCATTTCCCTAGAGGGACAGAGCTGCACTCACCACAGATTTCCAAAATCCTGATTCCGTTATCTCGTGGCATTGGTGGTTTAAGGAGTTGGTATATATATATATATTCAACAGCGTGCAGAGTTGGGTTGTGTTTATGCTCATGTGTAGTGAGCCGGTCTGGGCTGATGTTTTGTCCCAGTGTGCCACAGGGCTCAGTGTTGGGTCCGGGCTCAACGTTTCCTGATAATGTCTCCCGAACCAGACTGATCTCATGAAGTAGCGCGTGTATGACACGGCATAATCGCTTTTCAGCGTGTTTATGAACGCCGTTGACTTAACGTTATATAAATATATGACTTACCTCAACCCCGTCCCTAATCCTACCCGTCACTGGGGTTAATGGCATTTATGACTGTTCCCTCACCATCCTAGGAAAGAAAACATCGCTCCCCAGATGTAGATCTACATTTTGCTTTGTTTTGCTCGGACATTTGACTGCGTGTACGGACACGTGGAATCACTCGGACGTTAATGGCGTAGACATACACGCGGATGGCTCAAAATGCGTAGAGATAACACGCCACTTGACTCGAAAGTGGCGTGTATGTTTACGCAAAAGTCATGATGTCATGTTGCCCGAACAGAGCGTGGGATTTGTTTTCATTGTTAAATCAGTTATCAAGTTGGCCAGAGAGTGGAACTAGATTGCTTCTCCTGATCTGGGCAAGAAACCGCTTCACGAGTCTTCATCTTCACCGGGGACGTCAGTGGAGCAACGGTGTTACGAGGGTGTGTTACATGTGTGTGTTACATGTGTGTGTTACGAGAGTGTGTGTTACGAGAGGGTGTGTTACATGTGTGTGTTACAAGAGGGTGTGTTACATGTGTGTGTTACGAGAGTGTGTGTGTTACGAGAGTGTGTTATGAGGGTGTGTTACATGTGTGTTAAGAGAGTGTGTTACATGTGTGTGTTACGAGAGTGTGTTACAAGAGTGTGTTACGAGAGTGTGTGTGTTACGAGAGTGTGTGTGTTACGAGAGTGTGTTACAAGAGTGTGTTACGAGAGTGTGTGTTACGAGAGGGTGTGTTCCGAGAGGGTGTGTTATGAGAGTGTGTGTTACGAGAGTGTGTTACGAGAGTGTGTTACGAGAGTGTGTTACGAGAGTGTGTGTTACGAGAGTGTGTGTTACGAGAGGGTGTGTTACGAGAGGGTGTGTTATGAGAGTGTGTGTTACGAGAGTGTGTGTTACGAGAGTGTGTTACGAGAGTGTGTTACGAGAGTGTGTGTTACGAGACGGTGTGTTCCGAGAGGGTTTGTTACGAGAGTGTGTTACGAGAGTGTGTTACGAGAGTGTGTTACGAGAGTGTGTGTTACGAGAGGGTGTGTTACGAGAGGGTGTGTTACGAGAGTGTGTGTGTTACGAGAGTGTGTTACAAGAGTGTGTTACAAGAGTGTGTTACAAGAGTGTGTTACGAGAGTGTGTGTTACGAGAGTGTGTGTTACGAGAGGGTGTGTTACGAGAGTGTGTTACGAGAGTGTGTTACGAGAGGGTGTGTTACGAGAGGGTGTGTTACGAGAGTGTGTTACGAGAGTGTGTGTGTTACGAGAGTGTGTTACAAGAGTGTGTTACGAGAGTGTGTTACGAGAGTGTGTTACGAGAGTGTGTTACGAGAGTGTGTGTTACGAGAGGGTGTGTTACGAGAGGGTGTGTTACGAGAGTGTGTGTGTTACGAGAGTGTGTTACAAGAGTGTGTTACAAGAGTGTGTTACGAGAGTGTGTGTTACGAGAGTGTGTGTTACGAGAGGGTGTGTTATGAGAGGGTGTGTTACGAGAGTGTGTTACAAGAGGGTGTGTTACAAGAGGGTGTGTTACGAGAGTGTGTGTTACGAGAGTGTGTTACAAGAGGGTGTGTTACAAGAGGGTGTGTTATGAGTGTGTTACGAGGGTGTGTTACAAGACGGTGTGTTATGAGTGTGTTACGAGAGTGTGTGTTACGAGAGGGTGTGTTCCGAGAGGGTGTGTTACGAGAGTGTGTGTTACGAGAGGGTGTGTTCCGAGAGGGTTTGTTACGAGAATGTGTTACGAGAGTGTGTTACGAGAGTGTGTTACGAGAGTGTGTGTTACGAGAGTGTGTGTTACGAGTGTGTGTTACGAGAGGGTGTGTTACGAGAGGGTGTGTTACGAGAGTGTGTGTGTTACGAGAGTGTGTTACAAGAGTGTGTTACAAGAGTGTGTTACAAGAGTGTGTTACGAGAGTGTGTTACGAGAGTGTGTGTTACGAGAGGGTGTGTTACGAGAGGGTGTGTTACGAGAGTGTGTTACGAGAGTGTGTTACGAGAGGGTGTGTTACGAGAGGGTGTGTTACGAGAGTGTGTGTGTTACGAGAGTGTGTTACAAGAGTGTGTTACGAGAGTGTGTTACGAGAGTGTGTTACGAGAGTGTGTGTTACGAGAGGGTGTGTTACGAGAGGGTGTGTTACGAGAGTGTGTGTGTTACGAGAGTGTGTTACAAGAGTGTGTTACAAGAGTGTGTTACGAGAGTGTGTGTTACGAGAGTGTGTGTTACGAGAGGGTGTGTTATGAGAGGGTGTGTTACGAGAGTGTGTTACAAGAGGGTGTGTTACAAGAGGGTGTGTTACGAGAGTGTGTGTTACGAGAGTGTGTGTTACGAGAGTGTGTTACAAGAGGGTGTGTTACAAGAGGGTGTGTTATGAGTGTGTTACGAGGGTGTGTTACAAGACGGTGTGTTATGAGTGTGTTACGAGAGTGTGTTACGAGAGTGTGTGTTACATGTGTGTGTTACGAGAGTGTGTTACGAGAGTGTGTTACGAGAGTGTGTTACAAGAGGGTGTGTTACGAGTGTGTTCCGAGAGGGTGTGTTACGAGAGTGTGTTACATGTGTGTGTTATGACTGTGTGTGTTACATGTGTGTGTTATGAGTGTGTGTTACATGTGTGTGTTACATGTGTGTGTTACGAGAGTGTGTTGTGAGGGTGTGTTATGAGAGTGTGTGTTACGAGAGTGTGTTGTGAGTGTGTGTTACAAGAGTGTGTTACGAGAGTGTGTTGTGAGTGTGTGTTACAAGAGTGTGTTATGAGAGTGTGTTACGAGAGTGTGTTATATGTGTGTGTGTGTTACGAGAGTGTGTTACGAGAGGGTGTTATGAGAGTGTGTGTTACGAGTGTGTGTTACGAGTGTGTGTTACGAGTGTGTGTTACGAGAGTGTGTTACGAGAGGGTGTGTTACGAGAGTGTGTGTTACGAGAGTGTGTTACAAGAGTGTGTGTTACGAGAGTGTGTTACAAGAGGGTGTGTTATGAGTGTGTTACGAGGGTGTGTTACAAGACGGTGTGTTATGAGTGTGTTACGAGAGGGTGTGTTACGAGAGTGTGTGTTACATGTGTGTGTTACAAGAGTGTGTTACCAGAGTGTGTTACAAGAGTGTGTGTTACGAGAGTGTGTTACGAGAGTGTGTTACAAGAGGGTGTGTTACGAGTGTGTTCCGAGAGGGTATGTTACGAGAGTGTGTTACATGTGTGTGTTATGAGTGTGTGTTACATGTGTGTGTTATGAGTGTGTGTTACATGTGTGTGTTATGAGAGTGTGTTGTGAGTGTGTGTTACAAGAGTGTGTTACGAGAGTGTGTTATATGTGTGTGTGTTACGAGAGTGTGTTACGAGAGGGTGTTACGAGAGTGTGTGTTACGAGTGTGTGTTACGAGTGTGTGTTACGAGAGTGTGTTACGAGAGGGTGTTACGAGAGTGTGTGTTACGAGTGTGTGTTACGAGAGTGTGTTACGAGAGGGTGTGTTACGAGAGTGTGTTACGAGAGTGTGTGTTACGAGAGTGTGTTACAAGAGGGTGTGTTACGAGAGTGTGTTACGAGAGTGTGTGTTACGAGAGTGTGTTACAAGAGGGTGTGTTATGAGTGTGTTACGAGGGTGTGTTACAAGACGGTGTGTTATGAGTGTGTTACGAGAGGGTGTGTTACGAGAGTGTGTGTTACATGTGTGTGTTACAAGAGTGTGTGTTACGAGAGTGTGTTACCAGAGTGTGTTACAAGAGTGTGTGTTACGAGAGTGTGTGTTACGAGTGTGTGTTACATGTGTGTGTTATGACTGTGTGTGTTACATGTGTGTGTTATGAGTGTGTGTTACATGTGTGTGTTACATGTGTGTGTTACGAGAGTGTGTTGTGAGGGTGTGTTATGAGAGTGTGTGTTACGAGAGTGTGTTGTGAGTGTGTGTTACAAGAGTGTGTTACGAGAGTGTGTTGTGAGTGTGTGTTACAAGAGTGTGTTATGAGAGTGTGTTACGAGAGTGTGTTATATGTGTGTGTGTGTTACGAGAGTGTGTTACGAGAGGGTGTTATGAGAGTGTGTGTTACGAGTGTGTGTTACGAGTGTGTGTTACGAGTGTGTGTTACGAGAGTGTGTTACGAGAGGGTGTGTTACGAGAGTGTGTGTTACGAGAGTGTGTTACAAGAGTGTGTGTTACGAGAGTGTGTTACAAGAGGGTGTGTTATGAGTGTGTTACGAGGGTGTGTTACAAGACGGTGTGTTATGAGTGTGTTACGAGAGGGTGTGTTACGAGAGTGTGTGTTACATGTGTGTGTTACAAGAGTGTGTTACCAGAGTGTGTTACAAGAGTGTGTGTTACGAGAGTGTGTTACGAGAGTGTGTTACAAGAGGGTGTGTTACGAGTGTGTTCCGAGAGGGTATGTTACGAGAGTGTGTTACATGTGTGTGTTATGAGTGTGTGTTACATGTGTGTGTTATGAGTGTGTGTTACATGTGTGTGTTATGAGAGTGTGTTGTGAGTGTGTGTTACAAGAGTGTGTTATGAGAGTGTGTTACGAGAGTGTGTTATATGTGTGTGTGTTACGAGAGTGTGTTACGAGAGGGTGTTACGAGAGTGTGTGTTACGAGTGTGTGTTACGAGTGTGTGTTACGAGAGTGTGTTACGAGAGGGTGTTACGAGAGTGTGTGTTACGAGTGTGTGTTACGAGAGTGTGTTACGAGAGGGTGTGTTACGAGAGTGTGTTACGAGAGTGTGTGTTACGAGAGTGTGTTACAAGAGGGTGTGTTACGAGAGTGTGTTACGAGAGTGTGTGTTACGAGAGTGTGTTACAAGAGGGTGTGTTATGAGTGTGTTACGAGGGTGTGTTACAAGACGGTGTGTTATGAGTGTGTTACGAGAGGGTGTGTTACGAGAGTGTGTGTTACATGTGTGTGTTACAAGAGTGTGTGTTACCAGAGTGTGTTACCAGAGTGTGTTACAAGAGTGTGTGTTACGAGAGTGTGTGTTACGAGTGTGTTCCGAGAGGGTGTGTTACGAGAGTGTGTTACATGTGTGTGTTATGAGTGTGTGTTACATGTGTGTGTTATGAGTGTGTGTTACATGTGTGTGTTACATGTGTGTGTTACGAGAGTGTGTTGTGAGGGTGTGTTATGAGAGTGTGTGTTACGAGAGTGTGTTGTGAGTGTGTGTTACAAGAGTGTGTTACGAGAGTGTGTTGTGAGTGTGTGTTACAAGAGTGTGTTATGAGAGTGTGTTACGAGAGTGTGTTATATGTGTGTGTGTTACGAGAGTGTGTTACGAGAGGGTGTTATGAGAGTGTGTGTTACGAGAGTGTGTTATATGTGTGTGTGTTACGAGAGTGTGTTACGAGAGTGTGTTGTGAGTGTGTGTTACAAGAGTGTGTTATGAGAGTGTGTTACGAGAGTGTGTTATATGTGTGTGTGTTACGAGAGTGTGTTACGAGAGAGTGTTATGAGAGTGTGTGTTACGAGTGTGTGTTACGAGTGTGTGTTGTGAGTGTGTGTTACGAGAGTGTGTTACAAGAGGGTGTGTTATGAGAGGGTGTGTTACGAGTGTGTGTTACGAGTGTGTGTTACGAGAGTGTGTGTTACGAGAGTGTGTTACGAGAGTGTGTGTCACCTGGGTTCCCGCTGGCTTCAGTGGATCCGCTGTTATCTCTCTGCTGCTCATCACTGTGTGCCTGAACTCTGTCCTCACACTGAGTGCCAGCGCTGGACCGGGTGTCCATCTCGTAGCTGTGCCCGTCCACACACACCCACACCAGCTTCAGCGCGCCTCGGCACGGGCCCTCCAGCGCCTCCTGCAGGCCGGGGGGGGAGCGGCAGCCGCTCGCGTGTGTGTGAGCCCACGACACCAGGCTGTGCAGAACACTCCTGTCTGAGGAGATGTGGGAGCCTGGACAACACAAGCAGTGAGACGAGACCACACACACACACACACACACACACAAACGTCTGCATACTTACGGAACAAAGCCATGTCTTCCTGTGGGGACGAGCGTTCAGTGCTGCTCCTGAAAATGACACAACACACAAACCACAACCATCCAATCAATTCCCCACGGACACAATCAGTGTCCTCAATCAATTACGGTTATGGGTATGAGTATATTGGTGTGTGTTTGTGTGAGTGTGTGTGTCGGCCGAGGTCACCTGTCTCTGGCGAGGGGCGTCAGGTTGACTCTGTTCCTGAAGTCCAGGAGGATGCTGTGGCACTTGTAGAACTGGGCGTGGCAGCTGTTGCAGATGAACTGGGACAGAGCCGGGTCTCTCTCCATGGGGATCCCCAGCAGCTGCTGGAAGTCTGAGCAGAAGAGCGGATACACACCACACGCCTCGCCCTGGAGCTGCGCAAACGCCTGACGCAGACGCCGCGTCGAGAACTTCCCGTGACACAGGCGACAGAAGCCTGTGCTCATCCTGCCTGTGAGAGAAGCAGAGGTCAAAGGTCAGAGCATTATCCTGCCTGTGAGAGGTTAAAGGTCAGACCATTATCAGACCTACACAGGCAACAGAAGCCTGTGCTCATCCTGCCTGTAAGTAACAAGGTCAAAGGTCAGAGCATTATCCTGCCTGTGAGAGGTTAAAGGTCAGAACATTATCAGACCGACACAGGCCCATGCTCATCCTGCCTGTGAGAGAGCAGAGGTCAAAGGTCAGAGCATTATCAGACCGACACAGGCCTGTGCTCATCCTGCCTGTGAGAGAGCAGAGGTCAAAGGTCAGACACAGGAGGCACTAACTCTCAGTTTAATGAAACCATTCTCGTTGGAGGTTAAATGTAAACTTAAAAATGAACTGCAACAAATTAAGTAAAATGAAAAATGTTTCCAGGTGGAGAATATACCCTTAAAAGAAAAATGTTCTTTACCTGTTCATTTTTTATATATTTGAATAAAAGTCAAGTTTTTATGAAAACTACCTTATGTGCATTTAAATGTTTGTATCAACTTTATTTGACTGTTTAATTATATCAGAAATATTAGCAGTTGACCATCAGCCATTTATTGACTGAATTTAGACTGAACATTTGCACTACTGATAAATGCCCTTTCTTTGATACTTTACAATTAGAAAATTAAATTAATAAATGAAAACCTTAAAATAAACAAAAGATGGTATTTTTACGAGACATGATATGAATAAAACACTGAAAAAATAAAAAATAGTACCATTGAGTTAATCAACTATCAGATTCATCTTTTTGTAAAAAATCCTTAGATGAATGGACTAATCGAAACTAATCGACTGATAGAGTTATGAGCAGCCCTGGGTTGCCTGCCAGGTCCAAGGTTAAAGGTTATATCTATCATGTTGCATAAATTGTATTTGGCTAAAATGATTGTTTTTAAATATTTTACATTAATTCAACCAATAATAAAACTGTTAGATGATGCTTTCTGAGAGGGAAATGGCCAGTTTATGATTGCTAGGCTGCTGTTTCTATGAGCAGCTGTAATGTGTGTGTTCTTCATGGGAATGGGTTCTGGTGTTCGGTTTGGGTCATTAGCAGGCTTTGACTGGGTTTACACAGACCTGGCAACCCTGAGAATACGAGGCATGCTAACATGTAAACCGCAGCTCCTGAAACCTGTCAGAATGGATGGATAAATGAGCAGTCATCATCCTCTCACCCGCGTCATCTTCATCAGTCTTCGCGCGTTTACTCGCTCTGCTCCTCCTCTTCTTCATCATCTTCACTTATCAATACTTCATCGATATCTGATCTGATTATGAGTCACACACGTCAATCATCTCATCAGCGGTTCACCGCGCGCGCTCTGCAAGCGGAACTTATGTACAATCTTCCCCAATAAATATCATTTATAAACGGATACATATGATATGATCAAATCTTTCATGAAAACACGACGGTGCAAGACACGACCGGAAGCGCTCTGCTGACTGTCAACAGGAGTAGCGGATGTGACGTCACTTAGTCGACGGTCGGGTGTTTTCTTTTACTATTATTTATATTTCTGTATATGTTTTATATCAACTACACGTTGAAATGTTTGAATTGTTTTCTTAATACTTATTGTTGTGTTCTAAATTAGTTGTTTCACACTGTTTTTATATTTCTACTCAACAACTATTTAAATTTGTGAATTTAGCAACAAAATAATAATAATAGTAATAATAATACAGTGGTCTTTTCTTTTATTTGAGGGAATATTTGTCCTTACATTGAGAGCACTTTACGTTGACTCAAGCATTTGGGCATTTCCCCACACCCACGGGAAGTGCGTGTAGTCTCGCGAGACTTGGAAGCGCAGCTGAGACGAGAGAGATTCCGCTGAGAGCTGCTTACTCGAGCGTGTGACGCTTCTCTAGCGAGATGCGAAGAATTCAATCTCAGTTATCAGCACGAATCATTAGTAAACGTGTCTAAATCTCCGACAGGATCAGTAATGGAGGTCAACTCGAGCGGCGCGTCTCCTAAAGAGGAGGGCGAGCTGGAGGACGGAGAAATCTTCGACGACGAGCCGCAGAGGCAGAACTCGAGGCCTCCGCGACGCGCCCGGCCCAACCGGCCCGCGATGAACAAGAGAGCGCGTTTACCGGGACCGGGGCTCAACAACAACGCCCCGCTGCCGCTGAGAGCCCCTCACCCGCCCTTCCCCTTCGACGCGACGCCGCGGTCCGGCTTCTGGGAGCGCAGTCACGGCGCGTTGGGCCGCTTCAGGTGCCGCGACTGGACCCGCGACTGGACGGAGAACCGCGGCTGTAGGATCGAGTCTCCCGGGCGGAAGCGTATCCTTACACCAGCCGCTACACTCGAGCAGGAACTCTGTGGGGGAATATCACGGTATAACCGCGAAATAACGTTTCTAGTTAGTTAACTTACGCTTTATTTAAAGGTGTCGTTGTATTGAGTAATATTAAGCAACACATGTAACTCACCATATGGTTGGGGTAGGATTTGTTTGAGGGTTAAATTATTATTACTGTACATTTAACACATGTAACAAGGACACTGTAAAATAAAGTGTTCCAAAATAGTATAATGTGATAGCAGATATAGTGTGGTACCATAATGTGCTGTCATGATATGACAATTTACCATAATAATGTGCTGTCATGATATGACTGCTGAATTTACACTGTTATAGTCCCGTTCCAATCAATGTCTCTCCAATCTTGTGCTTTAAGTCCGGACAGTCGATTCTGCTACTGTGACTTTAAGACTTCGGTGTGGTGTTTTGTGATTGGTTACCTGCTTTGCACGTGACTGTGATTGTATGTTTACGATAGTGCTGCGCAATTAATCGGATTTGTAATCGCGATTACTATTATGAATGCAACCACAATTATGTAATCGTTTAAGGTGAAATTACCAAAAGAACTGAACTTCTGTGTTCAAGATGTTTGGTTTTCTTTCTAAAGCTTATCTTAATGGTTTCCCCCTATTGTTTTAGTTTTAGTGTGACATTATAACATCATGTATACATTTACTTTTTTTATGTATAGAGCTGGTAAGTCCCGCCCCTTCCGCTCAAAGTAGGACCTCTAGGTTGAAAAATCGTCAATGCAAGTGAATGAGAGAAAATAATTATTTTCTAATCCCGTTTGAATTTTGCAATGAATGTGGACATATGTTTTCTGTGAATTTTTTATATAATTTTTCGTGTAAAGAATGCTACAATTTAGCGAGCAGAATTTTCATCCGGTTAGACTTTGTGTGAGAGCACTTTGTGGACTACAACTCTTCCTGCTTTCGACGCGTTTGATATACGTCACCACGACTAGCACACCGATCCCGCTAAACAAACCTCTGTTTGAATGGTGACATTTGGGGGCATCTCCATCTAATTCCTTGGATTATCGCACTGTGATTTGTGGAGGGAAAATGTGTTATGCGGTGATGTCACATATGCGACGTGTAGTCTTTCTCGTTATGTCTATTCCACAACTGCTAGCCAAAGAACCATACAATAAACTGTCAAACTCGTTACATTAGAAATTATATAAAACAAAAATTCACAGACAACATATGTTCACATTCATGGCACAATTCAAACGGGATCAGAAAATAATTATTTTCTCTCATTCACTTGCATTGACACTTTTTCAACCTAGAGGTCCACTTGGAGTTTTACGGATGGGCGGGACTTACCATCTTCATACATTTGGGGGTTTTTTTTTAGGTTTTTTTTTAAATAATATATATATATGAAGAGTTCAGATGCAAAAGCCTCTAAGTGCCATTTGAAATTTTCTTCTAGAATGATCCTTTTGATCAAGCTTGCATATTTAAGTTCAGTAATTTCACTTAAATGACAATTAATAGGTAATCTTCATTGCCATACTGAACTTAAATATTCAAGCTTGATAAAAATTATCATTCTAGAAGAAAATTTCAAATGGCACTTAGAGGCTTTTGCATCTGAACTCTTCATATATATATATATATATTTCAAAATTTGAGGCTTAATGAGATCCAGTGAGTGTGTGTTGCGGATGTCCAGTGTGTGTGCGCTGCTCCTTGACGCTGCCTCAGAGAAGCCGGCGGGCAGGAGTCAGGCCAGGAGGGCCGGGAACAGCTTCCCGAAAGCCCCGGCCGTGGACGAGAGCTTCGAGGTGCTGCTCCTGAAGTACAAGCAGATCCAGCTGGAGCTCGAGGTGATCCGCAAGGAGGAGCGCATGGCCCTGAAGGAGGAGCCGGAGCCAGAGCCCGCCGCGGCCCCGCCGGAGGAGACGAAGGCGCAGGAGGAGAAGAGAGCGTTCCAGGCCTTCAACCTCAAGCCTCTCAGGCAGAAGCTGCTGACGCCGGCCGAGAGAGACGCGCTCAACACCGGCAGACCCGAGAGAGACGCTCTGAACGCAGAAAGAGACGCGCTGACCACCAGCAGACCCGAGAGAGACGCGCTCAACAGAGCCGAGCCGAGGCCCGACGGCGACCAGCAGAAGGACGTACAGGATCACGGTATCAGCAATCGGTTCCCACACACTCCTGTGCTGTACAGAGCGCATTAGGCCACTAGGGCTGGGTATTGTTAGTAATTTCACAATTCGATTCGATTTAAATTTTTGAAGCTTCTATTCGATTTCGATTCAATATTGACTTATTAGCTTCGATATCGATTCAATAATAAGTAAATACACAAGTAATTAAGTGCCTGAGTATATTTTTAAGTAATGTGCGCAGTTTTACCAATGTTAGCCTGTTAACTGTCACTCCCCCTTTTTTGAATAGACATGAAAATGCACATTTTGAACTTAAATGGTTGTAATTCAAGAATGCTTTGGAATATAGACATATGATTGGTCTTGTTTTAAAGAAGACATTTGGCAGATTTTTGTAGAAGTGAAATAAATAAAGAAAGTGAAACAGAAAAAAAGTTATAGAAGTTTGAGTTTATGGAAATGTACAATGTAAAAATATTAATTATTCATATTTTACATAAAATATATATTTTCAAAACCTGGGCTACTCTAAAATGGCAGAAAGATCAAAGCCAAAAATCTGAACAAGTTGTGTTTCAAATTTTAGGTTGATATCTCAAAAAATGAGCTTTCAGTAAGATTTTGTTTGAGCGCAGTACCAAACTTTTTCACTAGGGCACAATGAGACTCCATTACTGCCCATATAAGGGCGCCTGCTTTTCCATTCGTGTTTTGAGTGATATGAACCATTATTTTCACAATTTTCATACAATTTCTGAAGTAGAGATCCTATTCAGAAGTAGCATGGGAAGTTTGGCAGATTTTGATATGAATTGAACCTCTAAGAAACACATACAAAGAACACGCATGTAAGTCATAGCTAGCTGCCACGTCACAAATGGTGAATTTATTATTTTTTCTTGATATTTCAAACTTTTCAGACCTTTTTTTTCCAAAATAATTGAATGGATTCTATCTTTTGAACTTTTGGCATGAAAACAAACTGAGGTATCTACCATTTTTTCATGATTTTTCATGTTTACTGCTATTTTAAAATAAAGGTCTGAACACGCCTTATGAGTATGAAAATATTCTTGTTTTATATTGATAAATTATGGCTCCTCTGTAATATATTTTGAAAATCAGTCACCAAATATGGAAACTAGAGATTGTAAGCTTTCAAATGATATATAGTTTGTCAATATTATTTAAGGTATTTACTAAGATATTATTGTTTTAAAAATATAGTGGCAAACGTCCCACCTGTGGGACAGTGACAGTTAGAACAAATTGACCCCAGCATGTTTGTTTCCTGTCATGGTTTATTCAGCAGAATAAAATGTACAATATTGTATGTGTTGAATTCAAACACAACTGTGTACAGTGCTTTAACAACACCTCTAAAGTGCAAGTAACTAAGTAGTAGAAAGTATATTTCTTTCTTCCTCCTATACATTCAAGTTATAAAAGAAATGTAAACAGAAGCACAAAATGTGCATACTCAAAAAAGTGCAATATTATATTCTAATTATAATTTTGTAAACTAACACTTAATAGCTGATCACACTTAACAGCAATTGCGAGTTATCAGGCCAATTCTAAGGGGGAAAAAATACTAACCTTTTTCCCTCTCAGAAGTTTATATCTCATAGACTTTATATCTCACAATTCTGACTTTATATCTCGCAATTCTGACTTTATATCTCACAATTCTGACTTTATATCTCACAATTCTGACTTTATATCTCACAATTCTGACTTTATATCTCACAATTCTGACTTTATATCTTGCAATTCTGACTTTATATCTCGCAATTCTGACTTTATATCTCGCAATTCTGACTTTATATCTCACAATTCTGACTTTATATCTCACAATTCTGACTTTATATCTTGCAATTCTGACTTTATATCACGCAATTCTGACTTTATATCTCACAATTCTGACTTTATATCACGCAATTCTGACTTTATATCTCACAATTCTGACTTTATATCACGCATTTCTGACTTTATATCTCGCAATTCTGACTTTATATCTCACAATTCTGACTTTATATCTCACAATTCTGACTTTATATCACGCATTTCTGACTTTATATCTCACATTTCTGACTTTATATCTCGCAATTCTGACTTTATATCTCGCATTTCTGACTTTATATCTCGCAATTCTGACTTTATATCTCACAATTCTGACTTTATATCTCACAATTCTGACTTTATATCTCGCAATTCTGACTTTATATCTCGCAATTCTGACTTTATATCTCACAATTCTGACTTTATATCACGCATTTCTGACTTTATATCTCGCAATTCTGACTTTATATCACGCATTTCTGACTTTATATCTCACAATTCTGACTTTATATCACGCAATTCTGACTTTATATCTCACATTTCTGACTTTATATCTCGCAATTCTGACTTTATATCTCACAATTCTGACTTTATATCTCACAATTCTGACTTTATATCTCGCAATTCTGACTTTATATCTCAGAATTCTGACTTTATATCACGCAATTCTGACTTTATATCTCGCAATTCTGACTTTATATCACGCATTTTTGACTTTATATCTCACCATTCTGACTTTATATCGGGCAATTCTGACTTTATATCTCACATTTCTGACTTTATATCTCGCAATTCTGACTTTATATCTCGCATTTCTGACTTTATATCTCGCAATTCTGACTTTATATCACGCATTTCTGACTTTATATCTCACAATTCTGACTTTATATCACGCAATTCTGACTTTATATCTCACATTTCTGACTTTATATCTCGCAATTCTGACTTTATATCTCGCATTTCTGACTTTATATCTCGCAATTCTGACTTTATATCTCACAATTCTGACTTTATATCTCACAATTCTGACTTTATATCTCACAATTCTGACTTTATATCTCGCAATTCTGACTTTATATCTCGCATTTCTGACTTTATATCTCGCAATTCTGACTTTATATCTCACAATTCTGACTTTATATCTCACAATTCTGACTTTATATCTCACAATTCTGACTTTATATCTCGCAATTCTGACTTTATATCACGCAATTCTGACTTTATATCACGCATTTCTGACTTTATATCTCGCAATTCTGACTTTATATCTCACAATTCTGACTTTATATCTCACAATTCTGACTTTATATCACGCATTTCTGACTTTATATCTCGCAATTCTGACTTTATATCTCACAATTCTGACTTTATATCTCACAATTCTGACTTTATATCACGCATTTCTGACTTTATATCTCACAATTCTGACTTTATATCACGCAATTCTGACTTTATATCTCGCATTTCTGACTTTATATCTCGCAATTCTGACTTTATATCTCACAATTCTGACTTTATATCTCACAATTCTGACTTTATATCTCGCAATTCTGACTTTATATCTCGCAATTCTGACTTTATATCACGCATTTCTGACTTTATATCTCACAATTCTGACTTTATATCACACAATTCTGACTTTATATCACGCATTTCTGACTTTATATCTCGCAATTCTGACTTTATATCTCACAATTCTGACTTTATATCTCACAATTCTGACTTTATATCTCACAATTCTGACTTTATATCTCGCAATTCTGACTTTATATCTCGCAATTCTGACTTTATATCTCACAATTCTGACTTTATATCTCACAATTCTGACTTTATATCTCGCAATTCTGACTTTATATCTCACAATTCTGACTTTATATCTCACAATTCTGACTTTATATCTCGCAATTCTGACTTTATATCTCACAATTCTGACTTTATATCTCACAATTCTGACTTTATATCTCACAATTCTGACTTTATATCTCGCAATTCTGACTTTATATCACGCAATTCTGACTTTATATCACGCATTTCTGACTTTATATCTCGCAATTCTGACTTTATATCTCACAATTCTGACTTTATATCTCACAATTCTGACTTTATATCACGCATTTCTGACTTTATATCTCGCAATTCTGACTTTATATCTCACAATTCTGACTTTATATCTCACAATTCTGACTTTATATCACGCATTTCTGACTTTATATCTCACAATTCTGACTTTATATCACGCAATTCTGACTTTATATCTCGCATTTCTGACTTTATATCTCGCAATTCTGACTTTATATCTCACAATTCTGACTTTATATCTCACAATTCTGACTTTATATCTCGCAATTCTGACTTTATATCTCGCAATTCTGACTTTATATCACGCATTTCTGACTTTATATCTCACAATTCTGACTTTATATCACACAATTCTGACTTTATATCACGCATTTCTGACTTTATATCTCGCAATTCTGACTTTATATCTCACAATTCTGACTTTATATCTCACAATTCTGACTTTATATCTCACAATTCTGACTTTATATCTCGCAATTCTGACTTTATATCTCGCAATTCTGACTTTATATCTCACAATTCTGACTTTATATCTCACAATTCTGACTTTATATCTCGCAATTCTGACTTTATATCACGCATTTCTGACTTTATATCTCACAATTCTGACTTTATATCACGCAATTCTGACTTTATATCTCACAATTCTGACTTTATATCACGCATTTCTGACTTTATATCTCGCAATTCTGACTTTATATCTCACAATTCTGACTTTATATCACGCAATTCTGACTTTATATCACGCATTTCTGACTTTATATCACGCATTTCTGACTTTATATCACACAATTCTGACTTTATATCACACAATTCTGACTTTATATCACGCATTTCTGACTTTATATCTCACAATTCTGACTTTATATCACACAATTCTGACTTTATATCACGCAATTCTGACTTTATATCTCGCAATTCTGACTTTATATCACACAATTCTGACTTTATATCACACAATTCTGACTTTATATCTCGCAATTCTGACTATATCTCACAATTCTGACTTTATATCTCACAATTCTGACTTTATATCTCGCAATTCTGACTTTATATCTCGCAATTCTGACTTTATATCTCACAATTCTGACTTTATATCACGCAATTCTGACTTTATATCTCGCAATTCTGACTTTATATCTCACAATTCTGACTTTATATCACGCATTTCTGACTTTATATTATGCATTTCTGACTTTATATCTCACAATTCTGTCTTTATATCACGCATTTCTGACTTTATATCACGCGTTTCTGACTTTTTAACAACCAATTGCGACTTTATATCACACAATTGTGACTTTATATCTCGCAATTCTGACTTTATATCTTGCAATTCTGAGAAATAAAGTCAGAATTGCGAGAGGTAAACTCCCAATTGTGAGAAAAAAAAAGTCAGAAATGTGAGATAAAAAGTCGCAATTACCTTTTTTATTTTCCATTCTGTGGCGGAAACAAGCTTCCATAGTTCCCGGCTTACAGTGGAATCCAAAATGAGCCCAAACGTCGGCTTTTAATGTTGGCGGTGCAGTCTTGAATCAGGCTTGAACGGAGTGCAGCTGCTGTCCGTCATCGCGCTGTTTTGCTAAGGGCTAAAGCGCGACTTGTACAACGCTGAACGCTCTCACTAGAGTGTAGCCCACAGCGCCGCCACTGGCCTGGATGGCTGAATCGATTCATAGGATTTGATGAATCGATATTGAATTGAGAAGCAAAAAATTGCAATGCATTGATGAATCGATATTTTTACCCAGCCCTATAGGCCACGCCCACTTCCACCGGCGTCTGCATCGAGTCGGGATTGTGGGAAACGTCCTCCTCATTCATGACTTATAACAAAAACCTGTCCAGAAGCTGCTGTGTGGCGGGTGTACACACATCCAGATGTCCGTTTCTCTGAGCTGTCCTGTCAGCGCTAGCGGTGCTGTACACCGTCACACAGCAGCTTTAGATGAGGGGGCGCTTCACACAACACACACTCAGTGCAGACGCTGGACTGTTCCCCGGTGGGCGTGGCCTTCAGATTATCACGTGTGCCGCTCTGTCTCTATTATTATTATTATCATTATATTGAGGTATCTAACCAGTGGCATCTTTTGTTGTGTGTTCTCCCAGCTGTGAAGGAAGAGGAGTGTGAACCAGACCTCAACATCTCACCAGTGTCTGACGAGAGTCCAGGCGGCCCAGCCAAGGTACACACACACACACACACACCTGGAACTCGCTGGACGTCAATAGACTGATGTTAAACACTGACCTCACACACAGGAACGCCACAAACAGCAGAATAGAGATTCAGTCAGTCTGATGCTACAAATAAACTGAATATTAAACACTATTCACATCTGTAAATCTGTTATGCTCAAGCTAACAAGTGTAACATTGACCGGTTAGTAATACTTTAGTTTAGGGTCCAATTCTCACTATTAACTAGTTGCCTATTACTAGGATATTGGCTGTTTATTAGTAGTTATAAAGCACCTACTAATGCTTACTAAGGAGTTTGTTGATGAAGTGTCTTGTTTGGCTGTGGTGTTGAAATGTATTGGACAGGGAAAGGGGAAGTGTGTTAACTTCTGCACACAGGGCCTGATCATGGTGACACGTCAGCTGTGTGTGTGTTGTAGGAGGCTGATCACATGATGTCTACTGTGAGCCGTTTTATAGACCAAACCGTTCGAGCACTGATGCCTCGTGGCACACAAACACTCATATAGAAGATTGTGTGCAGACACACATCAGGAGCGCAGAAACTCATTTCTCAAAGTAGCTTAGAAACTCGACACGTTAGTCTTTTCCTGTTCCCCTTTTACAGAATTTTTAACGTCTACAATTCACACCAACATTTTTCAACATGAAGCGAAGACATTGAAGATGCTAAATTGTGAACAGATATTGGATATCTTGTCTGTCATCATTACAACACCGTTCATGATATCCAATATCTGGTGTGAATAGTTGCAGTTAAAAGTTCAGAGCCTGTCTTTTCATAAACCCCACATTCAAACCAGAATTTCCTGTTGGTCAGAGCTAATGACTGTAAACGAGAAAGTTGTCCGGCTCAATGACAGCGTTATACGTACTGAGTAACCCAACACACTAATGTCAGAAGGTGGCGCTGCTGAGCTCTCCACGCGTTTCTATGGCTCTGACGACCGGAGTGTGTCCAGATTCATGTCATCGGAAGCACTCTAATCGAAGAGACTGAACATTACTATAGGAGACGCCCATTTACTAAACTAATATGATTCATATTCTTCTGGTTATTCTAAGCCGTAAGTACAAATGTGATTAAAAGTACAGGTTTCAATATCAGCGTTGTACTCGTTTGGGGGGAAATGACAAGTCGAGTCATCTTCATTCGAAGCAGCTTTACAGTGATAACAGGAGATTACAGTAACAGAGATTGTTTGGCTTTACAGCAGCTCTAGAATAAAGTTATTGTCCTGATAAAGTTTTTTAATTGATTCACTTCTGTTGTAAATAGGGTTGAGTATCGAGAATCGAGTATCGATTGGAACCGGGACTAACTTTTAGTTTTTCCCGGAATCGTTCAAAAGTTAAAATTTCGATTCCTAGTTTCGATATTCACAGTACGCCGAGCGGAAGAAGAAGCTTACGTCGGCGGTCCAAAGTGTGGCTTCACTTTTCTAAAAATAACGAAATCTCTGCAAAATGCAAAATTTGTGACAAAAGGATTATTTCCTTCAGAAAGACCGTTGGTTAGCAAGGTTAGCTAAACCCTGCCTTTTAAAAGAATCGGAATCAAGAATCGTTAGGAACCGGAATCGAAACAAGGAATCAGAATCAGAATCGTTCAAATTCAAATGATACCCAACCCTAGTTGTAAAGATCATTAGTTATTAACTTAGGGGCCTCTGACACGACACCGCTCTAACAGAAAACTCTCAACGCGCCCGCACAAAAGCAGTGCCTGGTGAAAGGTGCAAGCTTGAATAAACATTTTTAAAAGTGCCCTTTGATGATGGATGGATGTACTTTTATGATGGACAGATGACGGAGGAGGACGAGCTGTCGGAGATGCAGCTGAGACTCCTGGCTCTACAGTCCGCCAGCAGAAAGTGGCAGCAGAAGGAGACGCAGGTGTTGAAGGAGAGCAAGGACAAGATCTCCCGAGCCGTCAGAGCGCCGCAGGACAAGAGCGAGAGCGACCGGAGCAAGCCGAGCAGAGGGAACGCCCTGAGCCGACCGCAGGAGGGAGTGAGAGCCGCCAGAGCCACGCCGGACAAGAGCCGAGTGAAGAAACCAGCTCACCTGAGTAAGACTCGCTCACACTGAACCATCACATCAGTCAGATCGCACGGCTTCAGCCTCATCTGTGTGTGTGTGTGTGTGTGTGTGTGTGTGTGTGTGTGTGTGTGTGTGTAGCCAAGCAGGCGTGGAGGAAGCAGCAGCTGCGCACCTGGAAGCACCAGCAGGAGCAGCAGAGACACCAGCAGGAGGAGGAGGAGGAGCGGAGGAAGAGGGAGGACGAGATACGCAAGATCCGAGACCTGTCCAACCAGGACGAGCAGTACAACCGCTTCATGAAGCTGGTGGGCTCCAGGCATCACGCGCGCAGCAAGGTCAGTCACATGACCAGTCACATGACCACTCCAGCACACAGCTGTCTGACGTCATGTGACCTGTGCTCTCTCCCAGTCCTCAGACGGCGAGCCGAGGAAACTGGCCAAGCAGAGCCTGGACTCCTCCGGGAACCTCTACCAGTACGACAACTATGACGAGGTGGCGATGGACACGGACAGTGAGCCCAGCTCTCCAGGTACTGACGAACACAGGTGCTCCACTGACCTTTAACCCACTGACTCTGATCGGCACTGACCCTGAACTCACTGACCGTGACCCTCAGCACTGACCCTGTACTCACTGACCGTGACCCTCGGCACTGACCCTGAACTCACTGACCGTGACCCTCGGCACTGACCCTGAACTCACTGACCGTGACCCTCGGCACTGACCCTGTACTCACTGACCGTGACCCTCGGCACTGACCGTGTACTCACTGACCGTGACCCTCGGCACTGACCCTGAACTCACTGACCGTGACCCTCAGCACTGACCCTGAACTCACTGACCGTGACCCTCGGCACTGACCGTGACCCTCGGCACTGACCCTGAACTCACTGACCGTGACCCTCGGCACTGACCCTGCACTCACTGACCGTGACCCTCGGCACTGACCCTGTACTCACTGACCGTGACCCTCGGCACTGACCCTGAACTCACTGACCGTGACCCTCAGCACTGACCCTGTACTCACTGACCGTGACCCTCGGCACTGACCCTGAACTCACTGACCGTGACCCTCGGCACTGACCCTGAACTCACTGACCGTGACCCTCGGCACTGACCCTGAACTCACTGACCGTGACCCTCGGCACTGACCCTGTACTCACTGACCGTGACCCTCGGCACTGACCGTGTACTCACTGACCGTGACCCTCGGCACTGACCCTGAACTCACTGACCGTGACCCTCAGCACTGACCCTGAACTCACTGACCGTGACCCTCGGCACTGACCGTGACCCTCGGCACTGACCCTGAACTCACTGACCGTGACCCTCGGCACTGACCCTGCACTCACTGACCGTGACCCTCGGCACTGACCCTGTACTCACTGACCGTGACCCTCGGCACTGACCCTGAACTCACTGACCGTGACCCTCGGCACTGACCCTGTACTCACTGACCGTGACCCTCGGCACTGACCCTGAACTCACTGACCGTGACCCTCGGCACTGACCCTGAACTCACTGACCGTGACCCTCGGCACTGACCCTGTACTCACTGACCGTGACCCTCGGCACTGACCCTGTACTCACTGACCGTGACCCTCGGCACTGACCCTGAACTCACTGACCGTGAACCTCGGCACTGACCCTGTACTCACTGACCGTGACCCTCGGCACTGACCGTGACCCTCGGCACTGACCCTGAACTCACTGACCGTGACCCTCAGCACTGACCCTGAACTCACTGACCGTGACCCTCGGCACTGACCCTGTACTCACTGACCGTGACCCTCGGCACTGACCCTGAACTCACTGACCGTGACCCTCAGCACTGACCCTGAACTCACTGACCGTGACCCTCGGCACTGACCGTGACCCTCGGCACCGACCCTGAACTCACTGACCGTGACCCTCGGCACCGACCCTGAACTCACTGACCGTGACCCTCGGCACTGACCCTGAACTCACTGACCGTGACCCTCGGCACTGACCCTGAACTCACTGACCGTGACCCTCGGCACTGACCCTGAACTCACTGACCGTGACCCTCAGCACTGACCCTGAACTCACTGACCGTGACCCTCAGCACTGACCCTGGCACTGACCCTGAACTCACTGACCGTGATCCTCGGCACTGACCCTGATTTCACTGACCGTAACTGCTAGTGTTCATGTTGTTTTCAGCTTCGTCGCCGTTGCGTGATGATGCGTTTCCTGTGTTTCCTCTGGAGTCCACACCTCACAGACAGGTACGCTCAGCCCTCACACACTCCCTTATAAACACACAATACTCCACACAGACAGAGCCCAACAGTGAAAGCTCTGCCATCACGCACATGAAAATTGAATTGTTTAATGCGGACTCGACGCGCTGTGACACGTGAGGCTTCAGACGCATCATCAGGGCTCGGGATGGGCATAAGCGTGTGCCGCACTGAGCCTTTCATATCATAATGCAGTGATGCAATTACAGATTATTTATAGCCTTTCTTGATAACTTATTTTAGATATAGCCAAGGCTACTATAAAATTGAGAGACATGTTTTAAATGTATAGCACAGCTGTTTAATGAGCAGTCCCTCCAGGATTTCACGATTTTTTTTTTGTGATTTTTGCGATCAAAATGACTGATTTTGTGGTGGTAATTTCCAAAAATTTGTGAAATTTGCGATTTATATATAACATTTACCATAATAGTATTCAGTCCTTCCAGAAAAACGCAGAGTTTTTTTGTGATTGTTGTGGGCAAAAAATTTATTGATTATGCGGCCCGTTTTCTTTAAAAATGCGATGGAATATGCGGGATATTTATGCAATTTTATGCGATGAAATTGCAGGAATTTGCAAAAATTGAGGGAACTTGCAAAAATTGCGGTTTGATGGAAAAAGAGAAAAAAAAAGTGATTCCCCCAACACCCTGTTCTCACTCGGCTAATGTAAGAGTCATTTCTTATTACTTCCTTTGATAAGCAAGCACACTACATCATAGAAAGTGCTGGGAATATTTCATTTCTCATCTTGTTTTATTTCAGACTATAACGAGTGTAAATAAGGTGTGGCCCCTTTAAGAGCTGCGCGCTCCTGTTGAACTCTCTGCAGTGTTATATGTGCCCCTCGAACACCCCATGTGTGCGGGTAATTTCTGTTTGATGCTACTTCTTTTATCTTATGTTGTTTATTAAGTAACGATGTGACGGTAGAACGTGTGACAGACAGTTATACGAGTTCGATTTGTGAGATGTCAATCGTGAGTCTGTCAGGCGTTGCGTAATTGCGTCACTTCATAACGTTCCCATGGAAACAGGGGGAAATGGCTGCTCTTGTGTGAAGCAAACGCAACATTTTTCAACTTTCTGCTAAGATACATGTGACTTTTTTTGGAACAAAAATGCGAGGATTATGAAATTATGCAAACCCCGCATATTTTGCACGGAAATCGGCAATTTATGAGGCGAAAGTGCTGCGTATTTGAAAAAATGCGGCCCCCGCATAAATATGCGGACTTTGGCTGATTTTGCATTGAATTCAGCGATCGCATAATCGCGTTTTTCTGGAGGGACTGAATGAGGCAGCAACACATTTAATGACTTAAATATTCATTTCTTTCTCACATTACACTATATAATGGCTTCTGCACACTTATAATAGAGTGCACGAATGTTTTTGTGGGGCTTAACAATAACACAGAAGAGTATACGCACAAAATGTGATTTGGATCGGCCTCGTCTGACCAATACCCGATCTGGCAAAGATGGCCGTATCGGAGCCGATATTCAGATATCTTCCAGATGATGAACGATAAAAACACCCACTCTGAATCCAGCTCCAGCATTTAAAGTGGCAGCTATAATAAACGGAGCCACATCATGATAAATCTCTTGTGCTCTTGTCCCCGTTGTCATGTGCTCAGGGTGTGTGTGTGCATCAGATGGAGCTCGTCTGCCCGGCTCCTCCTCTTCCTCCACTGCCGCCCCCTGATGAAGATGAGCCGCCACCCAAACCTCCTTTCGCTGACGAGGAGGAAGAGGAGGAGATGCTGCTGCGGGAGGAGCTGCTCAAAGCCCTGGCCAGCAAACGGGCCCGCCCAGAGGTGTGTGTGTGTGCATTTATAAAGCGCTTTTAACAATAGTCAAGTCACCTTCATTGTGTGTGATGATCTGTTGTGTCCCTCAGGAGTCCAGCACCAGCGGGCCGCCTTCTCCTGCACTCAGAGCTGTGGTTCAGCCCAGGAACAACCTCTCCTCGGTCAGCCTGAACGCCGTGACCTCACACGCACGAGCGCTCCGGTTCATCCGGGCACACCCCGTGCCCAAAGCCCCGTTCCTGGTGAGTGTGATGAGACGCAGAGAGAGTGCTTGATCAAGGCGTTCCCATGTGACTGTGTGTGTTTGTGTGTTCCAGCTGCCCCGACACAAGGCCGTGGTGGTGCGCCTGAACGCGTCTGATGACAGCGACTCTGAGGGTGAGAGCGAAAGCCCCGCTCAGACCGTGTTCGGGGGCCTGGAGTCCATGATTAAAGAGGCTCGCAGGAGCGTAGAGGTGTGTGTGTGTGTGTGACGACTCCCTTCCCTCTGCTCAGTATGACCCAAAACTCTTGTGTTTTGGGGGGCTTTTGGACTTTTGTTGCATTTGAACCACTTGAATACTTAAACCACGAATAACAAATCTTTCCCTGGTGGGTCAATTTGACCCCCTTACGAATGAATGGAATGCGAGACGCAGAAAAAGCCAAAAAAAAAAAAATGCTCAAAATTCAAACTAAAAATGATGAAACTTTTTTGCATGTTTTTACAAAAAGGTTTACATGTGTATCTGAATGCAAACTGAAAGGACCTGACGTAAGGATCCAGCGGAACAGCTCATTTCCTCCATATAGAGCTATAAGGCCATCTAGTCATGAAATATCATCTTATTATTTATTTCCCACAAGAGGTCAAAGACTCCCAATGGAAGATATTTTTAGCTAAATTGAATAGCGTTATGCATGAAATTATTTTGAATTTAAGTTAAATGACTATTTATTGTTTTTGATCTAATCTAGTAATTTAAAGATCAAATCTAAAATTTTAATTTCAATAATAAAAATATGAAAAATAATATCAAAATGAAATAAAGCTTTCTTGGCAAAAAAAAATAATTGGGTATAATTTTAGGGCTTTGGGACCCGCGAGGGGAAGATGTGTTGCATGAAGCTAACACTAGTGCTTCACTGATATATTCAGGGATGTGATTTTTCCGGATTAATCCGGAATTCCGGATTTTCCGACCTGAAAATGTGACCCACGTGAATCATGCAGATCTGTAAAAAAAAAAAAAAAAACGGGGGGTGGGGGTGTCGGGTGTCGGCAGCCGGAGTGAAAAGGAGAGAATATGAGGACATAACCCACAACTGGCTGACGTGCGTACAGAAAGTTCCTTTCAAAGTATCAACAAGGACGTATTTGCGTTCAGCCAGAGAATGTCTATTTGGTTCAGCTTGTTCACCTGCTCAATTTCGTATCTCAGTCGCTCTCGCGCTGGTATCGTTGTCAGTTGACAAGAACATCACAGTTAGGTCACCAGGGCTGGGCGATATATCGATATATTTCAAATTTGCGCTATGATCCTCGCTCCAAGCAAGCTGCAGACTGCAGCTATCGTGCATTCTGTCAGTTGCAGTCCTGACACCTCCGTCTCAACAGCATTAGTGTACAACGCGACAAATACTCGCTGAGGAACGGGTACATCAGTTCAGCGAGTTCACAAAAGTTAATTTGCATCTGCTTTAAAGCCTTGCCGGTTAAACATGTCATTCACTGCTAATGCGCACATGCACTAAAAGCTTGTAACAGCGCCTGGTTGCTGGACTAAGTTATCTTTCGAGTAGTATTATTTCGCTAATACTCTCAAATATATACAAGGTTTACATAAGAACGTTTGGTTATGTCCAGGGGTTAAAGTGGTCCGGAACTGCGTTCCGGCACCTCAGATAAATAAATAAATAAATAGATTAATTAATCTCAACGAATCTTGCTTCTCCCGATATGGACCAACTTCCCTTCCTCCCCGCTGAACGCGAGCGATAAACACAAAGTATAAACTATATAAAGTATAAACTGTATAAAGTATAACAGCATAAAGTATAAACTATATAAAGTAGCTATAAACGCCTCGTCCGTTTGGAGAGGTGCGCGCGGAGCCCCGCGCTCGTGCGGACGCGTCTAGTTATACACAAGGCTTTACAAATGCTTGAAATGGACTTGCGGTGGTTTAGCGCGGTAAAGTTAGTTTTAGGTCAGAAATATTTCGCCTGACATTTGTTTTCCCTATAGCCGCTGTAGGGTCTTACAAAGAGATCAATAGCAGGATTAGTTTTAACAAACCATTGTATATCGACATTAATATTCGTTCATTAATATTCAAAAATCACCTGCGTGCATTTAATGCTGCATAGAATCCTGAGAATGCTTTCACGGGTTTGCACAGCGCATGATGAGGGAACGTCTGCCAATTCCACCAAATAATTTGTATTATTTAAAATTACTTTTTTAAATTCCAAAGCTTGTATTAGGTGGCAATACAGACCTGGTAGCCTTGAGTAAATTAACTTGTTTAAGATAATGATTCATGAAACATATAATTATCAATTATTTACTTCACTGACAGATGAAAATGAAAGACTATCAGTCAAAGTTCAGGGGGTTTAGGAGTTTAGGAGGGGAAGAAATAGGGCAGGATAAGGAGACTGAGAAAAATAAAGATGTAGATGAGAAGAGAGCAGGCTATTGACAAAATAATCGAATGCCCACTGACATGGTTTTAAAGCTATTTATTATCCTTTTTTTGGCCTTCAAAAGTCTTAAATGGCACATAATTTGGTCAGAGAAATCAAAATTTTCTCGGGGGAGGCCAACTGAAAGCAAACCGAGAAAATTGAGAGAAATCTGCTTGTCAAATGCTCCGTGTATATTAGACGTGTCGCGTACAGGTCTTAAAGTGACAGTAGCCCTAATAATAAAAATGCAGCCGCTTGTTCTTAAAGGGATAGTTGACCCCAAAATAAAAATTCTGTTATTATTTATTCACTGTAATGTTGTTCCAAACCTGTATTAATTTATTTCTTGTGCTGAACAAAAAAGAAGATGTGGGTAACCAGACAGTTGCTGGTCCCCATTGACTTCCATAGGGAAAAATTTAGTATGGAAATCACTGGGGTACATCAACTGTTTTGTTACCCACATTCTTCCAAATAACTTAAACAGAAGAAAGAAACTTATTCAGGTTTTAAACAACTTGAGAGTAAATGATGACAATTACAATTTTTGGGAGAACTATTAATGTTAATTAAACAACAAAACACAGAGGAAATCACTCACTGCTCTTGAGAACTGTAATAGTAGCTTTAATAAGAATCAATGTGTCATTTATACAGTGAAGACTATATTTGACTTTGATTGAACAATTGCTCTCACTTTGCGGAAAAGATATTGGGATATATATCGATCGGGGGGGGGGGGGGGGTGGCTCGGTATATTTTCCTGCTTTTTTGTCCTTAGCCAATCACATGCCTGTATATTCTCCAATTTTTTATTTTTTTATTATCGTCATCAATAATTCAATAACATCGTCAAGTTTGTCCGAATTCGATAACATCAAGTTTGTCCGAGTTGGTATGTCTGGAGCAGGTGTTTTATTTTCGAGGCAGGACTACAGTTTCCTGCAGTTGAAACACTGATCTCACTGCAGCATGTAGAAGAGCTAGCTCTGATCACTGCAGTCATGTGCTACTCTCTCAGGCGGCCAAGCCCAAACACTCGGTGTGTGAGAAGGAGAATAACCCGGTGAAGAGTGCGGGAGCTGCTGTGAAGGACAATCAGCTGTTCCGAGACGACACGGCCAGGTCTGCAGTCACATGATCAAGCACACCTGTACACATGCACACCTTCGAACCTCTAATCCTGTATACATGCACATCTGTTCGCCTCACATGACATATGTCCGAGTGAAACTGCTTCTGGAGCTATAACTGATGATATGAGAGTGATATGTGCACTTTAACCCCTCGTGTGATGTTCCTCAGTCTGGAGAAGCAGAGGTCGGGCCGGCTAGAGCTCGGGGTCGTCCCGTACACGCACACACACTCTCCTGTGGGATCAGACTCAGAGCTGGAGCTCATGGGCAGAGTGGCCGACCTGCAGGAGAAGTTCGATCAACACAGGTGAGCACACACACACACACACACACACACACTGTGTGTCCCTCAGGGCGCAGCTGTGTAAAGACGAGGCTCTGCTGAAGCAGCTCCAGCACACACACACATAGGGCTGTCGCGGTTATGGAGTTTCCCTCGCGGTAATGTTGAGTGGCTCAATAGCGCGATATGCGGTATTACCGCCATTTATTTATTTATTTAATTTATATGTATTTGTTGCTATATAAATAAAGTTTACGATGTGGACCAAAACGAGGACATTTTCAGTAACCGAAACTAAACAGCGTCTACAGTATATGGGCATTGAAAGACTTTCACTCAGCGCGCATATTGTTATGACAACGGACTTTGAGCGAGTCATTGAACCGTTCATTCAACGAACACGTTTAAAAAAGCTGATTCATTAAAAGAGATGTAAAGAAACAAGATGTTAATTATTTTTAACTTTGAGATTCAACTTTTCAAGGCTCAGCTGAGCAGCAATGCGTCGCATAGGCAACGCTGAAGCTGATGCTTCACTTACTAGAGACCAATATAGCATTGATTCAATGCGTGACTCACTGATTTTAATGCTGTGGGATGCTGACTAGCGCTGCTGCTGACGCGCATTTATGGGAAAATACCTGTGAAGAGAACGTTAAAATGATGATGCAACAAATATTTCGCTTCCCTTTGACACGACAAGCTTTTCACGAGTTCAAAGACAGACGCAGGTAATCGCACGCGCTCTGCCGATCTCTCTCATTCACTGTCTGTGTGAAGCCTGTCGGCTACACATCACCACGATAAACAGTCTTGTTATCATTATGAACTTGTTTAACATTCAATACACATGCATTAAGTTCAAAACAAGAAGGCTATAGCCTTATTTAAAAAAAACGTGAATATCGCGGTTGCTGCGGTTACGTGCTATCCTCTGCGGTTGACTTGAAGCGCGGTACTGCAATATTGCGGTTACCGCAACAGCCCTACACACACACACACACACACACTCTCATGCTGATGTGTGTGTCCCTCAGGGCGCAGCTGTGTAAAGACGAGGCACTGCTGAAGCAGCTCCAGCTCCAGGAGCTGAAGAAGAGAGAGTGTGTGCGCGCGGCCGAGGGGAAAGTGTTGCGGCTGAAGGAGCAGCTGCTAGCATCAGAGAAGATCGCGAGCGCTAACAAGGTGTTGCTGAAGAAGCTGCAAGAGCAGGTGAGTGTGTTGTTCAGTGTAGCCAGAGCCGGCCCGAGGCATAAGCGAACTAAGCGGCCGCTTAGGGCCCCCTGGCCACCTAATCGGGGTTACTTTTTATTTTTATTTTTTTTAGATTACTTAAACAAGTGACATAAATCAATGGATGAATGAATGAATATGACTGAATGAATCATTCAAGACAACAAAACTCTGATTTAATGATCATTATACCTGGCTACAAGTTACAACTGCTGCTGTGTCTGCCTGCGTTTAAGTCAAGCGCATAATCCTCTAGACACCTCGCGCGTGCATAGACAATTCGTGCGCAACTGCGCCTAGTCACGTCACGTATCGGAGAAAACAGCCCGCAGGGGAACTTAACCTTCAAGGTGTAAGGCTAGCAGTTTGAATAAATAATAAACATAGCACTTTGAACTCTTCTCCACTTTATTATACCACACATCAGACCTCCAAAAACCCGCGACACTCCAGTAGCCTACCAAGTGCGCGGTCTGCGCACGACCCATGTACGGCAAGCCCCGAGGGGAAAAATACATTGCATACACACATACAACAAGTGCCAGGACATCATTACCGGTATTATAGTAACAGACTTTGTTGGATTATGTCATGTAATATCTAACAAGGTCTGTTACGATGATAATAATAATAATAATAATAATAATAAAGCTTTCGAGGACAGTTACACTGTATTGAGACAGTTGAGAAATAGTAGGCCAAATATTTTTAGTTCTCAACAATAGGCTTGTTGAAGCCTTGCTCTTATGTTTCTCAGTTTTGTCAATTTTAGCAAATAATTTCTTTTATATGTTTTGAGACAGTTTTAAGACTGTTCACTTTTTTTTATTTAAGTAGGCATCTATTTTTTTTATTAAGTATTAATTTTGTAGTAGCCTAATACATGTATTCATTTATAATGTATCATTATTGCGTGACATTTGTGTCAATAATCGTCAAACACAGGTGACTCCGCGTCGTGGGAGGGGGCCCCAAATCAAATTCTGCTTAGGGCCCCCAAAAGGCTCGGGCCGGCTCTGAGTGTAGCCTGTGGCGTAACGTCAGGTGTGTGTCTCCCGCAGGTGTAGAGTTCAGTGTAACGTCAGGTGTGTGTCTCCCGCAGGTTCAGAGAGTTCAGCACCGCGTGAGCTTGAGGAAGCAGCAGTCGCTGAAGCTGAAGAGAGATCTCGATCAGGCCACACTGACACGCAGCTCCAGCGCCGCCAGCTACCCGGTAAACTGCACAACACTAATGACTGAGCCCAGTATGGTCGGATCGTGTACTTGTTATAAAAATAAAACTTTGATTCCTCTGTGAGCGTTTCAATATGACTGTACACCATCCAAGAGCGAGAGTCTCTGTTGTTCAAAGACTAAATGTGGATGATATCTAAGTTTTATTTTTGACCTTCTTGGAATCGAAATGAGGAATTGATACGAGTGGTTCAAATTGAACCGTGACCCAGCCCTGCAGTGAATGAGTGTGTGTTGTGTTCCAGCCGGTGAAGGTGCGGCGCGTGGATCACTCGGACGTCCACTACGCCGAGCTCATCGCGCAGAAGCAGCGTCTGCAGCAGCTGGAGGCTGAATACGCCCAGAAGATCCAGAAGCTGAAGGAGGCGCAGGCGCTCCGGCAAGCTGAACCGCGGGCCGCCCCCCCGCCGCCGCCCGGCGCTCTGTACCCGCTGCCCCAGCCCTCGCTGCACGACCTCACGCAGGACAAGCTAACCCTGTCCAGCGAGTGCGCGGAGGCGGAGGAGGACGAGCAGGTTCCCGCCGCGGCGACGCCCACCGCCCGCCGCCGCTCCTTCAGGGAGTCCGGCTCCTTCACCAAACCCAAGCTGTGCCACCCGGAGACGCCCGCCGCCTCGCCCATGCCCGTCAAACCGGCTAAAGCGGAGCTGCTGCTGGGCCTGGACCTGGAGGACCTGCGCCAGAGGTACACGCTGAGCCCCGCCCTGCCCGAGCTCCTGCGCGAGGAGGCGCGCTCGCTCCGGGACACCGCACAGCCCCCTGGGAAGGTACAGTAAAGCTAGCTTTAAAGGGTACTTATCATTCATTTTTACATATAAATCATAGCGTTGTGGTCTATATAAAGCATAACTGCAATGCTTGGGTCTGAATTCCTCATTATTAAAGCTCCACAGGCCCCTTTTCTGATGTGCGTCTGTGAGCGACCCGTTTCAAAGCGGCCCCTTTAAATAAAAAGGAGATGCGTCACACCCCGCCCGCCCGCTCTCCAGGTCCATGAGTTCACGGTCGGTTCAACTCCCCACGTTCGGCCATTATTGTAGTTTGATTAGAGATATACGATTATATACGATACCTTCAAAGAACATTTTTATTTACACGTTAATAAAATGTCAACAACAGAAGACTTGTCCATCAAGCCTTACATATTCCAGCCAGAGCGAGCGAGTCGATAAAGACGACGACGAACCTGCAGAACAACCACTTCATATGGATGTATTGGTATGCGAGTTAACTGTTTTGTGTTATTAGTGAAAGTCGACTATTTCTCAAGCACACTGACAAGATAAATGACTACGGTCTAATCTTACCACAAACAATCTGTATTGATAATATGAAAACACAGCAGCTAAATGAGCATTGATGAAACTCAAGAACAATAATACTGCAGACGTGTAACGTTACTTCAAAACAAAAACAAAGGTACTGCTAAACCATGACCACCATGTGTTTTAAGAAAGTACTTTATTTTTATTAACGATATTTACAGCTTATGGAAATGCTCTGTTCGTCGTCTCCAAAGACAGAAGGAATTTACCCCTCATTCAGACGAAGTCGATCGGCAAACCCTTCTGTATACTGGCGGAGGTTGTTGAAGTGCTTCAGTCACTAACGTACATCCAACAACCGAACATTTTGACTTGCCCTCTCGTAACTTCTGCATCATTGAGCTCGGACTACAAAATCGGAGCGAGAAATAATAATGGCGGATTGCTCGAAGTGTTGGGCCGGTAGTCGATGTCCTTATTCGTCAGTTCCGCTGCAAATACGGTGACGCACTTCCTCAAAAAACATCATAGAAAACAGAAAAATCTGAACAGGTTGAAAAATATGACCAAAATAGAATATAAAGATATAAACGAAGCACCTGAAGAGAATAATTTCATCTTTTCTGTACATATACAACAAAATGCATTTAAGGGCTAAAAAAGTGGATTTTGCATGACATGTCCCCTTTAAAGGTGACTCATTATGCCGTTTCTCACAAGGTGTAATATAAATCTATGGTGCCCCCAGAATGTGTGAATCTCAGCTCAAAAACCCAGATCAGTTAGTGTAGTTTGTCAAATTTGCCCATTTTCGTCCCTTTAAATGCAAATGAGCTTTAGCTTTAGCCTTCACACAAGCTTCAGAGACTCCGGCAATAACAACACAGGCGGATCTGACTGATCCAGGATCAGGAGTAGCAGCAGCTTTAGCTCCGCCTTACGGAGAGACTCGGCGAGAGCTTCACTTTTACACGTTTCTGAATGTTAGCGAAGACATTTGTGGAGTTTCACTGATCATCTCCTCATCATGTTGAACTCTTCCACAAGTGTCCACAGTTCCTGTTTATAAGACAGCGGTCACATGTTCTGCTCAATAGTGTTCAGTGTCGGGCTCAGCTGGATCTTCTCCAGTGCGTTAGAACTGGGCTCTGAACCCAATGTCGCTGCTGTGTGTAAACGTGCAGATGGTAATATTATAATAAGGTCCCCTTCATACGGCAGAAGGAGTGAAATCTGATCGGCTTATAGTTTGTCATGCTCTCAGAGAAAGACTCACTCACTCACAGTTATGGGTTTCTCTGTTCATGTTTTCTGTGTCGATAGACGCGCGGGGACCTGATTACAGCACTTACAGATTTTCATGATATGTCTCCTTTAATTAACTCCTCGTCTGATTGTGCAGGTGGTGCAGGTGGACTTCGATCCCAGGGTCGCTCATCAGAGCCGAGTGGAGGCCAAGCCAGAGCCGTTCGGACCGTATCACAGTCCTTTACTGGTCTTTAAATCATACAGGTTTGGCTCGCTTCAAGCTCAAAGTATGCTTCAGTTTCCCGCGTACGCTAGTGTGTGTGTGTGTGTGTGTGTGATCATCAGCATAGCCAGCTCGCATGTGCTATCTTTTTTCGCTTATTAAGGTGTGGTCACATTAGCGAAATGTAGGCCATTTTTTTTTTTAAACATTTGAAATCCACCAATTCCCTGTCAATTCCGTGCACACGGTTAGCGTTAGCGGTGGTGTTTCCCGCTGTCAGTCACATGATTCCTGTCGCTGCTTCAGGTTCAGCCCGTATTACCGGACCAAAGAGAAGCTTTCCCTGCGCTCGCTCACCTACAGCAACTCCATCGAGCCCAAGAAGAGCTTCTGCCGCTTCCACCTCACCGGCACCTGCAACGACGACGACTGCGCCTGGTACGTGTGTGTGTGTGTTTGAAGCACTGTGTGTGTTGAGTGTGTGTCTGAAGCGTGTGTGTGTGTGTTTCAGGCAGCACATGAAGAACTGCACGCTCAGCGAGGGCCAGCTGTTCCAGGACCTGCTCTCCTACTGCCTGCCTCTGATTGGCTGCTCAGACACCAGCGCCACCAGTGACATCAGCAGCGCCACAGGTAACAGGTCACATGACCTCTCGGGGCGATCGGCTCAGAGCTGTAGATCATGAGCTCTGACTCTCCTGTTCACAGAGAAGTACATCAAGAAGCTGTTCGGGGCCAATAAGGACCGGATGGGCACGGACCAGAAGGCCGTTCTGCTCGTGAGCAAAGTCAACGAGCGGCTGAAGCACAGTGAGTGCTCGTGTTTGATGCAGTGTCTGACGGCTTGAGCTCGCGCCGAGACTGACCGTTGTGTGTTTCTGTCAGATCCTCCCTTCACCACGTACAAGTCCCAGAGGAAGTGGAGACCCGAGTCTCAGAGAGCGAAGAGGTCCAGTCAGGAGGATGAAGATCACATCAGCGTGGACGTCACCGTTCCCGTCCGACACGGTCAGAGTCCCGCATGATCACATGACTGAGCTGTAAACATGATCACATGACTGAGCTGTGATTGCATGATCACATGACTGAGCTGTGAACATGATCACATGACCGTGCTGAATGCGTGACGTGTGTGTTGCGCCCTGACAGACGGCGTGCAGGAGCGCTGGCCGTGGGCCGATGTGTGTGTGACGCAGGATGACAAGCGCTACTTCGCCAGTGAGACGGATGACATCAGTAACCTGGAGACCAGCGTGCTGGAGAGCCCCAACCACGTGCAGCTGTGGATCAAACTGGCCTTCAAATACCTCAGTCAGAAGGACACGTGAGTGCTGCGCCACACCACTGTGTGTCAGGGCTGTCAAATGGACGAAAAGCTAAATTCGAATTTCTTTCCTAATTATTAGCAAAATTGTAATTATATTCAAATTCTAAAGGCAATACTAATGTTAGAAGTCTTGTATTGTCGCCTGTGTCCACAAGAGGACGCAAGCGAGCACAAAAACGTCATCATGTCAAAAATTTGGGTGCGCTATTTTTTTAATTCGACGAATATTCGAAATTGAAATTTTTATTTGACAGCCTTTAGTGTCTAGTATTCGTCTATTCTGCCAGCTTTCTGTTGATGGTTCACAGTAGGCTTTAGTTTATTCATTTTATTATCATCATTTTTATTTCATCGTTTGATAATCACGTTAAGTCACAAATTCAGTTTTATTTTTATATATCGTTTATAATGTTCTTATGCAACTGTGGGCTGCTATTGTGTTGCATCATCCTCCTGTGTGTGTGTGTGTGTGTGTGTGTAGCTCGGTGTCGGAGTGTCTGGACGCGGCGCTGAACACGCTGTCGCGCGCGCTGGAGGATAACCGCGAGCAGGCCGAGGTGTGGTGTCACTACCTGACGCTGTTCTCGCGGCGAGCCAGCAGGGAGGAGCTGCAGGAGATGTGCGAGATGGCCGTCGAGCACGCGCCGCACTACGACGTCTGGTGGACCGTGAGTCTGCCGCTCGCTTCATCAAATAATCCATGACTAACGTGACAATGTCATTCAATCATAACTGTGACTATATTAACATGCAATATCGATGATAAAAAAGATCAGATTCACATGTAGTTAAAATATAAAAACCTTTAAGTCCTCCTGTAGTTAGGCTAATAATTTTATCCCTTAACTCATCTTTGATCACAAATTACATATTTAAAAGTATTTTCCTTAAAAATATATTGAATGTAACTCTACACCCTTGCCTCATGTAATATACGCGGATCTTTTCACAACGTAGAGAATGTTCATTTATACGATGAATAGCCGATAATAAATCAGGGAACTGTGAGCTCAAGTGTACGAGTCGACATTCTCTTGATTTGTGCTTATAGCCGACAGTGCGATCATGTAAAAATACATATCAAATCACAAGCAAAACAATCATGATCATAAAACTGAACTTTGTGCAACATGACGAAACAGACTAAACAAAAACATGACGAGGTTGACCAAACGATAACCTGTGAGCAGATTTGCCCCAGGACTGATGAGATCTGTGGCTCTGTCTGTGTTCCAGTACATGAGCGTGGAGAGCGCCTTCGAGGGCAAGGACTACGTGTGCGGGCGTCTGATCACGCACCTGCTGGAGGAGTCACATGACCTCGGGCCAGAGGTGCGCTCCTTCCAGCTGCTGGAGTCGCTGCTGTTCAGGGTCCAGCTCAGTGTGTTCAGCGGCCGGCACACCAGCGCGCGGAGCACACTCAAGGTCTGGCAGACTCACACTTACTCTAGTCTACTGTTCTAGATTAATGGCTGATGTTTATCTCGTCCAGTGTTGATAACTCTCTACAAGAAGCTCTCATTTGGTAACATTACTTATAGGGCTGGGCAAAAAAATCGATTTTTCGATTAATTAATAGTTTTTTAAAATGTGTTCGATCAACGGCCACGAATCGATTTTTTCCATATAAAGGGCTCGCGGACGCGGTGGTGCATCTTCTCGTCTCTCTGCACTAGACAAGCGGGATTATATCACTTTAACAGTTAAACACGCGACATTATGTCAAAACTCTGGTCTTGGTGAGTAACCTCGTAAAGACAGTCGGTAATGTCTTAAATTAGCATTAAACGCGTGTGACAGAAAGTTAATGAAACAGTAATGGATTCGCGCACTAGTTCTTAAAGTGAACGCAGCCATTTGTGTCAGTCATTAATTCTGTTGTCATAACAACAGAATATAGTATTAATTGTAAGCAATCAGAATTAATAGCCTTTGTATTTAATTCAGTCTGGACTAAAAAGACTACCCAGTGTTATTTTACATTGGATTACTTTAGTCAGTTTCTGTAGTATTTCTGACATACCCAAAAAACTACCCCAAAATGTCTCTTAATTTGTGTCTTTATTCTATTGTATTTATTTGTGCTACTTTTTTCAATTTAATTCAAAGATTGAAATCAAGCTTCCATACATAAACTCTTAAAACAAAAATAAACAAAAAATTACATTACCATTTAGGTAAGATCAATGTAAAAAAAATGTCTAAATATTTATATATTTATTTATCTTTATCTATCTTAAACATAAAATAACATGATACTGTTTGATCAAGCTGTGCGACTGTTCTGACATTTTTTGTATATTGCATAAAAATCCTGTTTATTCTTTGTATGCATTTAGTGTACCTAAAATAAAAAGAGTTTTATATACAGGTTTATGGCTCTTAATTTCCTTGTATTAATTAACCACTAGTAAACTTATGTCCACTGTTCTTTTTTATAAATATAGGATTTATATTACATCTTCATTATAGTCGAATCGAGAATCAAATCAGGAATCGAGAATTGAATCGAGAATCGAAATCGAATCGAGAATCGAAATCGAATCGAACTGAGAGCTTGTGAATCGAAATCGAATCGAAATTGAAATGTGAATCGATACCCAGCCCTAATTACTTAGTGTATTAACTAACAGTGAACAATATATTTGTACAACCTTTATTGAATACAGTTATTCATCATTAGTTTGTTAGTTCACAGTGCATTGTCTAATGTTAACAAATTCAACTTTTGATTTTAATAATGTATTAGTAAATGTTGAAATTTAGCAATGTTTAGAGGTGTTTTTGGTTACACTTTTTATTGTTAGTGGAATTATACAGTAAGTACTCAATATAATTTTGGGTTAAGGTTAAATTCTTGTAATTATGCTTAATTTACAGTTATTACTATAGTAACTACATGTAATGTGTAACGAACGTTGTAAAATAAAGTGTTGTCATATTTGTTCTTGTTAGTGCATGTTGACTGATGAAATGAAAGTGAAATGTTTTAGCTTGAGTTAATGGCAACAAAGTAGAAAGATAAATTATTAAAAGTTGATCATTTGAAAAATAATTAAATAAAAATATAAACATAAATATTAGATGCAAGAAAATCAAAGCAAATTCATTATATTAATAAATGCCATTTATAAACATGTATATGTCACTGTTCAGACTGTCTTAAGAAGTAGTTGGGTTTCAGATTGAAATAACTTTGTGAATTGTAAAAAGTTATATATGACTAAGATGAGGGTTATGATCATAGGTCTCAGGGCATGGTTTATAAAGGAGGAGGGTGTGTGTGTGTGTGTGTGTGCAGACCGCGCTGGACTCAAACGTGTCGGGTCACCTGACCGTGGCAGACCGATGTCTGGCCTGGCTCTCCTACATCCACCTGGTGGAGTTCTGCCGCCTCCCGCCCTCGCTGTATGACCCGGCCAGCTCCAGCCCATCCAGGATAGTGTGTACAGACGCCTTCCTCATCCCCTGGAGCCCGGCCCGGGACGGCCACACACCTGACGCCATCATCAGCCTGTTTACAGGTGACCCTGCCCACATCACACACCATAGACACCATCATCAGCCAGTTATCGGCTTCCAAATATACAGAATTATTGGTATTGGCCGATATAACGGTTATCGGCTTCCAAATATACAGAATTATTGGTATCGGCCGATATATCGGTTATCGGCTTCCAAATATACAGAATTATCGGTATCGGCCGATATAACGGTTATCGGCTTCCAAATATACAGAATTATTGGTATCGGCCGATATATCGGTTATCGGCTTCCAAATATACAGATTTATTGGTATCGGCTGATATATCGGTTATCGGCTTCCAAATATACAGATTTATTGGTATCGGCCGTTATATCGGTTATCGGCTTCCAAATATACAGAATTATTGGTATCGGCTGATATATCGGTTATCGGCTTCCAAATATACAGATTTATTGGTATCGGCCGTTATATCGGTTATCGGCTTCCAAATATACAGAATTATTGGTATCGGCAGATATATCAGTTATCGGCTTCCAAATATACAGAATTATTGGTATCGGCCGATATATCGGTTATCGGCTTCCAAATATACAGAATTATTGGTATCGGCTGATATATCGGTTATCGGCTTCCAAATATACAGAATTATTGGTATCGGCCTATATATCGGTTATCGGCTTCCAAATATACAGATTTATTGGTATCGGCCGTTATATCGGTTATCGGCTTCCAAATATACAGAATTATTGGTATCGGCTGATATATCGGTTATCGGCTTCCAAATATACAGAATTATTGGTATCGGCCTATATATCGGTTATCGGCTTCCAAATATACAGAATTATTGGTATCGGCCGATATATCGGTTATCGGCTTCCAAATATACAGAATTATTGGTATCGGCAAATATATCGGTTATCGGCTTCCAAATATACAGAATTATTGGTATCGGCCGATATATCGGTTATCGGCTTCCAAATATACAGAATTATTGGTATCGGCCGATATATCGGTTATCGGCTTCCAAATATACAGAATTATTGGTATCTGCTGATATATCAGTTATCGGCTTCCAAATATACAGAATTATTGGTATCGGCCGATATATCGGTTATCGGCTTCCAAATATACAGAATTATTGGTATCGGCCGATATATGTTATCAGCTTCCAAATATACTTATCGAGATATCAGTTATCGGCTTCCAAATATACAGAATTATTCGTATAGGCCGATTTATCTGTTATTGGCTTCCAAATATACAATCTGTTTGTGTGTCCTGTAGATGCTGTGAGCCGCTGCACGGATGAGCGCTTGTCCTCCAGTGAGCAGATTGAGGCTTGTTTCCCCCTTCACTCAAACCTCATTCACCTGTACCGGCGGCTGGACAGGTACGGCACGTCTCCCACCATGAGGCTTCTGAAATCTGTGCTGTTACTGACGCCAGTGCCATGCTTTCAGGTGTGCGGAGGCGGTGTCTCTCTGCGAGCGTCTGCTGGCGGCCTGCCCGCTCTACTGCCCCCTGCTGGAGCTCGCCGGGGAGCTGCTCGTGTGCTCGGGACAGACGGAGCGAGCCGAGGCCCTGTGGACACGCGCTCATCAGGACCGCGCCGGCAGCGCTCGTGTGTTCCTCCAGCTCTGCAGGTGTTTGCACTCGCAGGTGAGACCCGCTCTGGTCACAGCTGAAGCACAGTGCAGGTGTCCTGATGCTCATTTCTGTGAGTTTGTGTGTGTGTGTGCAGGGGAAATGCAGTGTTCTGGAAGAGCTCTTTGACAAGTTCATGCGCTCTTTCTGTGAATCTGTACCAGATCAGCTGAAGTCTCTAGATGTGCTACGGTAATGTCCTCACCGACACCACAGTCTGCAATGTGTGCTAGCATGAGCAGTGTTCCCACCGTCACAGGATTTTCCTCGTCTGGGACAGGCAACAGATCCTTCTAGTTACTCTCCAAGGCTCGACAGGAAGGCCTGTCTGATGTCTGGGGCCCTGTGAAAGATGCTCGGGCCAGTGCTGCATTATTACAAAACATTGTCATTTTAAACACTCAAGAGATTTTAAACCGTTCAAGCGTAAGAGAAAATGGCGCACAAGTTCCAAATTCAGTAAGAAATTCATTTTAAAAAAAGCTTATCCAGTAGTCACAAGTAGGGTTGGGAATCGAAAATCATTCAAGACCTGCCGTCTCTATAATAACGCTAATCTTCATGATATTCAGCTACAATAGTGTTCTGTAAAAAGTTCTTCAGCCTGTTGGTTTGTCTTCATGATATTCAGCTACAATAGTGTTCTGTAATAAGACTAAATGAATACCCCCCCCCCAAAAAAAAAATGTTTTACCTTATTGGAATCAAAATTAGGAATTGATAAGCAAATTGAAATTGGAATCGTTAAAATTAAATTGACTGGAGGAGCCTTGGAAATTAAGTAAATGTATACAATCTGGTTTCGTTATTTTCTCTGACGGTGATGCCATGTTTCCTGTGTTTTACTGCCTTTTCTATGCCCAGTATTTGTTTCAAGATCTGATGTTTGTGATTTCAGCCATGTTCTTGGTGTTGAAACTCAAGACTTGCTGAAAGCTCCAACCCTCAGAGATGATGTTGAGCATGAGATGGAGTACCTGCACCTCCTTCACTGGTGCGTCCCGCTGCGGCTCGCCTCACTCTGCTCTCCACACACACGCCTCGCTCTGCTCTCCACACACACGCCTCGCTCTGCTCTCCACACACACGCCTCGCTCTGCTCTCCACACACACGCCTCGCTCTGCTCTCCACACACACGCCTCGCTCTGCTCTCCACACACACGCCTCGCTCTGCTCTCCACACACACGCCTCGCTCTGAACTCCACACACACGCCTCGCTCTGAACTCCACACGCTTCCCTTCTCACCCCAACTCTTGCTTTTCCACAGCTTCTGGCAGTCTACCTTTGGCAGTGCGAGAGAGGCCATTGATGCGTTCGAGAAGGCTTTGGGAACCATTACAAAGTTGGAGTTAATTCACACACTCTGGCTAGAGTAAGTAAACTATATAGTTTGTTAAACCTAAACCTAATTAATGATTGGTTGACTGCCAAATTAAAATATTAAACAGAATAATAAAATACCGTTCCTAAAGTAATAAAATAATGTTCCTGTTAAAATTTATTTCTAACCCTTGTTAGCAGTATTGGGCACATTTCCATGTTGGTGTTTATTAGTTTCTGAATATTCAGAATCATATATAGCCAATATATCAGTTATCGGCTTCCAAATATACAGAGTTATCGGTATCGGCCGATATATCAGTTATCGGCTTCCAAATATGCAGAATTATCGCATCAGCCGATATATCGGTTATCGGCTTCCAAATATGCAGCGTTATCGTATCGGCCGATATATCGGTTTTCGGCTTCCAAATATGCAGAATTATCGTATCTACCGATAGATCGGTTGTCGGCTTCCAAATAAACAGAATTATTGTATTGGCCGATATATTGGTTATCTGCTTCCAAATATACAGAATTATATTGTCAGCCAATATATCGGTTATCGGCTTCCAAATATACAGAGTTATCGGTATCTGCCGATATATCGGTTATCTGCTTCCAAATATACAGAGTTATCGGAATCGGCCGAAATATCGGTTATCAGCTTCCAAATATACAGAATTATCGGAATCGGCCAATAAATCAGTTATCAGCTTCCAAATATACAGAATTATTGGTATCGGCCAATAAATCAGTTATCACCTTCCAAATATACAGAATTATCGGAATCGGCCAATATATCAGCTATCGGCTTCCAAATATACAGAATTATTGGTATCGGCCAATATATCAGTTATCAGCTTCCAAATATACAGAATTATTGGTATCGGCCAATATATCAGCTATCGGCTTCCAAATATACAGAATTATTGGTATCGGCCAATATATCAGTTATCAGCTTCCAAATATACAGAATTATTGGTATCGGCCAATATATCAGTTATCAGCTTCCAAATATACAGAATTATTGGTATCGGCCGATATATAAGCTATCGGCTTCCAAATATACACAGAATTATTGGTATAGGCCAATATATCAGTTATCGGCTTCCAAATACACAGAATTATTGGTATCGGACAATATATCGATTATCAGCTTCCAAATATACAGAATTATCGGTATCGGACGCTATATCAGTTATCGACTTCCAAATGTACAGAATTATCGGTATCGGACGATATATCAGTTATCGGCTTCCAAATATACAGAATTATTGGTATCGGCTTATATGTCTAAATCAGCTTCCAAATATGCAGAATTATTGTTATCGGCTTATATGTCGAAATTGGCTTCCAAATATGCAGAATTATTGGTATCGGCTAATATGTCGAAATTGGCTTCCAAATATACAGAATTATCGGTATCGGACGCTATATCAGTTATCGACTTCCAAATATACAGAATTATCGGTATCGGACGATATATCAGTTATCGGCTTCCAAATATACAGAATTATTGGTATCGGCCGATATATCAGTTATCGGCTTCCAAATATGCAGAATTATTGTTATCGGCTTATATGTCGAAATTGGCTTCCAAATATGCAGAATTATTGGTATCGGCTAATATGTCGAAATTGGCTTCCAAATATGCAGAATTATTGTTATCGGCTTATATGTCGAAATTGGCTTCCAAATCTACAGAATTATCGGTATCGGACGATATATCAGTTATCGGCTTCCAAATATGCAGAATTATTGGTATCGGCTAATATGTCGAAATTGGCTTCCAAATATACAGAATGTATATTTGTGTTGTGTGTCCTAACGCCTGTATTCTCTCCTCAGCTATCTGTCCCTCTCCAACAGTAAGATGATGGGCGAGCAGCCGAGTGTGCGTGAGCTGAAGATGTTCACGGGACTGGTGCACCGCTGTCTGGAGACGGTGCCCACCAGACTCACCCTGCCCTTCAGCTCCTCGCAGTACTGGAGCAGCTTCAGCTTCCACAACCAGGTACGCCCCGAGGCGGCTCACACCAGCCACACGCCCACATGCCACGCTTCTTACGGGTGTATATGGGTCTTACTGCTGTCGGACAGGGTAGATGGTAGTGTGTTTGTATTTTGTGCTGTGTGCATTGCAGGTCATATCCTTCTGTTTGGGATGTTTCCCTCAATCCCAACATTCCCTTCTCCTGGAAAGATTTCAGCATATCATGCCAACCAATACTGAACTGGCCATAAGGTAATGAGACGACTTGCTTGGATTTATTCTGATAGTTTCTGACCTGAAGCTTGTGAAAAGTTCCAGTATTTTCCATTATTTACGTGTTTATCTTTCTCTCAAATACCTTTACTTGTTTTTGTTTTAATCATCTGTATGGTGTAAATTTCTAAGGTTAGGGTTACCCTATCCCTTCACTGAAGTTTTAAACTCTGTCTTCTCTGTAATGGGTAACTGTTTTATTCTTTAACTTAGTCAATAGGTGTCACTGGATACAAGCCACAGCTTCTGAAGGCACTTTAATGTCCTGGAGTTTAGTGTTAATTGTCCTTGTGTAGGTTGCTGCAGCAGGAATGGCAGGATGGCAATGTTGAACATTTTAAATTGCAAAGCAGAATGTTGTGCAGTAGCGTCCCAACCTGTCTGGCCTTCTGGAAAATGTAAGTTCATGAGCTCCAAATACATCTAGCTAAAATGCTTCTGTGTGTCCTAATGAGATGATATTCTTAAGTTTTTGGTGTAGCTCTCCACCTCTTTAGTGTAGCTTGTTTTAATAAAAACCGAGTCATTTTTCAAATGTTTTCTATCAAATTGAGACTTTCCCTCCACCTTATATATTCCATATGTACAGGTAAAGACCCATGAGGTCACATGATATGAAGTCTCCTTAAGACACACCCCCTGTTCCTGTGAGTGTAAGCGTTCACGCGTGGCTGGCTTTTGATAGCATAAGACTGGTGGTTTGAATTAGAGCCTTGCTGTTAGCTCGGTCTTTGCTGTCTCCTGCATTTCCAACAGTAGATGCGCCTGATTGGTTCACAAGCCTCAACTGAGTTGACCTAGCGAGGTTATTAGCGGAGCAGCCAATGCTCTGATAACCCAAAGCCTGAGAATCCTGGCTCCTGGTTTAGTGATTAAACAGAGGCTCATATCTAATAAAAAAAATTTAACTGTTGTTTTAAAGTCCCTGTAGTCAATAATTTTATCCTTTAAAACTTATCTTTGATCAGCAAAAATACATATTAAATCATTTAGTATTTGCGGTTCTATGAATATGCAAATTAGCCCTGACTCCACTCAGCTCAGAGATCCACTGGTTGACGATCACACGTTGATCTGATTGGTTACAAAGTCGTCTGTGACGTCAGAAACACCAGCGTTGTCAAATCGTGTTTTTGAGACTGTCTTAGGTTCACTGCAGTTTTAAGCAGAAAATACTCAGCAATGCTCTCGACAAACACCACATAGACATAAACTACAGTAAAAGACGGATTTTCACCACCGGTGGACTTTAAAATAAGTCAATACTGTTTGACCTTCCTCTTCTGGAGAAGTGTCAGGAACGGAGAGTTAGATAAACTCTTATTTCTGGGCTTCTGGAATTGGGACCAGATGTTAGTGCGAATCTGCATTTTCTTTCAGATTATCGGCCATGTTTTTATGCATTGGTCTGAACAGGCATTTTCATACAGAAATGGGACAGGATTTTCGTGTGGAACTTTGGTGTTGGAATGAACAGGCCTTTAATAACCCTGGGCTTCTAAACCTGTACTGGTCTGGATGAGGTGTGGTTGAGTAAATGATGGCATTGAGGCTCCCTTTAGTCAGATGAGGACTAGATAATACATCGCACTCTCCTTCTCTTGCCTTGTTCTGACTGGAATCTCGTGATATGCAGACGGAATTTTGCATGAGATAATTTTCATACCTGGACTGGGTTTGACCGTTTTCAGGGTTCCCCATCCCCAAAATCCCAATCCGCCCCTGCCTACACACATTACTGGACATCAGGCGGCCCTCACCCCTGAAACGCAAGATGTTGCCCGTCTCAAGGGAGCGAAGCAAACCACAGTGACTGGCTGGCATCTTCCGTACTCGTACTGTAGGGTTATGGAGGGCTCTCTCTGAAGGAGGGCTGCATGGTCCATCACTTTTTTTCATTCAAAGTCTCAACTTTAAAATATTTATTTGAGGCCAGCGAGAATTAGAATTAGCCTCATCCAAACATTCCCCTCAGTAACACAGTGAAGCCATACGAGTTGAGCTGTTTCGAGTCAGCTAGAGGAGTTGCTGTCTTTATTTGGTAAACTATTGACATTAGGCCTTTTAACACAGCAGTCATGGTAAATTACCCCAAAATTGCCAGAATTGCTTTACCAGCAAATTCACAAATGTGCTGTTCACTCAAGACACAGCGTTCTGGCTTTTGACCAGTAACAGACCATTCACACATCAGCTCCAGAATACTGTTAAACTCTGTGATTGTCATTAACCAGAAGTGTGTGCCTTGTTCCTGAAGAGGGCTAGTTATTTCATCATACATGACAGTATCACTAACTGTTCCTCTAAGTTTTGACAAATCTCATGACAAACTAAAAGCGTGCTAGTTTCGATATCACTCCCATTTGGAGACATTTGTAAACTGTGCTGAGTAAATATGTCATCTGCGTCATCATTTAATGAATGGCCCCGAGCCGTTGCTCTTTCAACGGCTTCTGATTGGCCAAAACCCTTCTTACGTCAGTGCGTTCTGACTGCGTATGGACAAAATACTGGTAATCTGCATTCACACATCGCATATACCAGTCATTTACTGGTAATGTTACAACTTCCCTTACTGGAAAATTGCTGGAACAAATTCTCTTCCAAGAACCTGTGTTTGAGCTGGATCTCGCACGCGATCTGTTACCAGTAATTTACCAGTAAAGAGTGTGTTTGTAAACGTGGCTATTATCTGGTCCTGCATCGCTTCCCAGGGTTTATACTCCAAACAGAGGAAGGGGGACCAAGAAACTGATCCTGGAACGCACTTCGGTCCTCTTGCCATGGAGCCGTTGTCATTGCACAGTTGTCCTGCTTGCCTGTGCAAAGAATCATGGGAGTGAAGTGTCTGTCTGTTTTACCCTTCACAATCCTTAACTCAGAGCACTTCGTTTTGAGGAATAACCCTTCAGTATATGGCGGCCATGAGGGCTCTCAGTCTGAAGGGCCCTCCGGAGACAGGGTTCATCCCGTTGGATGGGTTCAGCCTAGTGACCCTGAAGAGATTATGCAGTGTGTTTGAGTTGGACTCAGCCTCCATGAGCAGGGTTGGGTTCAGCCTAGTGACCCTGAAGAGCTTGTGCAGTGTGTTTGAGCTGGACTCAGCCTCCATGAGCAGGGTTGGGTTCAGCCTAGTGACCCTGAAGAGCTTGTGCAGTGTGTTTGAGTTGGACTCAGCCTCCAGGAGCAGGGTTGGGTTCAGCCTAGTGACCCTGAAGAGCTTGTGCAGTGTGTTTGAGCTGGACTCAGCCTCCATGAGCAGGGTTGGGTTCAGCCTAGTGACCCTGAAGAGCTTGTGCAGTGTGTTTGAGCTTGACTCAGTCTCTAGGAGCAGGGTTGGGTTCAGCCTAGTGACCCTGAAGAGGTTGTGCAGTGTGTTTGAGCTGGACTCAGTCTCTAGGAGCAGGGTTGGGTTCAGCCTAGTGACCCTGAAGAGCTTGTGCAGTGTGTTTGAGCTGGACTCAGCCTCCAGGAGCAGGGTTGGGTTCAGCCTAGTGACCCTGAAGAGCTTGTGCAGTGTGTTTGAGCTTGACTCAGCCTCCAGGAGCAGGGTTGGGGTCAGCCTAGTGACCCTGAAGAGCTTGTGCAGTGTGTTTGAGCTTGACTCAGTCTCTAGGAGCAGGGTTGGGTTCAGCCTAGTGACCCTGAAGAGCTTGTGCAGTGTGTTTGAGCTTGACTCAGCCTCCAGGAGCAGGGTTGGGGTCAGCCTAGTGACCCTGAAGAGCTTGTGCAGTGTGTTTGAGCTTGACTCAGTCTCCAGGAGCAGGGTTGGGGTCAGCCTAATGACCCTGAAGAGGTTGTGCAGTGTGTTTGAGCTGGACTCAGCCTCCATGAGCAGGGTTGGGTTCAGCCTAGTGACCCTGAAGAGCTTGTGCAGTGTGTTTGAGCTTGACTCAGCCTCCAGGAGCAGGGTTGGGTTCAGCCTAGTGACCCTGAAGAGCTTGTGCAGTGTGTTTGAGCTTGACTCAGCCTCCAGGAGCAGGGTTGGGTTCAGCCTAGTGACCCTGAAGAGCTTGTGCAGTGTGTTTGAGCTGGACTCAGCCTCCAGGAGCAGGGTTGGGTTCAGCCTAGTGACCCTGAAGAGCTTGTGCAGTGTGTTTGAGCTTGACTCAGTCTCTAGGAGCAGGGTTGGGTTCAGCCTAGTGACCCTGAAGAGGTTGTGCAGTGTGTTTGAGCTTGACTCAGCCTCCAGGAGCAGGGTTGGGTTCAGCCTAATGACCCTGAAGAGGTTGTGCAGTGTGTTTGAGCTGGTCTCAGCCTCTAGGAGCAGGGTTGGGGTCAGCCTAGTGACCCTGAAGAGCTTGTGCAGTGTGTTTGAGCTTGACTCAGTCTCTAGGTGCAGGGTTGGGTTCAGCCTAGTGACCCTGAAGAGCTTGTGCAGTGTGTTTGAGCTGGACTCAGTCTCTAGGAGCAGGGTTGGGTTCAGCCTAGTGACCCTGAAGAGCTTGTGCAGTGTGTTTGAGCTTGACTCAGTCTCTAGGTGCAGGGTTGGGTTCAGCCTAGTGACCCTGAAGAGCTTGTGCAGTGTGTTTGAGCTTGACTCAGCCTCCAGGAGCAGGGTTGGGTTCAGCCTAGTGACCCTGAAGAGGTTGTGCAGTGTGTTTGAGCTTGACTCAGCCTCCAGGAGCAGGGTTGGGTTCAGCCTAGTGACCCTGAAGAGCTTGTGCAGTGTGTTTGAGCTGGACTCAGCCTCCAGGAGCAGGGTTGGGGTCAGCCTAGTGACCCTGAAGAGCTTGTGCAGTGTGTTTGAGCTTGACTCAGTCTCTAGGAGCAGGGTTGGGTTCAGCCTAGTGACCCTGAAGAGCTTGTGCAGTGTGTTTGAGCTGGACTCAGCCTCCAGGAGCAGGGTTGGGGTCAGCCTAGTGACCCTGAAGAGCTTGTGCAGTGTGTTTGAGCTTGACTCAGTCTCTAGGAGCAGGGTTGGGTTCAGCCTAGTGACCCTGAAGAGCTTGTGCAGTGTGTTTGAGCTGGACTCAGCCTCCAGGAGCAGGGTTGGGGTCAGCCTAGTGACCCTGAAGAGCTTGTGCAGTGTGTTTGAGCTGGTCTCAGCCTCTAGGAGCAGGGTTGGGTTCAGCCTAGTGACCCTGAAGAGTTTGTGCAGTGTGTTTGAGCTTGACTCAGCCTCCAGGAGCAGGGTTGGGGTCAGCCTAGTGACCCTGAAGAGCTTGTGCAGTGTGTTTGAGCTTGACTCAGCCTCCAGGAGCAGGGTTGGGTTCAGCCTAGTGACCCTGAAGAGGTTGTGCAGTGTGTTTGAGCTTGACTCAGCCTCCAGGAGCAGGGTTGGGTTCAGCCTAGTGACCCTGAAGAGCTTGTGCAGTGTGTTTGAGCTGGTCTCAGCCTCTAGGAGCAGGGTTGGGGTCAGCCTAGTGACCCTGAAGAGCTTGTGCAGTGTGTTTGAGCTTGACTCAGCCTCCAGGAGCAGGGTTGGGTTCAGCCTAGTGACCCTGAAGAGGTTGTGCAGTGTGTTTGAGCTGGTCTCAGCCTCTAGGAGCAGGGTTGGGGTCAGCCTAGTGACCCTGAAGAGCTTGTGCAGTGTGTTTGAGTTGGACTCAGTCTCTAGGAGCAGGGTTGGGTTCAGCCTAATGACCCTGAAGAGGTTGTGCAGTGTGTTTGAGCTGGACTCAGTCTCTAGGAGCAGGGTTGGGTTCAGCCTAGTGACCCTGAAGAGCTTGTGCAGTGTGTTTGAGCTGGACTCAGCCTCCAGGAGCAGGGTTGGGTTCAGCCTAGTGACCCTGAAGAGGTTGTGCAGTGTGTTTGAGCTGGACTCAGTCTCTAGGAGCAGGGGTGTGTTCAGCCTAATGACCCTGAAGAGGTTGTGCAGTGTGTTTGAGCTTGACTCAGTCTCTAGGAGCAGGGTTGGGGTCAGCCTAATGACCCTGAAGAGCTTGTGCAGTGTGTTTGAGCTGGACTCAGCCTCCAGGAGCAGGGTTGGGGTCAGCCTAGTGACCCTGAAGAGCTTGTGCAGTGTGTTTGAGCTTGACTCAGCCTCCAGGAGCAGGGTTGGGGTCAGCCTAGTGACCCTGAAGAGGTTGTGCAGTGTGTTTGAGCTGGTCTCAGTCTCTAGGAGCAGGGTTGGGGTCAGCCTAATGACCCTGAAGAGGTTGTGCAGTGTGTTTGAGCTGGACTCAGCCTCCAGGAGCAGGGTTGGGGTCAGCCTAGTGACCCTGAAGAGGTTGTGCAGTGTGTTTGAGCTGGTCTCAGTCTCTAGGAGCAGGGTTGGGGTCAGCCTAATGACCCTGAAGAGGTTGTGCAGTGTGTTTGAGCTGGACTCAGCCTCCAGGAGCAGGGTTGGGGTCAGCCTAGTGACCCTGAAGAGCTTGTGCAGTGTGTTTGAGCTTGACTCAGTCTCTAGGAGCAGGGTTGGGGTCAGCCTAATGACCCTGAAGAGGTTGTGCAGTGTGTTTGAGCTGGACTCAGCCTCCAGGAACAGGGTTGGGTTCAGCCTAGTAAACCCTGGGGAGCAAGATTAATCAGAATTGTAATTTCATAACAAGCATCCGATTCCTGACCCTAGTGGTGTTTAAGAGCTGTTGGTGTTTACTGTGTTGGTCACGTGTCTAGGGTGTTTCCCTGTACATATGGAGTGTGTAATGCTGTGGTAGTGTTGAGTTCTGCTTGAACTGACCCAGGGTCTGCATGAGTGACATGCTGAATGTGATGTCCATTCATTTGGACAGAATTGAAGTGTTTGACTGTCGATATATATTTCTTGCCAGAGCGATTGCGGTTGAGAAGGAGCAGAGGCAGCGAGCAGAGGTGAGTGAGAGGTCAGAGGTCAGGTCATTCCTCATACAGTGACCCATTCTGTGGAGCTTTGATCAATCTATTGTTCTTTCTGCAGGGTATGCTCAGTGCACAAATATATGTAAGAGTTTAAAAGGCATACCTGTGACAGACGAGCGGAGTGTGTGTGTGTGTGTGTGAACTGACTGTGTTCTGTCTGGTGTGTTTGTGCTGTGATCGGCACGTTCGCAGGTCCGGCGGCTCTACCAGCAGGCGCTCCAGAAACTGCCCCTGTGTGCTGCTCTCTGGAAAGATGTAAACACACACACACACATCAGTACACACACGTCAGTGCCGTGTGCTTCTCTGACACACCCTCACCCTCTCTCTCTCTCTCTCTCTCTCTCTCTCTCTCTCTCTCTCACTCTCCCTCCCTCTCCACAGTGTTTGCTCTTCGAGGCGGCAGAAGGAGGTAAAACTGACACACTGAAAAAAATAATTGACAAGTGCCAAGAGGTGGGAGTGAGTCTGAGTGAGCCGCTAGGGTTAGAGCCGAGCCACAGCGAGTGACATGACACCACACTAGCCCAGCCAGACTCTCTCACACACACACTCACACACACGCTCACAGATCACACTCAGTGTTACGAGCAGAACCCAGTCCAGACACTGAGCTGCCAATTATCCAGTATTTGGGCGTCTTTTGACATCATGTACGTAAGTATAACTCTGTTGCCGATACCTGTTGCTTTTGATTTGCGTGTTCCATTTGTACACCAACACTTTTAATTTGACGTATTTTTCTTTAACGTCGCCATAGTAGTTGACGGACTGTGACTGTTGAAGGTGGCTTGCCTCCTTCCTCTCTATATAGTTTGTTGTTTCTTCTCATGGCGTCTCGACCATGTCTCATGAAGAATATGAACTCCGCTGGAGAGTTTAAGGGCTCCGCACAGTGTTTTTCTTTTCTTTAGTTTTTTGTTGTTGTTTTTCTACTCCTTCTCCAACCATGGATTAATGGCTGTTATTGGAAGTATTGTGTTTGGCTCCCAGTGTCGGTGACACTTCTCCACAGACTGCCAAACTCTCGACTCGTGTCTGTAGTCCTGGACTGGCCAAAACACCTCATTCAACTGTTCATGTAATGCTGTTTCTGCACAAATTAAAAAAAATCCATGTTTGTATGTGTTTGTGCGTGTGTGTGTGTGTGTATATATGCACACACACACGCACATTAATTAACGTATTCTGCAGGAATGATAATCTTACACCTGTTTTTTCTTTCAATTTATAATTGAACAATGTTTCTATTAAATTATTTTGTACATAAATACAGTGTTTTGTGTTTATTGAGTGTGTCGTTGCTCTGTTATAAAACCAGCACATTTACATTAATGCAATATTCAGCTTTTACTGATAGTGTGCTTTCAAAGAACATGGACAAAGAGGAAATGCATCCCTTTACAAACGAGAGAACAGTGCGTGCTGTAACGCAGGACAAGCAGCTTTAGAGAGATAACTGGAGGATAATGCAACAGTTTGTGTCCAGAAGACACTAGCGTCACGGTTCAGATTAAAGCTGTGGTATAATGCCCTTTTCACAAGATGCAGAACAAGTGTGTGTGTGTGTGTGTGAAGTTTTAGCTCATATTTTTAGATATTTTGTTAAAATCATCTCTTTTTTTATTTCGAGCAATATAGTGACAAAGGCAGTAAAGAAGCATTTGATTCGATCTATACAAAAAGGGAAACTTCTTTTACTTTAACAACATAAATCAATGAATTACTCGAAACGGAGTGGGATTGTGGGAAGTCACAGAAGACTTCTGTTACAGTACGAACACTCCACCGTTTTTTTTTTTTTGTTTTTTTTTTTAATTGGGCTTATTCATTCTCCCCTACATTTATAGGTGGGCAAATGCATTTAGTCTCAGTGCATGCATGGTCTTAGTCTGCAGATTGAGACTAGGTGATTGTTCAGTCATTTCATGGTATTACTGGGAGAGTTATTTGTTGTGTAAGAAAACAAACATATCATACAGTCTTGAACTTTCTGAAAACGAAGAAAATTTGTCTACCTCATTTTACAAAAAGGACAATCCCTTGATGTATTGGGATTGATAGTGCTCACAGAAGCTGCGCGTGTCCCAATCTCTCCACACACTGGATCACTGCGTTCTTTCAAATCAACATATTCGTCCACGACTCTTTTAGCATGTTAAGAAAAAATGTCTGCTTTGAAATACGTTGTTATTCAAATAAAAGTTTCTGAGTCAGCGATATTACATTGTGTGTGTATTTTAATTGTACTTACCCAGCTGTAACTACATGGAACAAGAGTAGCCTATACTATTTCCCCAGTATTTAAACAAATTCAATGGTTTTAGTTTGATTTCCCTTGAAACATGTAAGCCCAAACTTAAACATCTGCACTTTTTGCTATTAAATAAAATAAAATAAAAATCTTAAATGCTCAGATGTGTAATTTTTAAAAGCCTATACAGTGTGTATTGGTACACCATTACAGAAACGCAGTGTGTGTTCTCATTAAATTGCTCTCAAATGTAAGATTGTTGTATCATAATAGTAGAATGAGTTCCCTTTATTTCTATAATACTTAAAGTAAATCATTTGTTAATACAAATGATGCATTTGTATATACAGGGTGTTACCCCTTTATTTCCCATATTGTTCCCTTATACTTACACAAAGTACATGTACACTATAATTACCGAAAGTTGCGCTGTGAATTCGTCTAAATTATACAGTAGTTTGCGGGCTGTAATTTAAAGCGTTACCTAGTACAGATACTGAAAGCATACTTAATTTCAGTACTCAACAGCTGAAGAGGTGACACTGCACTGCGGATGATCTTAGCTTTAGCAGCTTTAGGCTGGACAATAATTCAATATCAATATATAATATGTTTTTCCAATATTGGTGTTATGATTTTCAAACATTCCCTATATTTAATTATACATTGCAGCAGTCAGTGACTGATGTTTAGCGCACAGCTGTCAGAAAGAGCAGAACACAATAGACTCAGGGGAGGAGGCTAAGCTCTAATGCAGCAAGTTTTAGCTACAAAAAATAAGTATCTCTGACTGCAATAGAACTGTGACTGAAAGAGTTTATTGGAATATTCTGAACATCAGAAGATGAAGCCATCAAAGTATGAAACAAACCCAGAGGCGGCTGGCCAACAGAGGGCGCCGTGAGCCAGACCACAGTTTATGAGCCTCATGCAATAAGTAAATGCAGAAATCATGTATACAAATTGTCAATATTTGTGTGTTTGAGACATTAAATGAACCCAGTATACGCTGATTTAAGATATAAATGTTTGACATAAACTGTAGCCAATCAGTGAGCTCAAATCTAGTCAGTTGGACAATTCCTTTAGCTCCCACGCGCGCCACCACTTCCGTCCGGACGAGTCTTAGGGCACCATTATTACTCTATGACAACTCTACTCAACTCTAACTCAGTACAATCTCTCCTCCAATATCCGTTTGAGAGGAGAATTTTGGCTTTTATATTGTTCATATCGATATCGAAAAAAAGAAAACATGTTTTTATCTTTCACTTCCAAAATATTTAAACTGTTTAAAAATAGAACCTATAATATTCAACAGGCAATGCTCGGTCCATTTTATTTCGCTTTGCAAATTCACTCCCACAAATTCCGTGGTTCAAATTCGACAGTAAATTTCAACAGACATTCAGGAACTGAGGGAAAAGCAGTGGATTATCGACCATAATCTCCATCTGCTGTTAGTCGACCTCACCAGCAGGGGGTGCAAGCATGTGTTGTTGATGCCAAACAATCTCTGTTAGTTGAATTACCCCTCCAGAGCCTCCAACCTCAGTCCAAGCCCTTCTTTGTAGGCATATCATGTCCTTCTCTACCCTTAAGGCCATTGCACACTGAGTCCGAAATTCGCATCCGAAATTTTCGCACGTTAAAAAAAAAATCGACCTCACGTTATGTCAATCACGCTTGCACACCGCCTCCGAAACTTTCGTCCGTCATAAAAAAATTCGGATCAAGTTCGATTTTCTGCGTTTTTCACATCCACAGCCAGCATTTTTAGAGTTTTTTTGAAAATTCAGGGCCGGGGGGGGGAGCTTGTTTATTGTCTATGGAGCTCGTTCCGCACATCATTGCACATATGCACAGCGCTTTCAGTTTCGGTTTTCAATTCGATCAAGTATGTTCTCTTCTCTCGATTGGATTATGAAAGGAATAAACCTCCCTTTTCAATCAGATAAATTTCGGATCGAACAAGGTGTGATTGAGCAGCCAATTGGATAATGTATTATTTGGGCACAATATATAACAGCCTATACAGCTGTTCTGTCTGCCCAGTGCTTCCACCGGGCCACGCGCGCCAGTCTCTGTTCAGGATCGATTGGTTCACAGAAATTGGTGGTCTTGTTTTTAAAATGTGGCTCCAGAATCGCAAGCAAAGCATCAAACTGTTCCACTGACATTATGAGGTAAATTTTGAATCGCTTGGGATAAATTCGCAACTCCTTGATAAGGAGGTGCTTCCTCTCGGCGCAATTTCAGGATTGCATGGACGTAATATTTTCTCTTCTCTTTTCAATAAGAGAGAGGACAACAAAATCATCCTCACTGCTTGACGAATCCATTTTGTATTTTTGCGTTTTTTCCCGCAAAGGTTTAATAAATACGCATCGGACTCAGTGTGCAAGGTTTCTGTGCATGATGAATTTTTAGGCTGACGAACACAGAAAAACGCATACGAAAATTACGTACTCAGTGTGCAATGGCCTTTACTGTCTAGGACCCTCAACGTAGTGTTCCAGGGTAGGGCCACACTAGCCTACATGTCGTTCTGCTCCCATAGCATGGCAGTGTTGGATTCCCATAGCATCTAGCAAAGACACAATACGAGTAAACATTTTGAAAGGGAACGCCTCCGTAACCTTGGTTTCCTGAGATAATGGATACGAGTATTGTGTAGATGGCCATACTATATTGCTTCACAACTGCCGTTTGTCGATTCAGTCGAATAATACCTGATTCCTATGCCGAAATTGGCTACTTTATAGGCAGTCACCCTGCCACTTCTCGTGTATTCTGCGCTCACTTGGCGGGATGTGCCAATCAGTTCAAATCCTGCTCTGTTATAGCTGTGTAGTAGTAGCACTTTTGAATTAAAGGCTTCAGAATTGGAAGAAAATGGAGTTTTCCTCATACCGTCTAGCAAAAACACAATACTTGTTTCCAGTGTCTGCTGTTCCAGAGCAGGTTCACGTTCCGTCTGCCCAGTCAGAGACTGTTCACGTCCCGTCTGCCCAGTCAGAGACTGTTCAAGTCCCGTCTGCCCAGTCAGAGACTGTTCACGTTCCATCTGCCCAGTCAGAGACTGTTCATGTCCCGTCTGCCCAGTCAGAGATTGTTCACGTTCCGTCTGCCCAGTCAGAGATTGTTCACGTTCCGTCTGCCCAGTCAGAGATTGTTCACGTTCCGTCTGCCCAGTCAGAGATTGTTCACGTTCCGTCTGCCCAGTCAGAGACTGTTCACGTTCCATCTGCCCAGTCAGAGACTGTTCACGTTCCATCTGCCCAGTCAGAGACTGTTCACGTTCCATCTGCCCAGTCAGAGACTGTTCATGTCCCGTCTGCCCAGTCAGAGATTGTTCACGTTCCGTCTGCCCAGTCAGAGATTGTTCACGTTCCGTCTGCCCAGTCAGAGATTGTTCACGTTCCGTCTGCCCAGTCAGAGATTGTTCACGTTCCGTCTGCCCAGTCAGAGACTGTTCACGTCCCATCTGCCCAGTCAGAGATTGTTCACGTTCCGTCTGCCCAGTCAGAGACTGTTCACGTTCCGTCTGCCCAGTCAGAGACTGTTCACGTCCCATCTGCCCAGTCAGAGATTGTTCACGTTCCGTCTGCCCAGTCAGAGACTGTTCATGTCCCGTCTGCCCAGTCAGAGATTGTTCACGTTCCGTCTGCCCAGTCAGAGACTGTTCACGTTCCGTCTGCCCAGTCAGAGACTGTTCACGTCCCATCTGCCCAGTCAGAGATTGTTCACGTTCCGTCTGCCCAGTCAGAGACTGTTCACGTCCCGTCTGCCCAGTCAGAGACTGTTCACGTTCCATCTGCCCAGTCAGAGATTGTTCACGTCCCGTCTGCCCAGTCAGAGATTGTTCACGTTCCATCTGCCCAGTCAGAGATTGTTCACGTTCCATCTGCCCAGTCAGAGACTGTTCACGTTCCATCTGCCCAGTCAGAGACTGTTCACGTTCCATCTGCCCAGTCAGAGACTGTTCATGTCCCGTCTGCCCAGTCAGAGATTGTTCACGTTCCGTCTGCCCAGTCAGAGACTGTTCACGTTCCGTCTGCCCAGTCAGAGACTGTTCACGTTCCATCTGCCCAGTCAGAGACTGTTCACGTTCCATCTGCCCAGTCAGAGACTGTTCATGTCCCGTCTGCCCAGTCAGAGATTGTTCACGTTCCGTCTGCCCAGTCAGAGACTGTTCACGTTCCGTCTGCCCAGTCAGAGACTGTTCACGTCCCATCTGCCCAGTCAGAGACTGTTCACGTTCCATCTGCCCAGTCAGAGACTGTTCACGTCCCGTCTGCCCAGTCAGAGACTGTTCACGTTCCATCTGCCCAGTCAGAGACTGTTCACGTCCCGTCTGCCCAGTCAGAGATTGTTCACGTTCCGTCTGCCCAGTCAGAGACTGTTCACGTTCCATCTGCCCAGTCAGAGACTGTTCATGTCCCGTCTGCCCAGTCAGAGATTGTTCACGTTCCGTCTGCCCAGTCAGAGGCTGTTCACGGTCAGAGACTGTTCATGTTCTGTCTGCCCAGTCAGGGATTGTTCACGTTCCATCTACTTTCATGGACCTGGAGCGTCTGGCTCGGATCCTGGAAATCCCATGTATGCTGTTCCAGGGCCAGAGGCAGAGCCAGTGCCTGTTCCAGAGCTGGAGCCAATGTTTGTTCCTGTGTTTGTGTCTGTTCTTGTGGCTGTTACAGTTCTTGTGTCTGTTCCTGAGCTGGTGTCTGTCTGTGCTTAAGCCCAGTGAAACACAACACAACAGGAGCTATCACAGTTAACGCTTGTTTTTCATTAAAATCCGTTTAATACACTGAATTTATCAGCAAAGGATGTGTGTGTTGTGTTGATTTGCTTTTATCTGTTAGATTGTTCAAAATAATAATAATAATAATAATAAACTTTATTTTATATAGTGCCTTTAAAAGTAGTATCTCAAAGCACTTTACATAAAAAATAATGGAATTAGACAGACACAACAGTCTAGGCAATAAGAACTAAACAAGCAATAAAATAAAACTCTAAGTGATTCTGCATTTCTAATCTCAGAGGGCAGGGAATTCCACAATTTTGGAGCTAAAGAAGAAAAAGCCCGATCACCCATAGTTTTTAGCCGTGTTGTTTGGACGGTTAAAAGACCAGCTTCAGAAGATCGCAAAGCACGTGTAGGAGAGTAGGGGGTTAAGAGCTCACGCAAATATTGAGGGGCCAAGTTATTCAGGGCCTTATAAGTGAGCATGAGAATTTTAAAATCAATACGAAAACTGACTGGAAGCCAGTGCAATTTTTCCAGGATTGGTGTAATGTGTTCCCTTGCACTGGTCCCAGTCAGAATTCTAGCAGCCGAATTTTGAACCAACTGTAATTTACTTAGGGTAGCTTTAGAAACCCCAGCCAGCAAAGCATTACAATAATCAATTCTTGAAAAAACAAAAGTATTGATTAACTTTTCAGCCACAGAGAATGTCAACAAAGAACGTAATTTGGCAATGTTTCTGAGATGAAAAAATGATGTTTTGACTGTGTTACGAACATGATGGTCAAATGTTAAATTGGCGTCAAATATCACCCCCAGATTTTTTAGTTTAGTTTGTAATTTCAAAGCTGAGCCATCCATACTTAAAGTTATGGACTCTGCTTTACGCAACTGATGAGGTGAACCAATAAGCATCACTTCAGTCTTATCACTGTTCAGACAGAGAAAGTTTTCAGACATCCATTTCCTAATCTCAGTAAAACACTGAGAAATATAAGACACAGGCATATTGAAATCAGGTTTTGAATGTAAATAGATCTGAGTGTCATCGGCATAAAAGTGAAAATTAAGACCAAGTGTTCTTAAAAGTTGCCCAAATGGAAAAATGTAAATACTAAAAAGTAACGGGCCCAAAACTGATCCCTGGGGAACACCAGAGCGCACCACACCGACCTCAGACTTGTAATCACCCATCACAACAAACTGCTTGCGATCAGAGAGATAGGACTTAAACCAATTTAATGCAGAATCAGAAACTCCAAAAATGGTCTCTAAGCGATTGATTAAAATCGAATGATCTATAGTGTCAAAAGCGGCACTAAGATCAAGAAGAATCAGTATAGATAGACGGCCAGAATCAGATGCCATTAACAAATCATTAGTCACTTTGACCAGTGCTGTCTCAGTGCTGTGCAGTTTCCGAAATCCAGACTGAAGTGGCTCAAAAAGATCATTAGCAGAAAGATGAGACAGTAGTTGAGAAGCCACTGTTTGTTCTAAAATTTTGGCGAGGAATGGAAGATTAGAGATGGGTCGAAAATTATTCAGATTATCAAAGTCCGTGTTGTTAGTTTTTGGTACAGGGGTGACAGCAGCAGTTTTAAGTGCAGCTGGCACAACACCAGTGCACAGGGAGTTATTGATAATTCTCAAAACAAAGGGAGAGAGGGAATCAAAACATGATTTAAAAAGGCAAGATGGTATAGGATCAACTCTAGAAGTTGAGGCTTTCAGTTTTGAAACCGTATTACACAGAGACTGGGAATCATGAATTGCAAAATTAGAGAGCGAGACACCAGAAAATGCAAATGTATCTGAAGAGGAGGCAGCAATGGTATGAGTGGCAACAATGTGGTTTCGAATATTGTCAATTTTGGTGCTAAATATTTGATTCCCAATGAAATAAACTTGTAATGTGGGATCAATTCAAGTATATAAAGTGTGTGTGTGTTGTGGTGAGGTGGAATGTGTGCTCAGCCATTGTATTTCCTGTAGGTAATAGAGATCTCAGAGGTTCTGAAGGTCTTCCAGAAATCTCTGCATGTCTTCAACTGGACTGAACTTCCATAATATTGTATAATATTTCAAACATGCGTAGCTGAGACCAGTTGTCAACACATTCAACTCCGTAGACCAATATTTAATGGCCCTCGTTCCAGCAAAGATGGCGTGCGTGTCATGATGTCCCAGGCCGAGGCGTGTGAGATCCCTGTACTGTCACCCGCCTCACTCTGTTGAATAGAAGGAAACGCCGGTCATGACTTTTCCTTCCCCTGAATGAGTTTCCTCCGGAGCGCTCGAACCCTCAGTTGGTCAGAGAGACTCTCAGCCAGGAACATGGGGACGCTCTTTCTCCTCTTATTCACACTGGAGCGTTTTTCTGCTTTGAGTGAGTATTAATATATCAATCTGTACTCTTCTGGCTCGTTGAATTGTTGGTTTTAGGGAAACCTGCTTCGAACTGTTGAAACTGTAGCAGGTTGGCTGAACTGATCATTACATTAAAAGTATATACGTTCATAACTACTAATTATGTCATTACATTCATTATCCTTATAATGGACATTATAGTTGTTAGCAATTTTATTATTTTTTAAATTGTCAGAATCAGTGTTCATAAGATACTGAGTAGTTTAATTAACTTGTATAATGTTTTTATTAATGGTGCTGCTATTATATCAACATATGATACTGTAGACACCAATATATGATGAATTGTTACTTTAAACTTTAATCTTGCAAATCTCAACACAATAAATCTCTCAGTTTTCAAAATAAACCTTCAGCTGTTCATAATCAGAGAATTCAGCTTAACAATAACTGATCTTAAAATTATCTATCAGAATAATAAATTTCTCATTAACCTTCGTCTATCAGTGATTGTAAAGCAGGATTATCTGTTGTGAAGCGTTAACACTAGTCGTGATTTCTCTGATGTGAAGCGCTAACACTAGTCGTGATTTCTCTGATGTGAAGAGCTAACACTTGTCGTGATTTCTCTGTTGTGATACGCTAACACTAGTCGTGATTTCTCTGATGGGAAGAGCTAACACTTGTCGTGATTTCTCTGTTGTGATACGCTAACACTAGTCGTGATTTCTCTGATGTGAAGCGCTAACACTAGTCGTGATTTCTCTGATGTGAAGAGCTAACACTAGTCGTGATTTCTCTGTTGTGAAGCGCTAACACTAGTCGTGATTTCTCTGTTGTGAAGCGCTAACACTAGTCGTGATTTCTCTGATGTAAAGAGCTAACACTAGTCGTGATTTCTCTGATGTGAAGCGCTAACACTAGTCGTGATTTCTCTGATGGGAAGCACTAACACTAGTCCTGATTTCTCTGTTTCGAAGCGCTAACACTAGTCGTGATTTCTCTGAAGTGAAGCGCTAACACTAGTCGTGATTTCTCTGATGTGAAGCGCTAACACTAGTCGTGATTTCTCTGAAGTGAAGCGCTAACACTAGTCGTGATTTCTCTGTTGTGAAGCGCTAACACTAGTCGTGATTTCTCTGATGTGAAGAGCTAACACTTGTCGTGATTTCTCTGTTGTGATACGCTAACACTAGTCGTGATTTCTCTGATGTGAAGCGCTAACACTAGTCGTGATTTCTCTGATGTGAAGAGCTAACACTAGTCGTGATTTCTCTGTTGTGAAGCGCTAACACTAGTCGTGATTTCTCTGTTGTGAAGCGCTAACACTAGTCGTGATTTCTCTGATGTAAAGAGCTAACACTAGTCGTGATTTCTCTGATGTGAAGCGCTAACACTAGTCGTGATTTCTCTGATGGGAAGCACTAACACTAGTCCTGATTTCTCTGTTTCGAAGCGCTAACACTAGTCGTGATTTCTCTGAAGTGAAGCGCTAACACTAGTCGTGATTTCTCTGATGGGAAGCGCTAACACTAGTCCTGATTTCTCTGTTTCGAAGCGCTAACACTAGTCGTGATTTCTCTGAAGTGAAGCGCTAACACTAGTCGTGATTTCTCTGATGTGAAGCGCTAACACTAGTCGTGATTTCTCTGTTTCGAAGCGCTAACACTAGTCCTGATTTCTCTGAAGTGAAGCGCTAACACTAGTCGTGATTTCTCTGATGGGAAGAGCTAACACTTGTCGTGATTTCTCTGTTGTGATACGCTAACACTAGTCGTGATTTCTCTGATGTGAAGCGCTAACACTAGTCGTGATTTCTCTGATGTGAAGAGCTAACACTAGTCGTGATTTCTCTGTTGTGAAGCGCTAACACTAGTCGTGATTTCTCTGTTGTGAAGCGCTAACACTAGTCGTGATTTCTCTGATGTAAAGAGCTAACACTAGTCGTGATTTCTCTGATGTGAAGCGCTAACACTAGTCGTGATTTCTCTGATGGGAAGCACTAACACTAGTCCTGATTTCTCTGTTTCGAAGCGCTAACACTAGTCGTGATTTCTCTGAAGTGAAGCGCTAACACTAGTCGTGATTTCTCTGATGGGAAGCGCTAACACTAGTCCTGATTTCTCTGTTTCGAAGCGCTAACACTAGTCGTGATTTCTCTGAAGTGAAGCGCTAACACTAGTCGTGATTTCTCTGATGTGAAGCGCTAACACTAGTCGTGATTTCTCTGAAGTGAAGCGCTAACACTAGTCGTGATTTCTCTGTTGTGAAGCGCTAACACTAGTCGTGATTTCTCTGATGTGAAGAGCTAACACTTGTCGTGATTTCTCTGTTGTGATACGCTAACACTAGTCGTGATTTCTCTGATGTGAAGCGCTAACACTAGTCGTGATTTCTCTGATGTGAAGAGCTAACACTAGTCGTGATTTCTCTGTTGTGAAGCGCTAACACTAGTCGTGATTTCTCTGTTGTGAAGCGCTAACACTAGTCGTGATTTCTCTGATGTAAAGAGCTAACACTAGTCGTGATTTCTCTGATGTGAAGCGCTAACACTAGTCGTGATTTCTCTGATGGGAAGCACTAACACTAGTCCTGATTTCTCTGTTTCGAAGCGCTAACACTAGTCGTGATTTCTCTGAAGTGAAGCGCTAACACTAGTCGTGATTTCTCTGATGGGAAGCGCTAACACTAGTCCTGATTTCTCTGTTTCGAAGCGCTAACACTAGTCGTGATTTCTCTGAAGTGAAGCGCTAACACTAGTCGTGATTTCTCTGATGTGAAGCGCTAACACTAGTCGTGATTTCTCTGAAGTGAAGCGCTAACACTAGTCGTGATTTCTCTGTTGTGAAGCGCTAACACTAGTCGTGATTTCTCTGATGTGAAGAGCTAACACTTGTCGTGATTTCTCTGTTGTGATACGCTAACACTAGTCGTGATTTCTCTGATGTGAAGCGCTAACACTAGTCGTGATTTCTCTGATGTGAAGCGCTAACACTAGTCGTGATTTCTCTGTTGTGAAGCGCTAACACTAGTCGTGATTTCTCTGTTGTGAAGCGCTAACACTAGTCGTGATTTCTCTGATGTAAAGAGCTAACACTAGTCGTGATTTCTCTGATGTGAAGCGCTAACACTAGTCGTGATTTCTCTGATGGGAAGCACTAACACTAGTCCTGATTTCTCTGTTTCGAAGCGCTAACACTAGTCGTGATTTCTCTGAAGTGAAGCGCTAACACTAGTCGTGATTTCTCTGATGGGAAGCGCTAACACTAGTCCTGATTTCTCTGTTTCGAAGCGCTAACACTAGTCGTGATTTCTCTGAAGTGAAGCGCTAACACTAGTCGTGATTTCTCTGATGTGAAGCGCTAACACTAGTCGTGATTTCTCTGTTTCGAAGCGCTAACACTAGTCCTGATTTCTCTGAAGTGAAGCGCTAACACTAGTCCTTAATTCTTCTGTTGTGAAGCGCTAACACTAGTCCTGATTTCTCTGTTTCGAAGCGCTAACACTAGTCCTGATTTCTCTGAAGTGAAGCGCTAACACTAGTCCTGATTTCTCTGTTGTGAAGCGCTAACACTAGTCCTGATTTCTCTGTTTCGAAGCGCTAACACTAGTCCTGATTTCTCTGTTTCGAAGCGCTAACACTAGTCCTGATTTTTCTGAAGTGAAGCGCTAACACGTGAATTACTTTCTAAATGAGCAAGGGGATGGGAAACTGATGCTGTGTCATCCTCGAGACACAGAACATCTAAAAGTAGCGCAGTGAAATGGAAAACTCCTTCTGAATGCTTCTAAATAGGCTGAACATCTATAAACACACACAATAGAGAGATCCTATTGGCTGATGTTCGTGAAATTATTGTGATGAAATCAATAAGACTTTCTCACCTCAGACTTTCTTTACCAAGTTGGACATTTACATAAGTCCATAAGAAATCACCACTTTAGATTATTACAGTCTTAACCAGGATTGAGATAATATTTGAAGATATTAGTAACGCTTTTCAATACGAGTGTACTAATATGTATTAATTCATGCTAGGTGATTTCAGAGATGCTTGAATTGGAAAGCTAGCTTTGAAAGCATAAGATTTAATACAAGATTTCCATTACACGAGAGTAATGTTAACTTCATGCTGATTTGTATTTGGCTTTCGCCAAGATAAGCACAAACTAAGACATATTTACAGTAAACTATGCTTCTCCATCCATTTACGCTTCCATTTAATCCCCTTCTGTCCGGCGTTAACGGCTGCAGTGTACTTGGCGCGTCAGCACACACGACGGCTGCAACTACAGTGTGGTCTCCCTAGTGGACCAGCACCACAACCATCTGGATTGAGCCGAGTAGGGGACATCTCTAGGGTCTTCAAGTGGGCACCTTCCGTCCTCAGTGTTTCGTCGACTAGCCCACGACACCTCAAGAAGGCTCGACAGTGACTCTGACGTCCCAGAGTCACCACCCTCCGTCCCCCACTCAATTCAGCCCAGCTTACTGACCTCTACATCCCTCCTGCTGCTGAGGTTGCTCCTTCCTCGTAGTTCACATGTGACCTAACCACAATCTCTCCGCAACTCAACCAAACGCGCCAACCTGGCGAGCCCCACTGTCTTCGTTATAGTAGGTTCAGTGGCAACGGTTTCGTATGGCATCCCACCTACTACAAAACACAATATCTGCCCAAACACCACCCCTCATTTACGCAAGATTCACAGGAAAGTAATAACTGTAATTACTATGCAAACTACAAATAAACCAACAGATTCTTCGAGTTTACCAGGAATTCCTTGAAACCATAGCGTGGCGGCCTGTACACAGCCAGCTAGAATCTTTCCGATATCGGAGGATAGTGGTGGCACTTTCAGGTGGAAAAATAAGCCGTTGATCAAGATCAGCCAGCATCTTCCAGTCCCTAGCAGCTTCCAGTTGTCCTGGGCGAGAATTGTTTTTAACACCTTTTCTTGGTGGTTGCTCGCCTGGGCGGAGGAACATTGTCTTCTGCGTGTAATGTGTTGCAGGTGGGAACTTATTGGTCAAGTTACGCTTGCCTTCCAATGCTAAAGCCAAACATCGCAGTACTTGGTCATGGCGCCAAGTAAACCGACCTCGGCTAAGAGCCACCTTACATCCTGTCAGAATGTGCCTTAATGTGGCAGGTGATGAACACAAAGGACAAGAGGGATCCTCTCCTACCCAGAGGTTTAGGTTCTGCGGTGATGGGAGAACTTCATATTTTGGCCTGATAAGGAAACTGATCCTACTCTCTTCCATTGACCAAAGGTCTTGCCAGCCCATCTTGTGTTGTTCCACACTTTCCCAACTCATCCACTCTCCCTGCTTGGCCTGGGAAATGGCCTTTATACACCCCATCCTCTCCTCCTGCTTTCGCACCTTGTTGACTACCAGTTTCCTCCTTTGAGCTGGGCCTGCCTTGTGCCATTTAGGAGGAGCTAAACTAAGCCCAAACCCCCTCTTCCATGCTATACCTATCCCACGATATCCCCAATTTGAAGGGCAGCCTTTGCCTCTACTCCAGATTTCTTTGCTGACCATTTTCTACCACTTTTTAACACAGGGGCTGCCTCCCTTAAACATTTGTCACGTGACTCTACTAAGGTCATTTCCAGTCTGACCTTGGCGCACTTAAACTCCTCAGTTAAAGCAGAGACTGGGAGCTGCAATATTCTTTTACTATAAAGTCCCACTCTGCTGAGGCAGCGTGGAACTCTGAACCATTTCCTGATGTATGAACTTACAACGCTTCCAGCTCATCCACTGTTGTCAAAGAAACCTCGAACACAGTCAGTGGCCACAGCAACCTCGGCAGTAGACCAAACTGAGAGCACCAGAGTGTAATAAAAAGAAGTGTAATAATGGGAGAAATAATTGGCAACATTTTCATAATAATATCTAGTATTTCATAGGATTATTGATGTTTAATTTCTTTCACTGTTCACTTTTTGTGTCTCCCATAACTTCTAATAAACATGCCTTAAGTCCTAGTGTCTCTACAGTGGACACGTGTGACATCAATGCTCTTTTTTGTAACATAAATTCATATTTTGATTAGAAATATCTAAATAATTTATTATCATATTTCCATAAGAGTGCTGCATTTGAGCACTGAAATAATGTCAGTCTTTTTTAAGACCATGGTGATACCTCAAACATCTGATATCTCTGAAAGCCCTGAAGTCTTTACAGGACGCCCAGAAATGAAGTGTACGGAGTCAGAGTCATTCACTGAAATATAATGTCCACTACAGGGGACATAAGCCTGGGTCCTAGGCACAGTATATATACTGATACACTACTGGTCCAAAGATTTAAATATGTAAGATACATATACATCCTAATGTCCATACTATACTTCCTAATGTCCATACTATACATCCTAATGTCCATACTATACTTCCTAATGTCCATACTATACATCCTAATGTCCATACTATACTTCCTAATGTCCATACTATACATACTAATGTCCATACTATACATCCAGATGTCCATAATATACTTCTTAATGTCCATACTATACATCCTACTGTCCATACTATATATGCTAATGTCCATACTATACATCCTTATGTCCATACTATACTTCCTAATGTCCATTCTGTACATACTAATGTCCATTCTATACACCCTAATGTCCATACTATACACCCTAATGTCCATACTATTCATTCTAATGTCGAAACTATTCATCCTAATGTCCATAATATACATCCTAATGTCCAAACTATATATGCTAATGTCCATACTATACACCCTAATGTCCATACTATCCTAAGGTCCATACTACACATGTTATTATGAGATTAAAATAAATGTGTCCCAAAGCTTGCTGAAAAGAGTATGGTGTAACATTTCCGATGGATTTTTGAAGTGTGGATCCGTGCTCACTGTAACAGCTAATATTATCCACAACCCATTGCACTTTGGAGGAGGAAACACAAACACAAATGAAAAGTGTTAAAAAACTACAAGTTTAATCTGATACAAAAAATATTTATTTAATGCTGTCCATGTTAAATTTCATCTGCAATACTGCAGACTTTTATAAAGATCCTTTTGGGCATTAACTTTTATATGCATTATTTAATGAGGAGAGTCTCTGCATGAAAGACCCGCGACTGCAAATCGGCTTCTGCATTTCTCTCAGATACAGGAGGGAATGAAAATAAAAGAAATGTGGGGAATGTTCACTGTGACTAGATGATTGTTTACTGTGACAGGATGCGACAGAGAGCTACTGTTAAAGACACAATTGTATGACGTGATAATGTGTTCCAAAGCTTGTGTCTACTTTTTCTTCACCAAAAGAGAACATCATTTTTGGGCGTTTTATACATAGGCGAATTGAGACGCAGCACCGGTTTGAAATCGCTGGTGTTTCTGACGTCACAAACTACCTTGTAACGAATCAGATCAATGTGTGATCGTCAACCAATGGATCTCTGAGCTGAGTGAGTGAGCAGAGGCAGGGCTCATTTGCATATTCATAAAACCGCAAATACTAAATGAGGCAAGGGTGTTGGGTTATATTAAAGCTATTTTAAAACATGAAGTTTTTTTTTCAAGGAAAAAACATTAAAATACATAATTTTGGTGATCAAACATTTTGACGACAGGCAAACTTTAAGCATGAATTAATGCATATTAGCGCACCCATATTGCAAATTGTTAGCGAGCTACTCAGATGATCAATCGTTTTCTCTCCTGACAGGTGGCTTTCTGATCGCACACACTACTAAAGGCTTGTGTCTGAGCGCGCATGTGAGTGTGGTGGTGCTGAGGATGTGTGATGAGAGCGACCCGTCTCAGCAGTGGATCTGGACCGGCGACAGGAGACTCAACCACACGCTGCTGTCCCGGTGCCTGTGGGCCAATCAGAGCGCCGCCGTCCCGCACCACGCTCGTCTGGTCAAGCTCAGCGTCTGCCACACCGCACCCGCGTGGATGTGCTACGACAGCCCAGGGGTCTTCGGACTGGCAGAGACGCCGCTGTTCCTGAAGAAGCAGGGTGTGCGGGTGGTGGTGCGCTCCAAGCAGAGCTACTCCAACTGGTCTATGATGACGGTGGACTCTGAGGGCCGACGGGTGACCGCGTCTCTCTGCGCCCACACAGGTCAGCTGACTCTCCTGCCATCACAACTTCACTTATGTCTTTGGAAGCTTGTACCACATAATTAAAAAAGTAATTGCTATTTCCTCACATTTCTGACTTTATCTTGCCTTTCTGAGTTCATCTAAACTCGCAATTGCGAGAAATAAAGTCAGAATTGTGAGAAATAAACGTGCAATTCTGAGAGAATTTTTTTTTATTCTGTGGCTGAAACGTGCCTTTAGAAGTAACATTTAGGCTGATTTGACTTAATAGCCGCTTTCCGACCAAGTAGTTACAGGAACTTAGTTATAGGAACTGTCCACTTCTAAACAGTTCTAAGAACTACTCTCCCCCAAACTCGGTTTTGCTGCTTGCGTTCGCACTGGCCAAGTGGTCATAGGAACTGGTAGGAGGGGTTAGGGAGTGACGCAAGCACGGCGACGGTCTTTATAGCGTCATCACTAGACGTAGCGCGACCACATACAACAACAACAAACCAGCATGGAGGAGGCCTTAATAACGGAGTACGAACGGCGGCGTTTGCTAAAACACACTGCGTATGGCAGACAGCGCGCTAGAAGTTCCGTGTTGACAGTGGGCGTGACTTATAAGTTGAACCAATCAACGTAGACCTAGGGAAAGGGAACTAAAAAAGTCCTTGCTCTTGACTAGGTAGTGAAAGAGTTATAGGAACTACGGTCTGAGGAACTAAAAAATCCCCAATTTAGTCCGGTCGGAACACGAGAAAAAAAGGGTTATAGGAACGTTAGGTTCTAGGAACTGCAAAAATCCCTCCCGTCGGATAGCGGCTAATGTGTGTATTTTTTGCTGTCCATATTGTTAAATGCACATTCAGGTTTTAACTCTAGTCATTGGAAACGAACCTCTACCTAAATTTTCGATAAATCTCCACAAATATATACCTATACAAATCACTGCCGTTTTCAGCTGATATGACTTTTATTCCTTTTCACACAATTAATAAAGACTCTGGCATTTTCTTGCACAACTATGTAATGACATGTATGAGATTTTGAGGTTTACATCTCCTAAGTGTGTATTCCTGCTGTAGTAAACCACTTGTGATGTAAAGTGCTCGAGTTTGAGTCTCTTAAACGCCAGAAAAGATCTTAAAGACTAACCGAAACGGATCAAGTGGCAAGGTTACTTTAGCATAGCATGTGTATTATATCTAACATTTGCACTATCGGTTAGGTTTAGTGTAGGTTGGTATGTTATTTTCAAAAGCTATGGAGCATTACATTTTTAGTACGTCACGTTACATACAACATCCCAGGTGATAAAACGTTGCTTAAACATGCTTTAAGCAACACTCACTGGATATTTCAATGTGCAAGAAATGTCATTCCCTTTTAAGGGAACTCGCATTGTGTCGATTGACGCCCTGGAGACGCTTTGCATGATGACGTCTTGAAGCATAAGTGAAACCAGTCCACTGGTGTGGCGATACATCAGAGGCTGGTAATGTCACAAACAAGGAAACTGTAAAGCCTGCCCAAAACACAGCAGCACTAGCTTCTGTATCTGTCTATTTGGTGTTGTACTGTCTCATATATATCAGAAACAATGGCGAACAGCAGTTTATAGTGTGTGTGTGGACCCCTGCTCTCGTTATCTAGCGGGTAGGGACACACACAACCTTTGTGTTGCTTGTTTGGATAAGAAGCATGCACAGTCGGCGCTCGAGGGCTGTTATGTGCTTCCTATGCGGACGCTCCGTTCACGCCTAGCATTCTTTTGCGAGGACGCTCAGGCTCGCGGTCCCCAGGGCACAAGTCCAGCTGCTGCCAAGGCACAGTGGCGACTTCAGACTTGGGCTTTGCAAATGGCTCTATATAGACGGGGCCCAGCCTTATCTCTACCCTCACCTGATAGATCCAGTGCCTTTTCCAGGGTTTGGAAGCACGCGCTGGGGTTCCCTCCGCCCTGGTTGAGGCACAGACACTGTAACTATCTAGTTCTGAGGAATTAGATGTTGTTAGTGTTGAAGCACGATGCTTATGAGGGGCTTATTGAGGTTGTAACTAGAGATGTGGCCAGATTAAGCATTGAATGGCCAGCTGCTGATAAGCAGGAGATTCGTGCAAAACCTCAACACCGGGGCCTTCCATTTTTAAAGGGTTATTAGTTCACCCAAAAATTAAAATGATATCGTTAATAACTCACCCTCATGTCGTATCAAGCCCTTCAGACCTCTGATCATCTTCAGGACACAGTTTAAGATATATTAGATTTAGTTCGAGAGCTTTCTGTCCCTCTGTTGAACATGTAAGTATGGTACAGTATACTGTCCTTGAAAAAGACAAAAACCTCCTTATGGACGTACCCCTGTCACAAACAGGTGGCTGCTTTCCACAAAATCCTCCCCCATCGCTCTCATATCTCCATGAGAGAAATAATAAAAAAAAAACATTTAAAGCCAGCTCCTTACACCTTGCCACTGAAAAACAGCGTGTTGCTTTCCTTGCTCCCCCTCAAAACAATTGGGGACAGGGAAAGCACTCTCAACCACAACCTTTCAAAGGGTAAGACAGATCTGAGGACGGTCATTATATCTGACAGTCTAAGACTGCGGGGAAAATGTCCTGACACCCGAGGGGTCAGGCCAATGAGAGCAGTCCCCCCCGATATAGAGCGGTTAACACCTCATTACACGGTGCCTGATGTCCTTTGGTCGCCTCCACTTTGAGTATTTCGAGGGTGCAGCGGTCTCCGGTGAGCACATTTCTCAGAATCCACCTGGAAATGTAGTGGTCCTGGTATTCCTGCCCCCTCCTAGAGAAGGTTCCTAGAGCAGTTTGGTCGATCCCTGACGGTTTGCCATTACAGGGTGTCTGTAAACATGGTTCCTTGAAGAGAGAAGAGGACGCAAAAATATCTTGCCATATCTCCATTGGCCTGTCAGTGACTTACTTCAGACTTTTACGAAGCTAGTGCTGCTTTGTTTTGGGCATGCTTTATAGTTTTCTGTTTTGTGACGTGACCCGCCACTGCCACACTTCATATTCATATGTGCTTCAAGGCGTCATTACGCAAAGCATTACCACAGCATCAGTCGACGCAGCGTCTGGTTACCTCTTCAGGGAACTGAGGTTTTAGTCGCAACCGATTTGTTTTTTGTTTTTTCCATTATTTGGACTTGCTGGATTTTATGGATCCTTGTTTCCCTCACAGAATAAAACATTTTAAAAGATAATTGTGACTTTTTATCTTACAATTATGAGAATTGCGAGAAACAAAAGTCAGAATTGTGAGATATAAAGTTGCAATTACGTTTTTTATTCCTTTATATCTTTAATTAAACTTCCATAGTTTTGCACCATTATAGACAACTTAAGAAAAAAGACCTCTACAAATGTACAACTGTGAATAAAGGAATTACCATTTGGTGCCCATCAACTTCATTATGGTTTATGTTTGAAAAATACATGCTGCATAATGCTAACATCAATCTCTTTCCATCAGGCCCATCCACAGTGTCAACAGTGATATCCACAGGAGAAATCACCACTCGGACAGTCCCTCTCATGACCCAGCACACTGTCAGAAGCAGAATGAAACGGACCACCACAACTGGTCTAGGTGATCTGACGGCATTCACAGCCGAAACAGACCTGAAGGAGAACTTCACTCAAATGCTGGAGACAGAATCACCCTATGAGGACACTGATGTGTCCTCCACTGCTCTGATGGAGACCAGAACCCTTCATGTACCTCAGAACTTTACCCAGAACAGGCTCTACGTGAGCTCAGATATTTCGAAGCAGACCCATAACCCTCCGTTTTCTCAGAAGGGGTTGACACTCTCCACAACGGATGCTGAGCCTTTAGTTTCCTCCGATGCAAGCGCTGAAGCTCAGACCCCTCTAGATTCTCACACAGGACCGTCGGAAGGTAACAGCATCCGCACTGAAGCAGATCGTGCATCGACTGAGAGCTTACCAGTGTCAAACACAGATGGCGCATGGACAAATGCCACAACCAGACACTCAAAGATCACCAAAGACGTTCAGACCATGTTGCCACTCAAAACCAGAACGACTCGAGCAATTACTGAAGTTCTTACCAGTACAGATACTAGATCTGCTCCAGACATTAGTTCTGCCAGAGCTAGAGCAAGTGCCACGACCTCTCTGACGGCCCCGCACACATCTACACCTGCCCTGGACACAGACACATTGATATCAGCGACTGCAACCACTGCTACAGCTGTAGAAATGAGCAGATCTCCCATGGTACTCATCAGCACTGGTGCACCCAGCACTAAAGAATTATCTCCTCCAGTGTCTACAGTCACTCATTCAGTGTCTACAGTCACTCATACAGCGTCTACAGTCACTCCTACAGCGTCTACAGTCACTCCTACAGCGTCTACAGTCACTCCTACAGCTTCTAGACTCCCTCCTATAACGTCTACAGTCCCTCCTACAACATCTACATTCACTCCTCCAGCGTCTACAGTCACTCCTACAGCGTCTACAGTCACTCCTACAGCGTCTACAGTCACTCCTATGGCGTCTACAGTCACTCCTCCAGTGTCTACAGTCACTCCTACAGCGTCTACAGTCACTCCTATGGCGTCTACAGTCACTCCTCCGGTGTCTACAGTCACTCATATGGCGTCTACAGTCACTCCTCCGGTGTCCACAGTCACTTCTACGGTGTCTACAGTCACTCCTCCGGTGTCCACAGTCACTTCTACGGCGTCTACAGTCACTCCTCCGGTGTCCACAGTCACTTCTACGGTGTCTATAGTCACTCCTCCAGTGTCCACAGTCACTTCTACGGTGTCTACAGTCACTCCTCCGGTGTCCACAGTCACTTCTACGGTGTCTACAGTCACTCCTCCGGTGTCCACAGTCACTTCTACGGCGTCTACAGTCACTCCTCCGGTGTCCACAGTCACTTCTACGGTGTCTACAGTCACTCCTCCGGTGTCCACAGTCACTTCTACGGCGTCTACAGTCACTCCTCCGGTGTCTACAGTCACTCCTCCGGTGTCTACAGTCACTCCTACGGCGTCTACAGTCACTCCTACAGCAGCCACTACATCAACGGTGAGCACTGATCCTCACTCATCTGCCTATAGTCCTGTTTGTCTTTGCAAACAGTAATGACGTTTGTGTGGCAGATAATAACAGTTCTGCAGTAGCAGTCTGTGGAAGCCAAGGAATAAAATTATTGGTAACACTTTATTTTGATGGTCCCTTTTGAATGTGCTGTCGACTATAAGTAACTTTGCAACTGTATGTCAACTAGCTCTCATCAGAGTAAAAAAAGGATTGTCTGCTTAATATCTGCAAACACTTTATTGTGATGGTCCTCCAACAGACACTCTACTGACTATTAGTAATTTTGCAACTACATGTCAACTTAATCTAACCCTATACCTACCAGTCTATTAATACTCAACTAACACTCTAATGAGGGTTAGTAGACATGTAGGTGCAACATTACTTACAATCAACAGAAAATATTAAAGGGACCATCAAAATAAATTGAAACCAAAGTGAACAAAACTTAATTTTGAGTTTATATCTCACAATTTTGACTTTATTTTCTTGCAAATTAGAGTTTATATCTCACAATTCTTAAGAAAAGAAAAAAAAGTCAGTCAATTCCAAGTTCCTCACCGTTGGGTTCCACGCTAGGTGTGTCTTGCTGTCGCAGAATGCTAACAACAGACGCCTCCCTGTCGGGCCTTCAGCTCGATTGGTTGATGGCTGTATTTCTAGCCCTGAAATACTTCCTCCAGCAGCTGAGAGGCTGCCATGTCCTAGTGCGGGTGGACAACAAGTAGCAGTCTCTTACATAAATCACTAGGGTGGTCTGCGCTCGCACCACCTCAGCGGGTAGAGAAGGGGGGGGGGGGGTGTCACTCTAAGCAGTTTATATCCCTGGACATCAGAATGTGGGAGAAGATTTACTGTCCAGACAGAAAATACAAACAGGGGAATGGAATCCCAGCCCGAGGTAATGAAACAAATTTGGTCCAAATTTTACAAAGTAGAGGTGGACTTCTTCGCCTCCCAGCAGACAATGCAATGTAGGGGACACTACTTTTCTCAGTGTCACTCAAACCCCCCAGGATCTGGACACGGTGGCGCATACATGGCCCAGAATGCGCTTCCTCGACAGCTCCCCCTGGGCGATAGAGGAGAGGAGGGACCTTCTGTCTCGAGTGTTGGGGACAATATTTCATCCCGGTCCGATCCCGGTGGTGCATACATGTAATGCTTCAGTTTTGGACTTCCTGCAAAAATTGTCAGCAGGTGCATGCCCCGCCACTCTCAAGGTTTATTTGGCCGCTTTGTCGGCTTGCCAAGTGCTAGTTGGGAAACATCCTCTGCTTGCCCGCTTCATTTGTAAAGCCAGGCAGCTGAGGCCTCCTGCTAAAACCATTCCTTCATGGGACTTAGCTATAGTCCTGGAGGGTCTTGTTTAGACCCTCTTTGAATCTCTAGAGTCAATGTCTGATAAACCTCTGACTTTTAAGATGTTTTTTCTTATAGCTGTCACTTGCATGCTCTGTCGGTCTCACCATCCTGCCTAGACTGCCCCATGCAGTCAAGCTTCTCCAGTAGGCATCAGGGCTCATTCTACTAGGGTGCCCCATGCAGCATGTTTGTCATGTGGCAGGCTGACCCTCTCTCCATACACATTCATAAGATTTTATAGTTTGCATGTTCACGTCGCTCTGGGCTCTCATGTCCTTGAGTTGACATCACAAGCTCATGTCTGAGACCTTTTTCGCGTTTGTGTGAGCACACACTACACAACCCTAAGGGGTCCAGACACCCACAGTGTGGTGGCGTGGGTATTCTCGTTCCCCATAACGCTTAAAACAAGCACAGCATTGAGTCTAGCTTTTGAAAGGGAACTATTCTGGTTACTTGACTATAACCCTGTTCCATGAAAAAGCGGGAACGAGATGCTGCGCTTTATTGCTGTCCACAAAGCGTTCCCATAATCAATTAAATCAAGAATTTTCAGGGAACAGGGTTACAATCCAATAACCCGAGATGTTACCGCTGTTTGTCTGCCACCACTATGTGCCCGCAGCTACAAGTGACGTAACTGTGACGTCTGCTCCAAAATGGTCTATCGTCTTGTTTAATACTATCAAGAAATAATTCCTCCATCTCATTGGTGTGTTCACTATAGATATGTCATATTTCATTGGTAGTTTTTGAATCTGTCGACATTGCCGAACCGCTCACAGACTATCTGGCAAAAATCACAAACTGTAATCTGATTGGCTGCTTGATACAGACACTGGCTTTCAAACGTTTGGGATCTGCATGATTTTTAATCCAAAACATCTTACTGACCCCAAACATTTGAACGGTAGTGTTTAATGTTACAAAAGCTTTCTGTTCCAGATAAATTCTGTTCTTTTGAACTTTCTTTTTGTCAAAAAAATCCTGAAAAAAAAATTCAATATTAATAATAAGCATAAATGTTTCATCATATTAGACTGGTTTCCAAAAAATTATGTGACACTGAAGACCCCACCCTGTAAATTCAGCTTTGATCACAGAAATACACTTTAATATATTCAGATTGAAAACAGTTATTTTAAATTGTCATAATATTTAACAATATTACTGTTTTTGTTTGTTTTTTAATAAAAAATGCAGCCTTGGTGAGCAGAAGAGATTTCTTTTAAAAACATTAAAAATCTTACCAACCCCAAACTTTTGAACGGCGGTGTAGCTTGAATAGAAACCCTTCAGCTGTTCCTGTAACCGTAAGAAACTGCAGGAAAATCAGTGCTGCCTTTCACACGAGTCACATCAATCAACACATTTACATTCGATGTTTACCCTTGATAATCGATGCGTACCCATGCGTTCCCTGGGAACCAAACCCATGGCATTTCTAGAAGTCCACTCTTCTGTTCGAGCTCCAGCAATATTATCAAGATCATCAGTACTAGTCAAAATCATTTTCTCTTTAACATTCTGCTGTATGTTTGTTGATTGCAGTTTGAACCGACGGAGGCCGTCAGGTGTCTGGTGAACGTAACCGCAGCCAGTATTCATATGGATTATTGTGTAATCAATTTCACAACACCTGGAAAATCCTGCAGCTTCATCATGACGGATGCTTCTCACTTCACAAGCTGTTCTGAAGACGCGGAGAGACCGCACCGGTACACATGCCGGATAGTGGGTCTGATTCCCGGTGAGACCTATGTGTTTGAGATCATTTCTGCGACGGACGGCGCTCGCTTAAACATCACAGTTCAAACCGGTAAGACCCTGACATTCCTTCAGAGCTGTAGTGAATCAGAAGGTGGCTGTGTACAGAAGTGTGTGGAAGTGCAGAACAGTGTGCTCTCTCTCTGCCTCCAGTTTCCTCACTCAAGGCATGTACAGCTGCAAAGACGATAACAGAATAACCCTTTTCTCTCCAGTGAATCTTTCTCTGAACAGATATTATTAATATGCGTAAACTTTCCCGTTAACAGTAAGAGCAGAGGTCATTAAAGTAGTGCACTTCAGGATTACAATTTCCTGATCATTTACTCACAACCACGTCATCCAAGATGTTCATATCTTTCTTTCTTCAGTGGAAAAGAAATGGGTTTTTGAGGAAAACACTCCAGGTGTTTCTCCATATAGTGACTTCAATGGGGTCCAACGGGTCGAAGGTCCAGATGTGAGTTTCAGTGCAGCTTCAAGTCAAGTCACCTTTATTTATATAGCTTTTTTTTACAATGCAGATTTTATCAATGCAGCTTCTTAGTGATAAAATGAAAATAATACAACACAGATCAATATTATTGTTGTTGAATATTAAATGTCCCTAACTAAGCAAGACAAAAGCCAAGGCAACAGTGGCAAGGAACCAAAACTCCTTTGTCCTACTTCCTGGTTCTGGTAAGAACTCGAGCGGCTGCGTTTTGGACTAGCTGGAGTTTGTTTATTAAGCGTGCAGGACAACCACCCAGTAGAGCATTACAATAATCTAGCCTTGATGTCATGAACGCATGAACTAATTGTTCTGCATTTGTCAATGAGAGCATATGACATAATTTAGAGATATTTTTAAGGTGGAAAAATGCGGTTCTACAGATACTAGACATGTGACTTTAAAATGAAAGGGCACACACGGGTTCTTAACCAACGACGAAGACTCAACAGAGCAGCCATCGAGTGTTAGACAGTATTCTAGGCTGTTACGTGTGGACGTTTTTTGTCCAATAATTAGAATCTCTGTTTTTTTTTTTTTCAGAATTTAGTCGTAGGAAATTAATAGTCCATTAATTTTGTGAATTGGTAAGTTCATTTAGATTTTGAAGAAATATAGAGCTAAGTATCATCAGCAAAACAGTGAAAGCTAATTCCATGTTTCCTAATGATATCTCCTAATGGTAGCATGTACAGAGTGAACAGCAGCGGTCCTAGTACTGAGCCTTGTGGTACGCCATACTGAACTTGTGATCGATAAGACATCTCTTCATTTACTGCTACAAACTGATAACGGTCAGATAAGTATGATTTAAACCATGCTAGTGCAATTCCACAAATGCCAACATAGTTTTCTAGTCTATTTAATTTTGTGGTCAATTGTGTCAAATGCAGCACTTGGCTGGCTAGTCTTAGCGGTTTATGCAACCAGGCCCCTGGACTTTGACTTGGCCAATCAGGACCCTTCCTTTCATTCCTTTCATCTGATTTCTCTCTGGATCTGCTTGACGTTTGGACGTCGGAAGTGAGCCTGAACAACTCGACCTTTGACCCGATCTGTCCAAGACACATTGTTCCAGAAGTCCTGCCTCCTCCTCCTGTCCTCCTGTGTATCAGGATGCGTTTTCTTCTGCTGGCGGACTGCCACACATTCAGGTCGACAGCAGCTCGCGCTTCTGGAGGCCCCTGCAGGCTCCTGGACTGGACTCCCTCAACAGTTACTGTTAAAAAACATCGAAGCTTAGTGCTTCCTTCTGAGATGTTCCAGCTGATGTTTTAAGATCTTTGAGATCTTGGCATGATGGATGAACTTCTTTGCTTACGAACTAGACTGATTTATTGAGGTTTATATATGTGTGGCACTTCTCTTTAAGAATGTCATAATTGCACTTGATTCTACTAATTTGTGCACCTCATTTTAATTCTATATAGGGGTGTACATTTTTTGTTACACTTTAGACATTCTACTAACTACAAGTAACTTTGCAACTACATGTCAACTGACTCTCATTAATGTCCAACTACATGTCAAGTAACTCTCGTTAGAGTATTATTAGACTGTAAGGTTTAGGTTAGTTAAATACGTTGACATGTAGTTGCAAAGTTACTTATACTCACCTAAAGGATTATTAGGAACACCATACTAATACTGTGTTTGACCGCCTTTCGCCTTCAGAACTGCCTTAATTCTACGTGGCATTGATTCAACAAGGTGCTGAAAGCATTCTTTAGAAATGTTGGCCCATATTGATAGAATAGCATCTTGCAGTTGATGGAGATTTGTGGGATGCACATCCAGGGCACGAAGCTCCCGTTCCACCACATCCCAAAGATGCTCTATTGGGTTGAGATCTGGTGACTGTGGCGGCCATTTTAGTACAGTCAACTCATTGACATGTTCAAGAAACCAATTTGACATGATTCCAGCTTTGTGACATGGTGCATTATCCTGCTGGAAGTAGCCATCAGAGGATGGGGACATGGTGGCCATAAAGGGATGGACATGGTCAGAAACAATACTCAGGTAGGCCGTGGCATTTAAACGATGCCCAATTGGCACTAAGGGGCCTAAAGTGTGCCAAGAAAACATCCCCCGCACCATTACACCACCACCACCAGCCTGCACAGTGGGAACAAGGCATGATGATCCATGTTCTCATTCGGTTTACGCCAAATTCTGACTCTACCATCTGAATGTCTCAACAGAAATCCAGACTCATCAGACCAGGCAACATTTTTCCAGTCTATCCAGTTTTGGTGAGCTCTTGCCAATTGTCGCCTCTTTTTCCTATTTATAGTGGAGATGAGTGGTACCCGGTGGGGTCTTCTGCTGTTGTAGCCCATCCGCCTCAAGGTTGTGTGTGTTGTGTCTTCTTCACAAATGCTTTGCTGCATACCTCGGTTGTAACGAGTGGTTATTTCAGTCAAAGTTGCTCTTCTATCAGCTTGAATCAGTCGGCCCATTCTCCTCTGACCTCTCGCATCAACAAGGCATTTTCTCCCACAGGACTGCCGCATACTGGATGTTTTTCCCTTTTCACACCATTCTTTGTAAACCCTAGAAATGGTTGTGTGTGAAGATCCCAGTAACTGAGCAGATTGTGAAATACTCAGACCGGCCCGTCAGACACCAACAACCATGCCATGCTCAAAATCAATTAAATCACCTTTCTTTCCCATTCTGACATTCAGTTTGGAGTTCAGGAGATTGTCTTGACCAGGACCACACCCCTAAATGCACTGAAGAAACTGCCATGTGATTGGTTGATTAGATAATTGGATTAATGAGGAATTAAACAGGTGTTCCTAATAATCCTTTTGGTGAGTGTATAGTCAGTAGGATCTCTAACTACCAAAAAAAGTGTTAGCCTTTTTTTAACATGGTCTCACTTAAAACTTAAAAAAAAATCATAAGACGTGAGTTTGTGCGAAATGTAGTTTTACTCCTATTACACTCCATCCATTCATCAGTCACCCAACATGCTTTCAAAACTAACACCTGCGTTCCAGTCAAGCCTGACCCCTGACCCCTGACCCCATGTCTGATGACTGTAATCTGAGCAAACTCGTGTTTGTGGACGTCAAGCCAATAGGAACTGAGACTGTCTTTCAGATATTCTTAGTCTTCTGAAGCCACGTGTGTGTGTTGTACTAGTCCTCCGTGAGGTTGGTGTGTGTAGTCACATTTGACAACAAATGAGCTTAACTTTTTCAAATCTGTGACTGTACTGTATATTTTTTACACTGAGTTACTGTAGCTTTTTCAGACAGAGGCAAAGGCTTCTAGAGCTGTGTGTCCTTGTCGTTGAAGAGACAGTGTTCCTGATGGTCAAAATGGTAATAAACAACTCTAAAAACAACTAACTTTTTTAATGTTTTTACACCGAACAGTTATATAATTCCTGCTGTAATTGATGTGCTCTCCGTTTACACCGGTACAGTCGCCATGTTCCACAGGACGCAGAAACACACTTTTACTCCTAAAGGCCATCAGCTTTTTATCGCTTTTTCCTGGATATTTTCAGCTCGCCTCCTCCCTTCCTGCTTTACCAGACGACCCGCCTACACATCCTGCTGTTCACTGCCCATTATTACCCATGATGTGCACACACACACACACACACACACAGTTTTTTACAATCACTTTGCTTCCATTTTCAGAAGTTTGATGTGATTTTGCAAAACTCAAAACGGTTATCACTTGTAACACAGGCTGTCTAATGTTCAAAACATTGCATTGTGCATTTACATCTTTAGAGAAATCTTGCACTTGCACAATCATTGGTTCAAAAAAAAAAACAAATTTACTGTGAATTAACATTGAAACAAAACTATAGATCACCCCCACACATAGTGTCATAGTTCGTACAATCATTAAATATTGTAGAACAAAATAGGTAATACAGGTTTCATTATGCCACTACATGTACAGTAAATACATCTCTGTAAAAGCACTGCAGTAGTAGAGAGAATACACACATAGTGGAATCATTGAACAAAGTGTGTCATATATTGATAAAATATATATTGATAGTTAGATCATTGTAAGGAAATGAATAGACACTCATTTGAAATGTACTGTGTTAAAATTCACATATTACATTTCAAATCAGTGTCTATTTATTTCCTGACAATGATCTAACTATCAATATATATATTTTTTATCAATATATTGCACACTTTGTTCAATGATTCCACTATATTGAAAGAGTAGTTCTTTGATGTTTAGTTGTGTCATTTTGAACAGGTGATTTTTGTTGAATGAACAAATGATCTAAGTTTTATGTGTATTGTATCCAAGCAATTGAGAAAAGGGTTAGAGTTTTGAAAAATGTGCATTTTGATCATTGGTTGTGAGTTTTTTTTGTCTAGAGTTGTGAAAAATGACATCAAGGTCATAGTGGTTACAAAGTGGAAATAGTTACAAAGTGATTGTAAAAAACTGTAAATCTAGGCAAGTTTTGTTCCAAATTTGTTCCCAATAAGTTGATCTCTTAAAAAAATGAGCTTTCAGTATTATTGGGTTTGGCTGCACGCTTCCACTTTTTGAGCGCAAGCAATACAAGTGTGACTATTTTTTTTCAGTGCCTTTTCGAATCATGTCTGTGATGTGTGTGTGCCAAAACCTTTAAGTTTCGTACCAGTCCGTAAGGGGTAAAAAAATTAAGTGCTGTCAAACAATTCAAATATTTAATCGCGATTAATCGCATTAATGTCGTAGTTAACTCGCGCATTTTATCTATTCTAAATGTCCCTTGATTTCTTTTTCTTACAATAATTTCTCATTATTATTTTCTTATTTTAAAGGTTCTCAAAGCGATCCTGGGTGTTGACGTTCGAATATTTTTAAACAAATCGGAGCTAGACCCTCCCTCCTCCGCATCTCATCTCCTCCCCCTCCCTTCCGTGCTTCCTGAAATAATTGTGAACGTGCATAGTTCTAGCTAATTATATCCTTGTGTGGGTTTGGCGAACATAAGCGTCAATTTAGAAGAAAAAAAAAAACAATTTAACGTTACCCACCTGTCAAGCAAAAACAGAGCAACCTGAATGTCGGACTGGAAGCCCTTCTGCCGCCGGAGTTCTCGCCATCGTTCAAAAGCTTTGCTACCGATGTAAATTCGGAACTTCGCACATTCTTTATCCGACTCCTTCTTCTTTTGAATTTGTTCCTCAGAACGACGTCTCTTTGGTCGTGTGTCGGTAATTTTTCAAACTTCCCTCTGATGCTTCGCTGCTCTCCTTCACACACACACACCCTTCATGTGCACGCGCACTAACCCCACAGACCCACCCTCAAATACTTCTTGCCAGTGATTGGCTGGAACACTGTTTGTTAGGTTTCGTGGTCCGGGTGAGACATGATTGTTTTTGTTGCCGTTTGTGGAGCCTGTGGTGTCTACAGAGACCGCGTTTTTTCACAGTGTGTTTAGGGGACAGGCAGCTAGCCGATAGTGAGGAGACGTTTGATGTATGTGACAAAAAATGTTTTGGCCCAGCATCGCTTAGAGAACCTTTAATTGCTCTTATCAACATGGAAAAGTGGATCGGCTTGCTTTGTGCAAATGTTTTTTATCGAAAACAACATTGGCATATACTGTGTTCAATTTCACACTAACATTCTCACTTGGAGCAAATAATCTCTCACACAATGTAACACTGTCCATCAATAAAAGGGTGAAAGAAATACTGACGAAGTCCTGATATTGACGAGGGGGCAGAGAATTCGCATCAGCTGTGTGTGTGTGCGTGCGTGTGTGTGCTTGGTATTTCAGACTGGACGTGCTGCGATCGCGATGATGATGATGAGCTCAGTTCACAACGACAACACACACAGATCACTTTGGTCTTCTCAATTGAATCATTTGGCAACTTTTTAGTAAAGTAAAGTTTCCATTCAGAATCTTATTGGCATCCAATTCGGCGTCTCGTGTACGTCATCCACTCAAAACGTAACGTTAACCAACTATTTGGCCGGCTCACAAGCCCAAACGAGCGTGTGCGTCGTGCCTGTTGTTTTGTTTCCGTTCTAGCTACACTTTTAGAAAAAGGGTTCTATATATGTAGCATAGGGTTCTTTACTCAACTACAAAGGACCTTGTAACCACCCAGAGTTTGGTTCCTGGTTTTCTTTCTTAGTCTGTAATTCCACTACTATGCAGTAGGGGGCTCTAAGGTCATGCTCCGTTGTATATAGCTATGTAGGAGAAGAAGTTAGGACAAGGGTGTGGAGAGAGAAGCATGGTTCTTCTCTTTATCCTCACACAATTTGTTTAGAGTCCAGATTGAGAAACTATGGTTTCAAGCTCAATCAAAAGGACTTTTTGAATATCATCTGTTTGTCATGTTCGATGAGTCTCAAGGCTGCAATTCGACTTGAACATGTGAATTCTATACCCTAAGGATAGTGTTTTCAAAGCTTGACTGTGGTCATATGGGTTTTGAGATCATCGTGGATTACTCCTAGTAACTGCTTCACCTCTATCACTGGAGATTATTGCTCTGCTCGCCTCACTGCAAACGGAACCATTGACTCTATGATACCAAACATTGGATGGACTCTATGGATTGCAGGACAATGAAAATCTAAGGTTTTCCGCTAAGGTTTATTTGTACTGCTACTCATCAAACAGTGTTGCATTAGTGTAAAACCATGGGGTATGTCATTGTATTTTCAGTGTTGGCTGGGTGATCTACATGTAAATACTTTTGTGTGTGTCATCGAATATAAAGTGAAAGGATTTCCATTGGAGTATTGAGGTTTATGGTTTATCTTTCACTGTTTCTTCACTGTTTGGCCTGTGGGTTCCCCCCTCAAAAGTATCTTGTAGCTTGTCTCACTAGGAGTGAATAGGTAGACGGTTACAACCTTTTATGCAAAAAATTCTGATAATGACAAGAAAGAACCCCTTTGGCACAAAGATTATTTATAGGCTATTATTCATACATAATAGTAGGCTATATTACATTTTAATGTATATTACATTATTCTGCAACATTTTGCAGTTGTAATTAAATTATTGTTTATTAAACTGTTGTAGTAACTTAAATTTCGCATTTTAATCATGCTGATTTTTGGAGGATAAAAACTGAAATGGCTCTTCGTATGATATTGATTAATTCCATTTTTTAACCCCCATATCTTGAGTTTTGTCATCATTCATGCATTGCATTTTAGGGGTTCCAAATACGTAGCGCTTTAGAACCTTTTAAGGTTCTATATAGAACCTTAAATTTCTTCTAAGAGTTTATATCCGCTTGGTCGACGAAGTAACAAAACGTCCTCGCGAGGTGCAAGCCATTGAATGAAGGGGTTTAATAGCGCAGCGCCACGCATGCTGCGTCCTGTTGCAAAAGCGTATGAAAAAACCCTACAAAGTTTGCTAGGCCAAAAAGGCCGTTAATCGCGCCATAAAAAAATTGACGCAGTTATGGACTGCATTTCTATAGCGCCTTCATAGACCTAATGGCCACCAAAGCGCTTTACATTTGCCTCACACACACATTCATACACCGACGCAGTTAAAATGGGTTTGCGTTAACTCCGTTAATAACGTGTTTAAAACGGTTTTCAAACTATACCTAATCCATGATGATTACTAAGTGGTACACTGACAGATACTGAATGCAATGATTTGAACAACTCTTGTCGTTCCTCTAGATCGTGCTCCTGTCACATCATTGACTCTTGTCATTCCTCTAGATCCTGCTCCTTTTACATCATTGACTCTTGTCGTTCCTCTAGATCCTGCTCCCGTCACATCATTGACTCTTGTCGTTCCTCTAGATCCTGCTCCCGTCACATCATTGACTCTTGTCGTTCCTCTAGATCCTGCTCCCGTCACATCATTGACTCTTGTCGTTCCTCTAGATCCTGCTCCCGTCACATCATTGACTCTTGTCGTTCCTCTAGATCCTGCTCCCGTCACATCATTGACTCTTGTCGTTCCTCTAGATCCTGCTCCCGTCACATCATTGACTCTTGTCGTTCCTCTAGATCCTGCTCCCGTCACATCATTGACTCTTGTCGTTCCTCTAGATCCTGCTCCCGTCACATCATTGACTCTTGTCGTTCCTCTAGGTCCTGCTCCCGTCACATCATTGACTCTTGTCGTTCCTCTAGATCCTGCTCCCGTCACATCATTGACTCTTGTCGTTCCTCTAGATCCTGCTCCCGTCACATCATTGACTCTTGTCGTTCCTCTAGATCCTGCTCCCGTCACATCATTGACTCTTGTCATTCCTCTAGATCCTGTTCTCGTCACATCATTGACTCTTGTCATTCCTCTAGATCCTGCTCCTTTCACATCATTGACTCTTGTCGTTCCTCTAGATCCTGCTCCCGTCACATCATTGACTCTTGTCGTTCCTCTAGATCCTGCTCCCGTCACATCATTGACTCTTGTCGTTCCTCTAGATCCTGCTCCCGTCACATCATTGACTCTTGTCGTTCCTCTAGATCCTGCTCCCGTCACATCATTGACTCTTGTCGTTCCTCTAGATCCTGCTCCCGTCACATCATTGACTCTTGTCGTTCCTCTAGATCCTGCTCCCGTCACATCATTGACTCTTGTCGTTCCTCTAGATCCTGCTCCCGTCACATCATTGACTCTTGTCGTTCCTCTAGATCCTGCTCCCGTCACATCATTGACTCTTGTCGTTCCTCTAGATCCTGCTCCCGTCACATCATTGACTCTTGTCGTTCCTCTAGATCCTGCTCCCGTCACATCATTGACTCTTGTCGTTCCTCTAGATCCTGCTCCCGTCACATCATTGACTCTTGTCGTTCCTCTAGATCCTGCTCCCGTCACATCATTGACTCTTGTCGTTCCTCTAGATCCTGCTCCCGTCACATCATTGACTCTTGTCGTTCCTCTAGATCCTGCTCCCGTCACATCATTGACTCTTGTCGTTCCTCTAGATCCTGCTCCCGTCACATCATTGACTCTTGTCGTTCCTCTAGATCCTGCTCCCGTCACATCATTGACTCTTGTCGTTCCTCTAGATCCTGCTCCCGTCACATCATTGACTCTTGTCGTTCCTCTAGATCCTGCTCCCGTCACATCATTGACTCTTGTCGTTCCTCTAGATCCTGTTCTCGTCACATCATTGACTCTTCTCGTTCTTCTAGATCCTGCTCCCGTCACATCATTGACTCTTGTCGTTCCTCTAGATCCTGTTCTCGTCACATCATTGACTCTTCTCGTTCTTCTAGATCCTGCTCCCGTCACATCATTGACTCTTGTCGTTCCTCTAGATCCTGTTCTCGTCACATCATTGACTCTTCTCGTTCTTCTAGATCCTGCTCCTGTCACATCATTGACTCTGCAGAGTAACGGCAGCCAGGACTCTCTCGAAGCCTTCTGGACTCCTGCAGTTGGACACATGGAGAGCTACCAGCTGTGTCTGTCTCACTCAGGCTCCTTTGACCCGGCCTTCACCCTTCCTCCAGACGCTTCTCACTGGCTCTTCAGTGGCCTGACACCCGGACAGGTTTATCAGGTGTCGGTGAAGACGAAGAGTGGAGAACGAACAGCTGAGAGCAGGACGACTGCAAGAACAGGCAAGAAACATGAGCATGAGCTGTGCATTGCACATGCTGGCAGACACAAACCACTTAAAACAACTTACCGCTATAGATATTGTATGACATATGACATCCAAATAATTAATTGTCTTGTCAACTAACAGGAAACATTTTGTAATTGTTAAGATGAAATGTTCTGAAAGCATTATTAATATTTGATTTGTGTTCTTATGGTGTTGAGAGAAAATACTCCTGGAACAATGTTCTTAGAATATATTTATGATGGTTTTACTTGATGAACGTTTTTGTAACATCCTCATTATGTAGAGATGAATGTCATCATAATGTTCTTAGAACAACATTCTCTGAACGTACTTGGTTTGTGAGTATGTGTGTGTTGCTCATCAGCTCCTGGACAGGCGGATCATCTGAAGCTGGAGGCTCTGAATGAGAAGCTCCTGCGCTTGTCCTGGTCTCCTCCTGACGGCAGCTGGGATGTCTACCGGATCCTGTTGTTCAACGGCTCGTCTGTGCTGACGAACCGCACCGCTGACAGGAGTGTGCTGGAGCTCAGCTTCACGAACTGGACTCTGGTTCCGGGCCGGCTGTACCGGGCGTCCGTCAGTGTGGAGAGCGGAGGTCTGAGCTCGACCGCAGACTGCCACGGGAGACTAGGTGTGTGACTGATTCAACCCCTGCACTGAAACTGCACTAGCCAACAGGGGCCTAAGAAGTGTGCTTAGTTCTGTTGAATATGCTCTTTTAGTGTACTTCACATATTAAAAGTGTAATTCTTCAGCACTATACTTGCAGATAATATAATATTATTAAAATAAAAGGCCATTTAAGTGAACTTAAAGGAATTGTTCACATCAAAATGAAAATTCTGTCATCATATAGACGAATCCGGCGAAACTACCGGAAGTAAGCGGGGCGCCATTACTGAGCTGTTGCTGGGTAGCGTTGCGCCATTGCCTCCTATTGTTTTAGTTGCAACTTGCGTCCACTGGAATAAACAGCCCGCGATTTACGACTGTCACCAACGTTACAACGTTATCCCTTGTATAATGTCGAGTGGGTAAACAGTTTCCGTTATAAATTGTTTCAATGGTGGCAGTAAAATTTCAATTTTGAAGAGAAAACACTGTGAATACCCCGGGTCGACTGCCCCTGTCTGGTGCCGTACGGTTTACACAGATTTCCTGGGCGAGTACAAGACGTGGACATTCGCGTATAATAACAATTATTTAATGACATAAGTAAAAAAAATATAATAAATATGTGATATAGTGATCAGCAAAATCTCCTCTCTTGCTATTTTTTCTATTAAATTAACATGCTATGGTCATTAAATGGCTTTCCTGAGCTAAATGTAACGTTATGTGACATAATTGTTCTCCCGCTGTTATATTGACCTCTTTCCATGGTTTAAAAACACTAATTGGTCGATATTATGTATACTTTCTAGCTGTAACGTTACCTTACCCTTGCCTGTTGCAATGTGAAAATGAGATAAATAATGGACACAAATGAAAAACATGAATTTGTTTATTTGATTTCATTCATTCATTTATTTATTGTTGCCAAATGGACAGATCTTTTTATAGTTTCCTCGTTAGCAGACGTTAGCCTAGCTAGCTTGCCAAGCTATTTTCATAAATAACGTTAATCTGTAAGATCGTTTGTACCTTCATCTGTGACTGGAGGCCACTGCAGTCACAGATCAAACCAACAAGTCATTCTGCCTGGCTGTAGCTGTCATCGAGGGTGAGTTCGCGTTATCACCGAGGTTTGTTTACATACCGGTGCATATGTCTATATGCCTGTGTAACAGCTCAGTAATGGCGTCGCCACAAGATGGCAGCCTACACAGAACGCTCGTCGGATTCGTCTATACTTACCCTCAATTTCTTTCTTCTGGAAGATTTTGAAGAATGTCAGTAATCAAACAGTTAACTGGACCCAATGACTTCCATTGAAGGAAAAAAAAATGGACTGGTCTATGAACACATTATGCTTCAGAACTGAAGAATAGATTTTTTTGTCTCTGAATCCCAGCCCTACTGAACACACTGAACAGATTCGCTCATAGTTAACTGAATCATAATGAACAGTGCCCATATCTAGAGACCCGGGTGTGTTCCCCGTCCAGCGCTGTAACTCGCTGCTTCACTCTCATAGTATGATGTATCGTTGAGAAAGAAATCCGCTAGCTAGTCCCGATTTGATTGAGATCGAATGAATGCTAGATGGTTTGTTAAAAAAAACGGATATAACATCTGAGGACTAGTTCTCATTTTTCTCAGATTTCAACTTTATTTCCGGATTCAATCATAGCAGGAGTGATTGCTCGTTCTCATTCTACAAAAACGGTGCTTTAAATCTTTTGTCAAAACTAAAAGATGTAAATGACATTTGTATGTATTCTAAATAAAAGATACCATGCAAGGTAGATTGTGATGTATCTCTGTGTTCCTCTGTTGAGCTCCCCGACCCGTCCAGTCGCTGACTCTCCGTCACAGTAGCGAGACGTCTCTGAGCGCTGTGTGGACCCGTCCTGTGGGCGAGTGGGACGACTACACCGTCCTGCTGAGGGACGCAGACTCCACGGTGGACAGAAGGACATTAGCTGGAGACGTGCAGCAGTGCAGCTTTAGCAGCCTGACGCCTGGACACACCTACACCATCACAGTCACCACCAATAGTGGAGCTCTGAGTAGCTCCGCCCACGTCACAGGAACAACCAGTGAGTCGCTCTGCCGCTTTCATCAGGGTTCGGTTCAGCGTTGTAGCGGTTCTCGAGGAAAAAGCAAACCGCACCGTTCACACACACTTGCACCGCGGTTGATCTAATCTGATGACGCATCTATGATCTGCTTTGTTGAAAATAACAACACGTAAAACAACACGACTGCTAATGTCTAATATTAGCTCTGCTAATGTATGTTTCTGTTGATGGATCCACATGGCTCCCCAATAAAACATTATAACAGCGATAATCAAGTAAACGTGAACAAACGGTAATTCTTAGTAATTTTTGTTCAATGCGAGTGCCGTTTGCTTGAACATGGCCAGTCCTTTACGCCGCCATCACGCAGGGGCGCTCGAGCGCAGGCCTGAACTGCACACACTGCTAGCTGTGGTTAAACTAAACTCATTTAAGCTTTGCCAATTTAAACATTCAAGACCAAGATGCGAAAAGTGTTCTCTTTGTGTGTGTGTGTGTGTGTATACGTCTCATGTATTCAAGTATTGAGTTCTCTTTTAAAGGTCCCCTGACATGGGGTTATTGTATTATTTTATAATGTTTCCTGAGTTGCCCTTATAATGTTAGTATGTTTTTTAGATCAAAAATAGTCATAATCGCAGTTGGGAATAACGGCGTTAAAAAGAACGGCGTTAGGTAATATAACTAATTTCTTTTTCTGTCGTTACAACGCCATTAACGTTACTGGAGGTTAAATGCGGTGCGTTACCACAAGCGTCAGTTTGGTTTGAAAGTGCTGGGGACAGAGACGCATTCGGAAGTGCTGGTACAATCCTGTCAAACTCTGCAGTCTCTCGGCTCAACCCGTACATATATCCATCGAAACCCAACCGTGAGCCTAAAACCGTGACACAAACCGAACCGTGAGCTATTAGACCCGATTCAGTGTTCACCGATGATGTGTGATGTGTGTGTTCAGTGATGAAGTGATGTGTGTGTTCGCTGATGAAGTGATGTGTGTGTTCAGTGCCTGCACAGGTCACACACCTGCGGGTCAGTAATGAGGGCCGCACAGACGCGCTGCAGGTGCGCTGGGACGCGGCGGTCGGAGAGGTGGATCTGTACCGCGTGCTCCTCATCCACGACAGCGTGGTCATGAAGAACGAGAGCGTGCCGCCCAACGTCAGCTCCGTCCACTTCCAGGGCCTGAGGTGTGGCGCCCTCTACAGGACAGTGGTGACCACTGCGCTCGGCAGCGCCCTCTCACGCCAGACCGTGGCTGATGGACGCACAGGTTCCCTCACACACACACACTCTCACACTCTCTCTCACACACACACACATAAAACACATAATAACATTACAATAGTTTCTTCAGAATGTGGGGTTTTCTCGAAGGACGACACACAGGTACGCTGGACTTCACACACACTCTTCTCTGGAGCTGCAGGAATGCTCCTGGAATGTTCAGGAAGCCTTGGATATGTGGAGGTCATGTGTGTGACTTCCTGCAGGGAGTGTTGTTGTGGACGGAGGATGTTGTTCTGTTCTGAGCGAACAATCACTGACTTATTGAGAGTCGTCAGAGTTTAGACACTGATACTCCTGAACATTGCATCTTTGTCTTATTTATGAATAAATAAATGCTATTATTAAAGGTGGGGTAGAAATTTGGGGAAAGGTTTTTTAGAAAATTTCTACCTACCCCACCTTTAAGTTATATAAACAATTATAAAAATCTGAATATGTAATTTATAGGTAAAGTCACCTTTATTTATATAATACCTTACTCAATAAAGATTGTTTGAAAGCAGCTTTACAGTGATAAACAGGAAGATTTTGATTAATAGATCATTAATAATATATCATTAACTTCCCAGTAGTGATTGCTTTAAGACTAGAATGTCAACTATCGCACAGTTTATGATCCATAACATGGAAATGAATCTGAGAAGTTCATGGTTCCCTCTCCCTTAGCCAGACAATATTTATATGTAATGGTATTGAAAACACACATACCGAACAAATAAAGCACTACCCGCCATCATGATTATGTTTCTTTGGGAATTGAATAAAGCTCTGCCTGTATTTCGTAGTGAAGGTTTCATATTGTGTGTGTGTGTGTGTGTTCAGTTCCAGCCGCTGTGAGAGACGTGACGGTGAGCAACAACGGGCGCATGGACTTCCTCAGCGTGTCGTGGAGAGCCGCTGATGGAGACGTGGACAACTACTCTGTGACTCTGAGAGATCAGGACAGAACCGTTCACACACTCACTGTGTCTAAGCTCAGCACAGAGTGTGTGTTCAAGTCTCTGGTGTCTGGACGTCTCTACAGCATCTCCATCGCCAGCCGCAGTGGAGAGTTTGAAAACCACACCGTGGTCCAGGGGCGCACACGTGAGGAGATTCATAAGCAGTTTTGTCCAGGTGTAGTTCCTGTAATGAAAGTGTTTGCAGCTGGTTTGACATTATTGTCCGGTTCTCTGCTCTAGAACCCTCCACAGTGTTGAACCCTACGGCCACACACATGGCTCGTGACGACCATCTGAAGGTTTACTGGCGCCACGCGGCCGGAGACTTCGACTACTATCATGTCTCCATCAAGCATAACAATATCTTCCACCAGAACAAGACGGTCCCCAAGACTCAGAACGAGTGTGTGTTCAGCGGGCTGGTGCCAGGCCGACTCTATACTGTGATTGTCAGTACATGGAGTGGGAAATATGAGTCCAGTGTCTCAACTCACGGAAGGACATGTAAGTATGCTTGTGGTGGTTTACTGTACATAGTTCACTTTACTGTACTTCTGTAGCACTATAGTTCATTTTACTGTACTTCTGTAGCACTATAGTTCATTTTACTGTACTTCTGTAGGCCATAGTTCATTTTACTGTACTTCTGTAGCACTATAGTTCATTTTACTGTACTTCTGTAGCACTATAGTTCATTTTACTGTACTTCTGTAGGCCATAGTTCATTTTACTGTACTACTGTAGCGCCATAGTTCACTTTACTGTACTACTGTAGCGCCATAGTTCACTTTACTGTACTTCTGTAGGCCATAGTTCATTTTACTGTACTTCTGTAGCACTATAGTTCATTTTACTGTACTTCTGTAGCACTATAGTTCATTTTACTGTACTTCTGTAGCACTATAGTTCATTTTACTGTACTACTGTAGCGCCATAGTTCACTTTACTGTACTACTGTAGCGCCATAGTTCACTTTACTGTACTTCTGTAGCGCCATAGTTCACTTTACTGTACTTCTGTAGCGCCATAGTTCACTTTACTGTACTTCTGTAGGCCATAGTTCATTTTACTGTACTTCTGTAGCACTATAGTTCATTTTACTGTACTACTGTAGCGCCATAGTTCACTTTACTGTACTTCTGTAGGCCATAGTTCATTTTACTGTACTTCTGTAGCACTATAGTTCATTTTACTGTACTTCTGTAGCACTATAGTTCATTTTACTGTACTTCTGTAGCACTATAGTTCATTTTACTGTACTACTGTAGCGCCATAGTTCACTTTACTGTACTACTGTAGCGCCATAGTTCACTTTACTGTACTTCTGTAGCGCCATAGTTCACTTTACTGTACTTCTGTAGCGCCATAGTTCACTTTACTGTACTTCTGTAGGCCATAGTTCATTTTACTGTACTTCTGTAGCACTATAGTTCATTTTACTGTACTACTGTAGCGCCATAGTTCACTTTACTGTACTTCTGTAGGCCATAGTTCATTTTACTGTACTTCTGTAGCACTATAGTTCATTTTACTGTACTTCTGTAGCACTATAGTTCATTTTACTGTACTTCTGTAGCACTATAGTTCATTTTACTGTACTACTGTAGCGCCATAGTTCACTTTACTGTACTTCTGTAGGCCATAGTTCACTTTACTGTACTTCTGTAGCGCCATAGTTCATTTTAATGTACTTCTGTAGGCCATAGTTCACTTTACTGTACTTCTGTAGCGCCATAGTTCACTTTACTGTACTTCTGTAGGCCATAGTTCATTTTACTGTACTTCTGTAGCGCCATAGTTCATTTTACTGTACTTCTATAGCACTATAGTTCATTTTACTGTACTTCTGTAGCACTATAGTTCATTTTACTGTACTTCTGTAGGCCATAGTTCATTTTACTGTACTTCTGTAGGCCATAGTTCATTTTACTGTACTTCTGTAAGCCATAGTTCACTTTACTGTACTTCTGTAGCGCCATAGTTCACTTTACTGTACTTCTGTAGCTCCATAGTTCACTTTACTGTACTTCTGTAGGCCATAGTTCATTTTACTGTACTTCTCTAGTGCCATAGTTCACTTTACTGTACTTCTGTAGCGCCATAGTTCATTTTACTGTACTTCTGTAGCACCATAGTTCACTTTACTGTACTTCTGTAGGCCATAGTTCATTTTACTGTACTTCTGTAGGCCATAGTTCATTTTACTGTACTTCTGTAGGCCATAGTTCACTTTACTGTACTACTGTAGTGCCATAGTTAATTTTACTGTACTTCTCTAGTGCCATAGTTCACTTTACTGTACTTCTCTAGTGCCATAGTTCATTTTACTGTACTTCTGTAGCGCCATAGTTCATTTTACTGTACTTCTGTAGCGCCATAGTTCATTTTACTGTACTTCTGTAGCTCCATAGTTCACTTCTGTATCAGGGCGTTTCCTGCGAGGAGGGAATGCCTTCTTCGTGCCATGATTGTCCCTTGTTTTGGGCCGCGTCCGTGAATCACCTCTTTATTTCATGTCAAAATCAAACTCGAAGTTCTGTGGTGTAGTTTACTATAGTTATGTAGTTCTGTGGTGTAGTTTACCATAGTTATGTTGTTTTGTAGTTCTGTGGTGTAGTTTACCATAGTTATGTTTGTTCTGTGGTGTAGTTTACCATAGTTATGTAGTTCTGTAGTTCTGTGGTGTAGTTTACCATAGTTATGTAGTTCTGTGGTGTAGTTTACCATAGTTTGTTGTTCTGTAGTTCTGTGGTGTAGTTTACCATAGTTATGTTGTTCTGTAGTTCTGTGGTGTAGTTTACCATAGTTATGTTGTTCTGTAGTTCTGTGGTGTAGTTTACCATAGTTATGTAGTTCTGTAGTTCTGTGGTGTAGTTTACCATAGTTATGTAGTTCTGTAGTTCTGTGGTGTAGTTTACCATAGTTATGTTGTTTTGTAGTTCTGTGGTGTAGTTTACCATAGTTATGTTGTTCTGTGGTGTAGTTTACCATAGTTATGTAGTTCTGTAGTTCTGTGGTGTAGTTTACCATAGTTATGTAGTTCTGTGGTGTAGTTTACCATAGTTATGTTGTTCTGTAGTTCTGTGGTGTAGTTTACCATAGTTATGTTGTTCTGTAGTTCTGTGGTGTAGTTTACCATAGTTATGTAGTTCTGTAGTTCTGTGGTGTAGTTTACCATAGTTATGTTGTTCTGTAGTTCTGCAGTTTAATTTTCTGTAGTTATGTTGTTCTGTAGTTCTGTGGTGTAGTTTACTATAGTTCTGTAATTCTGTAGTTTGTTTTACTCTAGTTCTGTAGTTCTGTGGTGTAGTTTACCATAGTTCTGTAGTTGTGCAGTTTAATTTTCTGTAGTTATGTTGTTCTGTAGTTCTGCTTTTTGTCGTTCTGTATCTCGGTACTATAGTTGCCTAGTATGTTCTCTCTCTCAGTGCCAGCAGGAGTGTGGAACCTCTCGCTAGCTGACAGCGGCACTGAGGATCTGCTGGTGACGTGGGGTTCTCCTCCCGGAGATGTGGATCATTATGAGGTTCAGCTGCTCTTTAATGACATGAAGGTGTTTCCACCCATCACACTGACCAGCAGCACGAACAGATACCTGCTCTCTTCACTCACTCCTGGAAGACTCTACAAGATCGTGGTGTCCACCTTCAGTGGGCCAAACCTCAGTGTGCAGGTCATCAAAGGCAGAACTGGTACATCTCATGTTGCATGTGGATATCAGAGAAATGTAAAGCTGAAAAATGTGACTTTTCCCTGTAGTTATCTTGCAAAATGTGTAATGTTTTGCTGTTTTCTTTGAATGCAGTTCCCAGTAAAGTGAAGAACATTCACATCAGTAATGGCGGTGAGAGCAGCAGCCTGAGAGTGAACTGGACGCCGGGACAGGGGGATGTGGACCGGTACACTGTGTCCCTCTCTCAGATGGGCGGCCCGGCTGAAGAGAGATCAGTCCCTAAACATGTGACTGAGATGAGTTTCCAGGGGCTGTTGCCGGGACAGCAGTACATGATAACCGTTACATCTATTAGCGGATCTCTGATCAACAACAGCACAGAAACCGGACGAACAGGTGAAATGACGAGTTCTGATGTTCTCTGTTGTCTTTTATCATATTGCTGTTGCTGCATGCTGTTTTATAAAAGCCTTCAACAACATCATGGTAAAATCAGTGTGTTGTACAGCATAGGGTGGCTTATTGATGATATGTTCAGACACTACTGTACATTTTTTTTATTATTCTTGGGTGTACAGTACTAGTACATGTGAAAAGCGCTTTATAAATACCTCATTCATTCAAATATTCTGTTAATATGAATAATACAATTTTCAGTTTAAGCCTACTACAAACCATTTAATCATTTCAGTTGGTCTATTACTAGGATTGTCACAATATATTGCAATACAAAAATGCAACAATATGTATCGTGGATAGTGACAATCTGTTTTGTGGATAGTTCACCCAAAGTGAAAATTACTGTCTGAGAAAGAAATTGAGGCTTTCAGAGTTTTAGTGTGACTATTAGAAAATAAATTAATTCTGTATTTTCAGCTTCAGAATCATGAATATTGTTATTCTGGTGTGTCTATTGTCCTGTGCTTTGGGCTTCAGCAGCAAGTCCAAGTCTATTCATCTACATACACAATGCGATACCAAATTTAGTATTTTAATTAACAGTAATCTTTTTGCTAACCTTTTACCTTGGAGCATCGCAATAATATGGTATCATGAGTTCAGTATGTGGAAGCGTGATACGAGGACATCACTACACCTCTGTCTATGGCTGATGTCCCGTGTGTAAACAGTTCCCTCCGCGGTGCGGGCTCTACGGGTGGAGACCCAGCGCAGCTCGGCGGCTCTGCTGGTGTCCTGGCAGCCGGCTCCAGGGGTGTACGACAGCTACCGGCTGCAGGTCCTGGATGACAGAGGAACGCTGGTGGCTAATAACTCTCAGACCGCAGAATCCAGTCAGCATTACCTCCGACAGCTGACGCCGGGGAAGAAGTACCGCATCCGGATGCAGACCGTCAGCGGAGGAGTCAGCAGCGACGATGCCGTGGCTGAGGGCAGAACCTGTGAGTATACCCGCTTGACCGAGCTCTAACGGCAGACGAGCTGGCCTGTTTAGAGTCTGAGAATGTGTCTGTTGTAGGTCCAGCTTCTGTTAATGAGCTGTCGGTCTTCAGCAACACCACCACAAGCCTGTCGTTCCGCTGGGCTCCGCCGGACGGGGAGTTTGAGGGGTTTGATGTTCTTCTGTATAACGGAGATGAAAGCTTGCATGATCAGAAACCAGGACTGGCGAGCATGCGGGACTGCTCTTTCCATGACCTTCGACCCGGGGCGCCGTACAAGGTGGTGGTTCTGACCCGCAGTGGAGATCAGACCAACGACACATCACTCTGGGCCCGGACAGGTGAACAACACACACACAGTAGTTATTAGGGCTGTCAAATAAAATTGGAAGTTTGAATATTCGTCAATTAATAAAACCCTGCACATTCGAATGCAAAAACCGTGCATTTTAATGTTTGGTGTGACGAGGCGCGCAAGACATGATGATGTCGTCACTGACGCGGTGTGTTTCTGTTAGCTTATCCAGTACAGCGTGTTGCTAATATGAAAAATGGCAAGAAAAGGCTCTTCCTGCTGAAGAAAACCTGAGTGTGTGTGTGTATATCAGCTGTAATACAGAAAGCGCTCAGCGCGTGTTTATCAGCTCAGCACTCACTCAGATCAAGAGCGTCTGGTGTGTGTGATGCTTAGGGTTGGGAACCGAGAACCGGTTCTTTTCCAGAACCGGTTGTGTTTTTGAAAAAATACCGGAACCGTGCAAAATTCCTAAGTTTTGGTTCCGAAAACGGTTCTGATGCCGATGCGATATCATCATGTGGGCGAAGTGCTGGGAGTAGAAGACGCCGTCTTATTCCTAAATGACAAAAACTTCACCACTGAAGTTCAATGGCGCCACCAGGGGGTGGCCAGGGGTGGCCATGGCCACCCCTGGCCGACTCCTGGCCACCCCATTGGCCACCCCAATGGCCAGTATTAATTTTTGTAGCATCAGTTATGCATTTTATAAATAAGTCAAAAATATTCTTAAGTAAAAGAAGACGGGGAATTATGTGTCATGGCGTGCTTTTTAAGTGCCAAATGGTACACTGTTACAGCAGCTTTTTGATGTGTTTTTGCCACGTTTGGACAGGCAGGGATGCAAACAGCGCGCTTTTCGGCGCCTCCCGCTTTTTCACGTCAGTTTGGGTGACAAAGTCATCTGAAGTCATTCCATAGCTTAATGTGAGGGACATTAGTATATTTACATCATTAAAGTATACGGAAACTCGTTTTCCCTCCTCTGCGGCTGTCAATCATTCTCCATTCATATTCAAACAGCACGCGCGCCTCTTGGATGCACGGTAAAACGCTCTCCAATATGATATATTCACATTATAAATGCATGATCTGTAGATAAAAGGCTGTGTATTCGCATAAAATTACTTTATTTTCTTGGAGTTTGTTGCTGTTTTTAAACGACTCACTACCGTGTGCTTGTTACTGTTAGATCACACATATCACAAGGATTATGAATCGGCATCAAACACAAAATAACTGTGAAACAAAGGAACAAATCGCACTAGGATTTGTGCGCTCAACATTTCTTCGATTTGTGACATGAGCTTTTAAATGCGCACTTATGCAGCGCAGTGCTGCTGCACACTGTGACTCCATGTTGCTTTGAGCACATCATTCTGCACCCGCTCTGTTTTTCATGTTATCATGGGTTTGCGCACTGAAATATTATTAAAAGCCAATATATTTTGTTATACCTAGCCTGCTCAATACATTTTAAATAAGCATAATTTAATCGTATATTATTTATTTGTAGTTTAGGCTATATATGCACTTCTGAATTCTTGACATTAATATATAAATATAAAATTGTGACATGAATGCCTGATTCAATTTTAAAAGAGAACTAATAGTAATTTGTTTTTATTAACATATTTAGATTTTATAAAATTACTGTGCAGATTTTTTCAAGAATTACTTTTTGCTGCTGATATATACACTCATTATACACTCATTAAGTTTATTAAAAATTCATAATACATTTATGTAATATTTAAAGGTGTTAACTGTATCTTACACTGCAAAATAATAACTTAAAAATGATTAAATTCATCACAATTATGTAAGTATCTGGAAATTTGCTGTGGGGCAAGGGCCCTTATATATATCATATAATATATATCATTATATACAATATAATACATATTAGTTGGGCCCTACTAATATCATTTGTAACATTAAATATTACACAGTAAACCAAAGTATATCAGTAGGAGTTTCCTTAAGTCTTTCTGATAGTTTTCTACAGGCTGGTTTACTACAACAGTAGAATACAATTCTGAAATTATGGTTTATACTGTAGTTTTGGTGTGCCACCCCAAGATTTTAACTGGCCCCATCTGGCCACCCCTATGAAAAATTTCTGGAGGCGCCACTGCTGAAGTTGCGATTTGCTCTCACACGCGCTGCATTTGTCACACACAGACACACGCACGCTGCGCGCGCCGACCGCCGAGTCACTCTCTAGCCTACATTCAAATCTGTTTGCGCTGAGAGAGAGAGAGAGAGCAGTTGTCGATATGAAACTGCTTTACAATCACACAGTCTCAATATTTATTTGTTTCACATATTCAAATGATTTCCGTTACAGAATTAGTGAGATTATAGTTTGAGTATTGACGGTAGTGGTCAAAACAGATGCAGTCCGTATATTTTTTGTGTTCAGAATTTACAAAATATATACAATGAGCGAGTGCATCATAATGTTTTTTTTTTCAAACCGTGTTTTTGTCTTATCTTGAATCACTACGTAAAGCCTGTAATAAGCGTTAATACTCGGACTTCTTGTTTAGACTGGCCGGCGGATCGCAGCTGCTGCAGAGTAGCCCAATGCCTGCGTGACTCGTCATGGACATAAACAGAGAGAAGTAGCTCCGGCAACAATGTTCTTCCGCAAGACGCATGCAGTTCTGTTTATTAACTGCTAGAGCGCCGATTTATCCAGTAATGAAATAAGTAAAGTCTTTATGAATCAATCATTCAAACCGTTTAAAAAAATAATCTGTTCTACACACATATGTGTGTTAAAGCATATACTATTCCTTCTGAGAGGGTATTCTTCACTGTTGGAGATACAATAAAGGAGAGGTCTAAATTATTATAGAGAATGCAGATTTTTTTAATTTCCTTTATATATAATTTTTTTTTTTTTTTGCAAAGATTGCTTAATAATATTTTGAGTTTGTTTACATTACCAGTCTGTTAAACTAATTTGTCATGTACTATAAGAAATAAACACAAAAATGATTGTGGATTTTTCTCTTACTAATATTTTTAATTGAATGGGAACCGGAACCGGAACCGGAATCGTTTGGCGGAACCGGAATCGGAACCGGAACCGGAAAATTTCTCACGATTCCCAACCCTAGTGATGCTCCATATGTAGATGTAGTGAGTAGAAGTGAGTGTTTCTGTAGGCCAGTTTGCTGGTGTGTGTTCATGTAGTTCATTACGCTGTGTGTGTTGAAGTGTGTTTTCTCAGGTCACTGATGCACAAACAGATTTATGCACTATTGTTACCTAATCTCTTTACTTGCATGCACATTAAGAAAATTATATTTTATTTAAAGGGGTCATATAATTCCATTTTTGTACAAGTTCATATGAATTTTTAGAGTCTAAAGGAAAACTTTGTAATATACGTTTATTAAAAATTTGCATTAGTAATGTAAGAAAACACAAATTCAGCACGCCGTTTCAGTGCATATGCCTTTAAATGATAATGAACTTCGCTGACTCCGCCCCTCTGTTCTGCTGGCGCTTTAACACAGCGCAGTGTTGCCTTGACAACAGTTAAGGGTGTAAGACCTACTAAATCGATCCAAAGGCGGCGTTCGATTAGTAGCGAAGGTTTCACGCGTGTTCCGTCTCTCCCCATGGCAAAGAGACTTTTAATTAAATGCAATACATTTTATCTTATGTATTAACTCGTTTCATCTGACTCCATAAAATGAAAAAAGGTTTATCCATGATCTCATGAACATTAATTGTCTCTAATTTTGCTAATATTAAAAAAGAAATTTGAATTAAGCTTTTCAGTCATTTGACAGCCCTGGTAGTTTAATGTCATTGAAATTTAACCGAAAACACATCACAATTACAATTTTGTTCACATTTGACCATGAAAGCCAAACCGTGTAATTAATGTCAATGTTGTAATCATCAGCTTGGTAACGGTGTTTTGCAGTGCCCGCGGCTGTGTCGTTCTTGCGTGCGGACAGCAGGAGAAGCTCTGAGAGCCTGTGGTTGAGCTGGAAGCAGGCGGGGGGTGAAGTGAGCCGCTACACTCTCCTGATCTACAACCCCGACGGGACTCCTCACGCTCAGCACAGTCTGGGCCCGAGAGCCGGAGTCATCAGTTTCAGGGCCTGGTGTCTGGGCGACTCTACCGGGCGGTGGTCCTGACACACAGTGGAGATCTCTCTAACATGGCAGCTACTGACGGCAGGACGGGTAAGAGCGATCCCAGAAGACCTGAACACGGTTTCCTTCAGCAGAACTGTAGAATCAGTACTTTATAAATGTAGTACTGATTCCCTTGGTGGCTTTGATATATTGTAGACCCTAGGCCTCCGGTCTCATTCTCCTTTGGGGAAATCACAAACACCTCACTGGAGATGACCTGGAGCGGTCCAGAACACACTGATTATGATGACTTCGACCTTCAGTGGATCCCCAGGGACTCTCTGTCCGTGTTCAACCCCTACCAGAGCCCCACATCCGGCAGCCGGATCCTTAAGGGCATGTTCCCTGGCCGGCGGTACAACATCAGCCTGCGTACGGTCAGCGGCGCTGGATCCCACAACCCCAGCTACAGCCGTCCCATCGACAGCAGCATCAGGACAAGTAAGTGACGGCTTTATGAGAGCCAAGATATCAGGCATCTCTGCATGTCCCAAACAGGCTGATAGGTAGGTTGCGCTAGGCTTCTTCTCTAGAGTGTTCTACAGACTGACACGTATATAATACTTAACCCTTGTGCGTCCTTATAGACATTTTTTGTCTTTTTCATTATTATTATTTGTTATCATTCTGCAAAATGCAAACATTTTGAGTGTATTTTATTGAAATTTTACTATTTCACCCCCATTTCTTTTAAAACATCTATATTGCACTAGAGTAATACACGATAGTTCCTCTCAGGACCTTTTGGATAAATATGTCCCCATTGAAACCCATTAAAACTGCAATTTTTAATCCCTGGGCCATTTAACTTTACAGTTGTGCAATCTTTGCTAACAGACCCGTAGGCACACACAGTAAGAGACCTATCTCCGACCCGTAGGCGCAGGGAAACGACCCTCTCGTTCACCGGGGTAAATTCCAACACATGAGCTGGGGGGCTATAATCAAACCCACACCAGCCCGTCGCCTCTCACCATGGGCAACTCCAGGGTGGTGAAGAGTCCATCCTCTCTCGAGGAGTGTGGTTCCAGAGCCCAAGCCATGCGTAGAGGTGATCCCGACTATCTCTAGTCGGAACCTCTCAACCTCACGCACAATCTCAGGCTCCTTCCCCGCCAGCGAGGTGATATTCCATGTCCCTAAGGCTAGTTTCTGTGTCCAGGGATCGGGTCGTCGAGGCCCCTGCCTTCAACTGCCGCCCAATCTTCTCAGCACCGGCCCCTTACGGTTCTTCCTGCAGGTGGTGAGCCCACGGGAAGGCGGCCCCACATCGCTCCTTCGGGCTGAGCCCGACCAGACCCCGTGGGGAGAGGCCCGGCCACTAGGCGCTCGCATACGAGCCCCAACCCCGGGCCTGACTCCAGGGTGGGGCCCCGGCTGTGCCATACCGGGCGACATCACGGTCCTTGTTTTTATTTTCTTCATAAGGGATTTTGAACTGCTCTTAGTCTGACCCGTCGCCTAGGACCTGTTTGCCTTTGAAAACATTCGGGTACTCAAACCCCTCCACCACGTTAAGGTGGCAGTTCAAAGAGAGGATTTTTTGAGATATCAAACTCGAATTTGGAAAAGAACTTGTTTAGATATATGCCTTTGATTTTCTAGCAGTTTTAGAGTTCAAAATGTTTCATAAAATATATTTTTTACATAAATTAATGTTCATAAGTAATTTTAAAAACTTAAACCTCGATAATTTATTTTCGGTTTACGTTTGATTTTATTTATTTTTTTTTACTTCAACAATAATCTGCCACGGGTCTTCTTTAAAATCATACAAAACCTTCAGACATTTTTTGTCCTGGACCTATGTGTTACTTTCTTAACTTGACGCACAAGGGTTAACAGTAGAGTACTCCAGTGCAATAAAGCAGTTAACTGTGGGTATAGCAGTGTGTGTGTGTGTGCTGTGTTCAGGGCCCGTGCGTGTCCAGGACCTGCACTGCCGTCCGCAGAACTCCTCCGCCATCGCCTGTTCCTGGACTCCTCCAGAAGCCGACTTCGACTCCTACACCATCGAGTGCTCCCGAAAGGACTCGCAGAGAATGGTGTACTCGCGGCGCACGCTCAAAGAAAACACCGTCTATCTGATCAAAGATCTGGAGCCTCACAAACACTACATGGTCTCTGTCAAAGTCATCTCTGACAGCATGACCAGTGAGGCGGTCGTGGAGAATGTGGTGACGATGATTGACCGTGAGTTTGGGCTTTTCGTTCTATATAAACAATCACTCTCTGACGGAGTGTTCGCTGATAGGCTTCATGTGTTCTCAGGTCCACCTCTGCCCTTCACTCGAGTTGAGGAGAACACAGTTCAGATCACCAAGTCCACCATATTCTTCCAGTTCAACTGCAGCTGGTTCAGTGACATCAACGGCGCGGTGAAATTCTTCACCATCATTGTCACCGAATCTGATGGTTGGGAGACTTTTTCTTTATCTTTTTTTGTGTTATGCACAGATAGCTAAGCCAGTCTCCTTACACAAGCATGTAGTGCAATGATCCCTCTCTTTGTTTGCATCCAGACAGTGTAAACCAGCAGCCAGACCAGCATCATCCTCTTCCATCATACCTGGACTACCGGTCCAACAGCTCTGTCAAAGCGTATCAGACCAGCTTCATCCGCAGCCACTGTGACGAAAGCCAGAGCTCTACACAGGAGATAGAGGTCCATCTGGGGTCAGGCATGGAGAGTCTAGGAGGACGGTGCGATCAGAAACCACTGGCCAGTGCAACTCAGGGTCAGCTTTTCTTCTGCGATGGGCCACTGAAACCCAAGACTTCATACAGGTGAGGGCCACTCAGGAGTGCTAATGCTATTGTCGAGCCTGTGCTAGTGTTGAGCCTGTGTTAGTGTTGAGCCTGTGCTAGTGTTGTGCCTGTTTTTGTGTTTAGCCTGTGCTAGTGTTGAGCCTGTGTTAGTGTTGAGCCTGTGCTAGTGTTGTGCCTGTGTTTGTGTTTAGCCTGTGCTAGTGTTGAGCCTGTGCTAGTGTTGTGCCTGTGTTTGTGTTTAGCCTGTGCTAGTGTTGAGCCTGTGCTAGTGTTGTGCCTGTGTTTGTGTTTAGCCTGTGCTAGTGTTTAGCCTGTGTTAGTGTTGTGCCTGTGTTTGTGTTGAGCCTGTGCTAGTGTTTAGCCTGTGTTAGTGTTGTGCCTGTGTTTGTGTTTAGCCTGTGCTAGTGTTGTGCCTGTGTTTGTGTTTAGCCCGTGTTAGTGTTGAGCCTGTGCTAGTGTTGAGCCTGTGCTAGTGTTGTGCCTGTGTTTGTGTTTAGCCTGTGCTAGTGTTGAGCCTGTGCTAGTGTTGAGCCTGTGCTAGTGTTTAGCCTGTGCTAGTGTTGAGCCTGTGCTAGTGTTGAGCCTGTGCTAGTGTTGAGCCTGTGTTAGTGTTTAGCCTGTGCTAGTGTTGAGTCTGTGCCAGTGTTGAGCCTGTGCTAGTGTTGTGCCTGTGTTTGTGTTTAGCCTGTGCTAGTGTTGAGCCTGTGCTAGTGTTGAGCCTGTGCTAGTGTTGAGCCTGTGCTAGTGTTGAGCCTGTGTTTGTGTTGAGCCTGTGCTAGTGTTGAGCCTGTGCTAGTGTTGAGCCTGTGTTAGTGTTGAGCCTGTGCTAGTGTTGAGCCTGTGCTAGTGTTGTGCCTGTGTTTGTGTTTAGCCTGTGCTAGTGTTGAGCCTGTGCTAGTGTTGAGCCTGTGCTAGTGTTGAGCCTGTGTTTGTGTTGAGCCTGTGCTAGTGTTGAGCCTGTGCTAGTGTTGAGCCTGTGCTAGTGTTGAGCCTGTGCTAGTGTTGTGCCTGTGTTTGTGTTTAGCCTGTGCTAGTGTTGAGCCTGTGCTAGTGTTGAGCCTGTGCTAGTGTTGAGCCTGTGCTAGTGTTGAGCCTGTGTTAGTGTTGAGCCTGTGCTAGTGTTGAGCCTGTGCTAGTGTTGTTCCCTGTGTTTGTGTTTAGCCTGTGCTAGTGTTGAGCCTGTGCTAGTGTTGAGTCTGTGCTAGTGTTGAGCCTGTGTTAGTGTTGAGCCTGTGCTAGTGTTGAGCCTGTGCTAGTGTTGAGCCTGTGCTAGTGTTGTTCCCTGTGTTTGTGTTTAGCCTGTGCTAGTGTTGAGCCTGTGCTAGTGTTGAGCCTGTGCTAGTGTTGTGCCTGTGTTTGTGTTTAGCCTGTGCTAGTGTTGAGCCTGTGCTAGTGTTGAGCCTGTGCTAGTGTTGAGCCTGTGCTAGTGTTGAGCCTGTGCTAGTGTTGAGCCTGTGCTAGTGTTGAGCCTGTGCTAGTGTTGAGCCTGTGTTAGTGTTGAGCCTGTGTTTGTGTTTAGCTTGTGCTAGTGTTGAGTCTATGCTAGTGTTGAGACTGTGCTAGTGTTGAGCCTGAGCTACTGTTGAGTCTGTGCTAGTGTTGAGCCTGAGCTAGTGTTGAGTCTGTGCTAGTGTTGAGCCTGTGCTAGTGTTGAGCCTGTGCTAGTGTTTAGCATGTGCTAGTGTTGAGCCTGTGCTAGTGTTGAGTCTGTGCTAGTGTTGTGTTTGTGTTTAGCCTCTGCTGGTGTTGAGCCTGTGCTAGTGTTGAGCCTGTGCTAGTGTTGAGCCTGTGTTTGTGTTTAGCCTCTGCTAGTGTTGATCATGTGCTAGTGTTGAGTCTGTGCTAGTGTTAGTTTTGAGCCTGTGCTAGTGTTGAGTCTGTGTTAGTGTTGAGCCTGTGCTAGTGTTGAGCCAGTGTTTGTGTTACGCCTGTGCTAGTGTTATGCCAGTGCTAGTTTTGAGCCTGTGTTTGTGTTACGCCTGTGTTACTGTTAAGCCTGTGCTAGTGTTGAGCCTGTGTTTGTGTTACGCCTGTGCTAGTGTTGAGCCTGTGCTAGTGTTGAGCCTGTGCTAGTATTGAGCCTGTGTTTGTGTTGAGCCTGTGCTAGTGTTGAGCCTGTGTTTGTGTTTAGCCTGTCTGACTGATGAGTGCATAGCCTGACCCAGGCTTCAGGAGATGGAGGTTATGGTCAGGGTGAAACCTAAGCTTCCTTTCACATACGATTAGTCACACAATTGAAGTTTAAATTCTTGCTATTTGAGTTATTGTTGATTTCTGCAACTGTTTGTATCGTGATTTTCAGACTCAGCGTTCGAGCGTTTACCAAACTTTTTGATGAGGACCACGAAGAGTTTCTCTCTCCGCTCTTCACGGATACGTACCTGTCCCAGCCCTTCGTGACAGACGCAGGTATTACACACGGCTCCGGCATGCTGAGGGAGATCGGCAGGACGTGTGTTAATTCTTCGTGTGTGTGTGTGTGTGTTCAGAGCCGCTGAGTGGGGTCATCGAAGGGGTTAGCGCTGGACTCTTCCTCATCGCCACCATGGTGGGATTAATTGTCCTGCTGATCTGCAGGCAGAAAGTCCACAAAATGTGAGTCCATCTTTATCCATCTTTATTAAAACTCGAATACAGTAAATGCTGTCCTGAACATCATCACATGCCGCTCTGACTAGAGGCTGATAAGTATAGTGACAGGACAACAATGATGGGTTTGTGGTATCAGATTTTCACTGCACGATCATCATGACCAAAAGAATTCAGAATGACAATGATATCGCAATATCTACTTAAGAAAAATAAATAAACTCAGTCATGTTGTCTCTTTTTTGGCCAATGCATGATGCACTTGTAATGATGGGTTTGTAGTGACCAGTTTGAGTTGTGATGATGGTTTAGTAAATCCAGTTAGTCAGTGATGGATTAGCAGTGTTGAGTTAAAGGCACAATATGAAATAGGTAAAACACACTAGAACAATGTTATTGTGTTAATTTGTATACTTACATCATCCCAGATGGGTTACTAACACAGTTGTTCACCTGGAATCTGCTATAGGAGTTGCTGTAGTGATCATTTCTATAGATCATTGTGGTCTATGTGTTGCATTGTGGTCTATGGTCCCCTGTCAAAACTGAGGTGTTGGGGGTCTGTCCAAATAAACTTCCCTCGTCTACTTGAGGAAGTTTAACACACTTAAGTTTGCACTTGCGATGCATTTACGTTGACACATATTGAGATTTAATTGAAGTATCAGGAAGTCATTAATTAGCGATGATGGGTTTGTGTTTTGCAGGAGTGCACAAGAGCCTGTGGTCAGAATGAGTCTGAGAAGAGAAAGACTGTCTTCAGTAACACACGTCACCGCCAGAGGGTACGAACACCGCATCCATATCAGCGCTTACTAGCAGTTTACTTTTATCTTCATGCTGAAACAGATATTGCACACCTGGAAGAATCATATTACACTTTTATAAATACTATTGTTTGTACGTTGATTGAGTTTAGAAGCGTGAACTGTTCTTTGTCCCTGTGTTTCAGGAACCGGCGTGTCTCGAGGTACTGAACTGATCACATGATCACGCTGATCTCCACAGTTACAGCGCACCACAATCACATTACTTTTTAGCATTATGTTGTGCTAGATTTATATTTTCAGTATTTGTAAGAGAGTGTTGTCTTCTCCAATACAGCCCCATCAGCACCTCTAACTTTGAGGCCCATTTAACTAAACTTCGAGCAGACTCCAACTACCTCCTTTCTGAGGAATATGAGGTACACTATCCTCCTTATTTCTTAATAAGATATTGAGCAGGATTGATGTTTCAGAGGAACTCTTTGTTCTGCTTTCAGGACCTGAAGGACGTTGGTCGTAACCAGCCTCAAGACTCGGCGTTATTGCCTGAAAACAGAGGCAAAAACCGCTACAACAATATACTGCCTTGTACGTCCATACAGTGCCGGTCTCCAATATATCGAATATTATTCCAATAGTTTGACTAAACGGCTGTTTGTTTTGCACAGATGATTCCACGCGAGTGAAGCTGTCCTATGTTGACGACGACTCCTGCTCAGATTATATCAACGCCAGCTATATTCCTGTAAGATCTCTGCTTATCCAAGTACATTAATGACAAAAGGCAAATGTCTAAACTTAAGCATGCATTCTGAGTTTAACATGGTTACATATTTCAATTTAAACATTTGGACAAGATCATCAAATACAGTAAATAGTGGTAGAAAGAGTTTGCGTGAAAGGATAAAGTGTCGGCCCAAGGCTATCCAATGACACTAGACCAAACGTGTCACATGCTTTCTCTTAAAGGGCAATAACTTCCGGCGGGAGTACATCGCGACCCAGGGACCTTTACCCGGCACTAAAGACGACTTCTGGAAGATGGTGTGGGAGCAGAACGTGCACAACATCGTGATGGTGACGCAGTGTGTTGAGAAGGGACGGGTATGTGTTACGATCACACACGGTTCCTCTGCTCACGAGGCTCTTCTGGCATCATCTCAGTGAGCTTGAGTTCCTCTCTCTCTCCGGTCTAGGTGAAGTGTGACCACTACTGGCCGTTCGACCAGGAGCCGCTGTACTACGGAGATCTGATCGTCCAGATGCAGTCGGAGTCTGTGCTGCCGGAGTGGACCATCCGAGAGTTCAAGATCTGTAATGTGGGTTTAACCGTCTCTGTCCTCGCGGATGAACTGCACAGGGAGCGCAGGTGTGACGTGTGTGTGTGTGTGTGTGTGCAGGAGGAACACCTCAGCTACTCCAGGGTGGTGCGTCAGTTCCATTACACTGTGTGGCCGGATCACGGAGTGCCAGAGATCACGCAGTCCCTCATTCAGTTCGTGCGGACCGTGAGAGACTACATCAACCGCTCACCCTTCTCTGGAGCCACTGTAGTGCACTGCAGGTGGACACACACACACACACGCACACACATATTTGTTAGTTGCACAGATTGCAATGCTTGTGACAAGACACAGGTAGTGATATAGATCACTATGTCCGGTAATTACCGGACATTGGCCGGGGAAAAAAGAAATTGTCAGATTAAAAGGGCCTAATAATCCCGCCCCCCTACCACAATCTGAATCTGAGAATAACCCAAAAATGTATAGAGAATGTAGGTAACACTTTATTTGAAGGGGTGTGCATAAGACTGACATGACACTGTCATAAACATGACATAACACCTGTCATGAACATGAAGGAGTCTTTATGAATGTTTATGACTGTTGTCCTTAAGTGTCATTCTGTAAATTATGACACTTTTAATGCAAAGTTGACATTGTTTAAAATGTCTTTGTTATGACAACTTGACATTAACCAAGAAATCATAAACTGTCAACCTGACATCTTTATAACTAGTCCAATGTGTTCCACTTTACTTGAGGTAAGGGGAAATAGTAATGACCGCATATGACAGGGTAATGTAATTTTAACACAAAGCTAAATAACTTCTTTAAGTTTAATAATTAGACCTGTTATGACATATTTGTGACAGGTTATGATTTATTGGTTAATGTCAAGTTGTCATAACAAAGACATTTTAAACAATGTCAACTTTGCATTAAAAGTGTCATAATTTACCGAATGACACTTAAGGACAACAGTCATAAACATTCATAAAGACTCCTTCATGTTCATGACAGGTGTTATGTCATGTTTATGACAGTGTCATGTCAGTCTTATGCACACCCCTTCAAATAAAGGCCAATTTATACTTCTGCGTAGGGTGCGCGCAGTAGGTACGGCGTAGCATACGCACAGACGCGTCCCATACCGCGTACCCTTCCGCGTTGCCTGACGCGCACCTCTTCAAAAATGTAACTACACGTCGCGACGACGCGGACCGCAAGATCGGTGATTGGTCGGCTTGGTAGCGTCGTATTTCCTCATACGCATTTCCGCACGTACCTTCTCACGCATTTCCACACGTACCATCTCCTCCGACGTCTTCTCTCATTTCTGCCTTTCAGTTTTAGTAATTTCACTAAAATGAACTGTTTTTTCACCCCCAATAAGCTCCTACTCCAACATGATCCACTCTCTTTCAGTCGCTATTGCTTGTAGTAACCTAGCCGCGAGGAATCTAAACACAGTGGAACATTAAAACCCTCCGCCGCCTCCTAGCGTTTTGGAGCAGTACTGCAGAGCAACCAATACCTGAACGCAGAAGTATAAATGCTCACAACGGCGTCGCCTACGTGCGAAGCCAACGCCGTACCCTCGACGCAGAAGTATAAATTGGCCTTTAGTGTCTGAAACGCTTCCATCAAGGATTCACTCTAAACTCCGCCTCTCTGAGAGGTCAGATGGCCCAGTCTGCTCTGATTGGTCAGAAAGCAAACTCTCATTATCATATCTGCCTCTCAGCTGTTGATCAGTGATACGAACAGTAGCGATGGCGTGGGTTTCTCCGTATGAATCTCAGAAAACAGTGTCTTCTCGACACAAACAACACGAACCAAACTCTCCCAGTCTCAGATACACTAGCGTTTGAGGGCGGAGCTAAGAGACGCTGTTCAGCCTATCAAGACCACAGGCTTGCATTATGCAAATGAGTTACAAACCCATGCAGCGTCAGCAGGAATTGAGACTGAATTACTGATGACTCGTTTCAGTTTAGAATGCAATGATCTTGTACATTCACAAACCGTTTTATTACAGCTTTAGTGTGTGTGTGTGTGTGTGTGTGTGTGTGTGTGTGTGTTGGCAGTGCTGGAGTGGGCCGCACCGGGACCTTCATCGCCCTGGACAGAGTCCTTCAGCAGCTCGACACCAGGGACACGGTGGACATCTACAGCTCTGTGTTCGACCTGAGGCTTCATCGCACACATATGGTGCAGACAGAGGTGAGGCTCGTCTGTCACACACACACACGGCTTTCTTCTGCACACACAGGCGGGCAACACTTTATTTCCAGGGTCCACTTCAGACATTCTTACTATGAGGAAACTAACTGTTTTCATTGGTAGACTGGTATGAGTATATATATATATATATACATATAAATGTATGTATTGTCTTGTGTGTTGCTCCAGTGCCAGTACTCGTATCTCTACCAGTGTGTGCGAGACGTGCTGCGTGCCAGAAAACTGCGCAGTGAACAAGAAAACCTCCTCTATCCCATCTATGAGAATGTGCATCCGGATCAGCATAGAGGTCTGTGTGTGTGTGTGTGTGTGTGTGCACGTGTTTGAGTGTGTGTGAGTGTGAGTGTACGTGTGCGTCTGTGTCTGTGTGAGTGAGTGAGTGAGTGTGTACGTGTGTGTGTGTGTTCGTGTGTGTGTGATGAGCAGGTCTTTTCAGTCTCATCTGATAGTGTGTGTCTCTTCACACAGATGGGATCTACTCCAAGCGCTGATCTGACACTGGAGAAAAAAGGGGCCAAACACTTTAATGTCAAACTTGCATGTAAAAATCTGAAATTAATTTTATATGAAGGTAATGCTATGTAACTAGATGTAACAGAATTATATCATGTACATATATTATTCAATATTAATTCAGAGTTTATGCTAAACTTGCTTAATATAATATGCATCACTAATTAAAAGCTTATTTTATATGAATAAACATATTCTGAAACAACAGAATGCAGTGTGTTCCTGCATCCAGTGTGTGTCCCTGTCTGCAGTGTGTCCCTGTATGCTGTGTGTCCCTGTATGCAGTGTGTCCCTGTATGCAGTGTGTGTCCCTGTATGCTGTGTGTGTCCCTATGCAGCGTGTCCCTGTATGCAGTGTGTCCCTGTATGCATTTTGTCCCTGTATGCAGTGTGTCCCTGTCTGCAGTGTGTCCCTGTATGCTGTGTCCCTATGCAGAGTGTCCATGTATGCAGTGTGTCCCTGTATGCATTTTGTCCCTGTATGCAGTGTGTCCCTGTATGCATTTTGTCCCTGTATGCATTTGTCCCAGTATGCAGTGTGTCCCTGTATGCAGTGTGTCCCAGTATGCAGTGTGTCCCTGTATGCAGTGTGTCCCTGTATGCTGTGTCCCAGTATACTGTGTGTCCCTGTCTGCAGAGTGTCCCTGTATGCATTTTGTCCCTGTATGCAGTGTGTCCCAGTATGCTGTGTGTATCCCTATGCAGTGTGTGTCGGCTTTTCGATGCCGACCTTGGATTCAGGAAACGGTGATTAATTATTTTGCACGCACTTCACTCCAAACGCAGTCTTCAATTCAAAAGTTTTATTTCTAACACATTTCTAAATTAAGTTTATAACTTCAACAAACGAAAAATCCAAACCAAGTAGCGAAGTGGTCAAAAAACTGTGAAAAACCACCCTTTCAAAACCAAACATCTGTTCTTTCATGTCACTTCCCCTTCCGCCACACACAATAACATATCTCTCTTCCTCACCGACAGGTGCCTGATAAATAAATAAATAAGTACATAAATACAAATATAAATATACCAAAAAATAATAATAATATATAATAATATTAATAACAAATACATGAATTATATTAAATAAACTCAATGAAATACTTATAGAAAAACGGCTACAACATTCCAGCCCCTAATTCTTGGTTTCCAAATTACAAAAATATTTCAGTAGCCGTACCAGACATAAGAACATTTCACATTTCAAGTCCATATTGTTGATGGGATTAAATTGTCCAAAAAAGGTCCTTTAAATGTTCAAAGGTTCTTTCAAAAGGTCTTCACAAAAATAGGTGTTATGCACGTGTATGGTGTGTATTAGATTTATCAGTATATATGAGTCAGTATAAGTGTAGAGTCAAAAGTTGGAGTCAAACATCTGACTCTAGAGTTCAGCAAGCTGCTTCCATTAACAGACATAGCTTACTGATAGGTCTTTCTAGTTCACTTGTTTGAGTCTTCAAGTGTACACGACGAACAAATCCTTTGGAATCAGCCAACGTTTTTATAATGCGCCCCAGTGGCCAAGAGTTTCTAGGTGCCGTTTCATCAACTACAAGCACGAGATCTCCGATGCTGAAGTTTCGACGTGGTTTATTCCATTTCTGGCGTTGCTGCATTATAGGAAGGTATTCTTTCACCCATCTCTTCCAAAATAAGTCAGCTAGTATTGAACTTGTTTCCAGCGTCTTCGAATATACAAGTCTTCTTTCTAAACAAACCAGATGGTAAAACCGGTTTTGCTTTAAGCGTATGATGTGATTGGGTGTCAACGCTTCAAGGTCTTCTGGATCATCTGAAGATGGAGTGATCGGACGGTCATTTCAGTATTGCTTCTATTTCACATAAAACAGTGTGCAATGCTTCATCGTCCAGCATCTGTTGTTTCACTACTGAGTAAAGCACTTTCTTGACTTGCTGGATTAAGCGCTCCCAAACACCGCCATGATGGGCACATGAGGGGGTTAAAAGTCCTTTATGCCGCTGTTGCTAATTGATTTTTGAATCTTACTTTGATTTAACTCTTTCAAAGCATTTTTAGTTCCGATTTGCACTGACAAAATTGGTACCATTGTCTGAGCGAATTTCCTTCACTTGCCCTCTTCGACATAAGAATCTTTGATCGCATTAATACAAGAGTCTGTATCCATAGTATGGGCCATTTCAAGGTGAACTGCTCGGCATGTCAAACATGTAAATATAACACCATACCTTTTAACAGTGCTCCTTCTCGCTTGGTTTCGATAGGGCCGAAATAATCCATACCAACGTATGTAAATGGAGGATGGTCCACTGAAACTCTGTCAGCAGGTAGATCGGACATTTTTTGTTCACCTGGCTTTTGTCCCTTTCGCTGACAAATCACACTTCTTTTGATAATTTTCCTAGAAGCGGAGTTAGCATGAGGAATCCAGTAATGCCGACGAAGAGTTGAAAGCATGTGGTTTCTTCCTCTATGCCCTACTTTTTCATGTACATGTCGTAGAATGAGTTTTGAAACATGGCATAGTAAAATGATAGGATTGATCTCTTCTGGCAAAGCTGACTTGCTTTAACCTGCCACCCACTCTCAACACCCTTCAACAATCTCTGGGTCCAGCTTATACAAATGACTGGATCTTTTTTGAATGCCTCTTTTTAAAGCAGAAATTTCTTCATTGAAATGTTCTTTCTGCACAAACGATGTTTGGCCTTTCTGCTGAAATCAGATCTTCAACACAAAGCATTGGACTTAGATCTCAGGTAACCTGTTTTCTGTTTTCAGAGTGGTTCTGCATTTTTTCTCCTTCACTTTCCATTTCAGAACTTCAAGAAACTTACGATCCATGCTACCGCTCTTTTCAGATTAGTCCAGTCCGAGAGTAATTCAAGAGCTGACTTGTTGGAGGTTCTTTTTGATCAGTCACAGTAATACAAGCACAGATATTTTCTTTCACTTCTGGATCTTTATCCAAAATTAAGCTCACCTCCTCCTTTGCTTCAGGCCATTGCGATGATGACTTTAGAGAAAGTCAGGTCCATTGATCCAAGCTTGAGATCGAAGAAATTCTTCCGTTTTCATCCCTCTTGATGCTGC